TATTTTACTACGGTCATCAGGAGGTTCTCAGAAAGCAAGAAACATATAATTCAAGCCCCGCAAGGTTAAGTTAGGTTAGGTTAGGTTAGGTTAAGTTAGGTTATTAATTAACCTAACCTAACCTAACCTAACGTAACGGTACTGTTACAATTGGCCTTAGAGATGTATTTGAGACTAAAAAAAAACATAAGTAAGTAACGTGTTTTCACACCCGTCACATAGAAAAGGATTGTCGGAGGAACCACTAGCCATAGCCATAACGGTACTGTCACAACTGGCCTTCCGCGCGTCTCCCGCAAGCCACTGTTATCGCTTGGACTTTGAACCTTCTTATCGCTCGGCAACCTGTACGATGGCCTTGCGGGCCTTGAATTATATGTTTCTTGCTTTCTGAGAACCTCCTGATGACCGTAGTAAAATATGAAAAAAATTGGGGTTGACCAAGTAATTGCTCAGAATTACCCCGTTAGATAACAAAATTACTTTACACTAAATACTTCCATGTAGCTGTGCCACAGGCCTTATATGGAAGTGCAACCAAAATTAGCTAATACAATTTATTGTTTTTTTTTTTTTTTACAGGGATTTCATTAAAATTACAGCCACTATTAACTGCCACAGTGAGAGTAATAAGTTAGTGTCACTATTACTCTCACTGTGGCAGTTAGGCCTATGTTAAGTAAGGTTGTCACCAGATTCATATGGCAGATATCGATCCGGAAGGAAAAATTTAGGGTAATCTGAGGACTTTAAAACATTGCATGAATAACGATAAAGACACTTAGCACCTGAAAATGTTGACACTGTAGGCTAAATTGTATTCTTTAATAGGACAACAGCCTAATTATTTCTGAATATTATAGTAGGTAGTACAGTATTGTAGTTCTGATAGGGTTATATGTCTGCTTGAGTTTTAAGGCCAAAATATTATCATAAGTTATAAGTTAGCTGATAAACACCGATTTCTGTGACTGTGAAATTTTGCTATGCCAGCTTATTTTTTCCTAAAACTAAGTAGGCCTATTCCTACGATCTTATAATACATGAAAACAACCTTAACATTTTTCTAAGGCACAGAAGACTTTCATTTTAAGGTACTGTACCGGTATTTTAAAGATGGACTGCTTCTCTGGTGGAGTAATACCAGACGGGGGCACGACCACTGGCAAACGATTACATTTCAAATGGTCAGTCAGTCACTGTCAAACAACCTAGGCCTTAGTTTTTCTGTAACCCCCTGAAATGTCACTGTACAGCGCTTTGCAGAGTTAGGTTAGGTTTATTATGATCATTATGTTATTATGATAAAACCTTAACTAATATATAATTAAGATGTAAAAGCATAACTTATCTTACCTCAACAATATCAGGCTATCCATAGAAAAGTTGTCCACGGCGGTGTTTTTTTTTTCTGAACTGCTGTACCTACATAATCGGTGAGTTCAGCGTCATCTTTAAGGAGCTTGACAAGTGCTCCAAGTCTTATCTAACTTAAACTTCATCATCAGATAAATGTTTACTGCAAAGAATCAATACTAAACAGTTTCTTTCAGATTTTTTTCTTTTGACAGCCTTTTCCCAGGATTTCAACAGCTTTGGGCGAGTTAATAGAAATCTGAAATTGTTAAAAAATAGTTAAACTTAATTCACAGTAACCTTTAGGCCTAGTTTCCATAAATCCACATACATTGTAGTTCAACACCTATACCTGGAAATGTAAATAATAGCATAATAGCTATGAAGGGCCTATGATTGATAAATAGAGCTGACGCTACTACTTGTCAGTATAGGTGCGAGTATAGGCTACTCTAAGCGCACGACTTGTTTGCGCGTGGCCCCTCCACCGCCTCCTTAGCCAGGAGGGGCCCCCACCACTGCCCGGCTCTTGGCCAATCTGCTACTAGTCGCCCTAAAAATGTTGTCTATACTGCTTCTACTCCCAGCGGATGCGTAACACCAACACATGGCACCTGTTGATCTTATAATATTTCCATCGCTTCTCTGTGAATGGTTTGCCCTTTTTACGGGTGGTTGCCATAATATTAATCTATGTTAGCCTAGCCTGACACTTTTTTAACCCACGGCTTAACAATCACTCAATAATTACTCAACCGCACTACTCATCTAAACAGCACAGTCCAATAAACTGACAGTTGATAGAACACGATAGAATACAATACTCTTCTGGTCATAAAATAGGATAATAAAATCATAAAATGTCATAAAATACTTTACGTACGACATTAAGAGACCGACTTTCGTTTTATCAACTTAGGGATATAAAATAAATAACTGCAAGTCATTAACCGTTTTAAAGGGTGTTCGGAAAACCTGTCCGATATTTTAAGGTGTTATTTATTGTACATAATATGAAAATAAGCAAAAGTTTCCATAATTTTATGTACTAAGCCTTGTGGTTTTCTGTTTATAGATATATCTGTATGTGTTTTTACATACATCTATATCTATATCTGAAGATACCACCTATAAACGTTAAAAATTTACACCTAAAAAGTCAAACTTTACGATTAAATTGGAATATAGGCCTAATATGATTTTACCGTTTGGTGTACATTTAAATAAGTAAAAAAATAGTTATATCAAAATAAAATACTCTACTACAGTAACAAAACAATAATATAGAACCCTTAGTATTTGTCAAATTCAAATTTAAATTTTAAAAAAATGTACGCAAAAAAGGAAAACAACGCGAACAGCGCTAGTCGAATGTTTTTAGAAAGCGTAGTCCGACCAATGCTACAGAAACTTTGGCTGCGTGGTGGGAGATTGGTACCGCTCTCCCCCCGCGCACCCGGCTCGCAAACAAGTCGTGCGCTTACAGTACTGTAGTAGCATGCTAGTAGGTATGATTACCAAAATAAAAATACAAGAATTTATTTTATTCAGTTAATTAATAGTTCAAATTAAAATGCACTTCTGATTTTAAACAGTAAGAAGTTATCTGAAGCCCTAACCAGTCTAGGCATAAAGCTGGGTTTTCCTAGGCGCGGAAGCGGAGAGCGGAGAGAGGAACGCGGAGAGCGGAAAAGAGATTAACATGGTGTTCCGCTCTGTTTCTAGGAAAACAGTAACATTAAATTACCTAAGACAAGTGGAGTCCGCTCTCCGCGTTCCTCTCTCCGCTCTCCACTTCCGCGCCTAGGAAAGACCCGGCTTAAGTTAGCGACAACATTTCTTGATACAGTAAGTAATTATTTAAAACTTACTTGTAAAAGTGGATCCCATTTCCTTTATTGTAGGCTACGTTTCTTTGCATCCAAATTCAATACAATATCTAACCAAATTTGCTTAATTGACTCACACTCACATAATTAAGATAAACATAATTACAATAAGATATCTTGTCGTTCATTAAAGGTCAATTGTTTGGAGGACCCCTATCCAAATCATCTGTCATCGGCAACACAGTGGTAATTAAGGTAATTAAAACCTCACCCAGATAGTCTAAGTTATCCTTAATAGGTTAAGGCATCTTGGTGGGATTATAAGAATGAATGCCAACATTTCTAGTTAAAATTGTGGCTGTATTTTAGTCAATTTTAAGTTACAGTAGCCTACAATCCATAAGTAGATTAAAACAAATAAAGCTGTAACATTTGTATACAGAAAAAAATAACTAACTTAACCAGACTTATTAAAATAATTATTTCTATTAGGTAAGTATTGAATGAATTTGATTAGTAAAGATGCATGCAAAGAGTAAAGTGTTACTGTTTTTTCACCACTCACCAGAGGGCCTGTTAAAAAGATGTGTTCTATGAGTTAATTTGAAGGTAAAATTTGTTAAATTTTAAAATTTTACCTAACCAACACACTTAAGTTTCAGGCTGAAGCAAGCTTTTATTTAGGGCCTTATTTTATTTTACATTCCAACACAGGGCATATAAAATAACATGTTAAATGGGTGACACAGTGCTGAGATTTTGTCGGCCAGTGACTATGGGTGGTGCCAGCATATTTTTTTTAATAATTCACATTTGAAATGTATACGAATAAAAAAAAAAATATGTAAATATTTTAGAGTAGGCTATTGAGCTATGATTTTGGCCCAAGAGGTTGTGAAGGGAGCCTTGGCCTGTTATGACATTCTAGGATTCCGGTACATAATTAAGTGAGATTATATGGACTATTTACAAGCGAATAAGTATAATCGAAAAATTCATTAGAAGATGCGTAGAAATATGTGTTCTTTTCACTTTAATTTAAGCTAAGCAAAAATTTCCGGGGGAACCCTCCGACCCCAGGTATCACATAAACACCCGGTAAGTCCGGCACCTCTGTTGCCCAGTGGAAATCCCTTAAAATATGCTCTGTTTCCAACATACTATATGACTTACCTATCTTAACTTATTGTGTCAGTTTCATTCTTTTAAATGACCAGCATACTTTTAATTTTATTTGTATTAACTTAAATAGGCTACATCCTAATATAATTATCAATGGGGGAATTGTATGTAAATAAATCCCCCTCCTCCCCAAACAATAATTGGAACCTAGAATAATAATTCTGGAGTAATAATATTTGGTTTTTTATATTTGAACTTCAGAAACCATAAGTAAAAGGCCTAAATTGGTTTTCTAAAAGACATCATAGTTTGCGCAATTGATTTGATATTTTTATTTTGCTGATTCAGTTAAGCTATTAATAGTTTGACTCTAATAGGGCAAAGCGTTTTCAAACTCACTTAAAATTGGGAATAACTAAATAAACTAAGTTTATTGAAATTCCTCAACATAGATAAAAACATAACCTGAGTAACCTCAATCAATTATTTCACATTTGCAATTGAGCGGCAGACGACACGACGACAGCACTCCAATCCAATCCTAATGTTAGCCTGTGCGAGTGCGATGCGATGCAATGCGATTACAGATACGACTTACAACATGTTCGATATTCTTCGACACACAACCGAATCATACGGTTGGTCTGTTGTGAACCCAGCACTATCCGACTGTAGGATTCTGTCTGTCTGTCATCTGCCTCCTGGCCTGACTGGAGTGACTGGACTGTGCTGTGAACTGTGGCTAGTGCGAGTCTGCAAATAAATAATATACTGACTGGATGACGTTTAACCTTTTCCCGTCAGGTAATCCTTTGTGGTTAAGTGTCCACTCAACTAAACTTATTTAATTTTAGTTAGGTAATTATTTTATGTGAACGTTTGTTTAGTGAATTTTGTTCATATGATGTATAAAAACAGACTTACTGGAAGTTGTAGGCTAATGCCATGATTGCTTAGTAATGTTAGTAGCCTATGCTGACTGAATAACTTAAGTTAATTTAATTCTACTCAGATGACTTAAAACTAGCCTACCTAGGCCTAGAATAATCTTTGAGATTGAAAGGGCGTCAATACAAGTTGTGCAGTTGTAATATGTACAAGTTAATACAAGTTGTTTGCATAAATCTCAATCTAGGCTTTGGTGCCTTGATTAAAATGATCCAGCCTAACAGGTAACATAGTCAATGGTAATACCTTAGGTAATACTTAAAAAAAATTAAAATGAAGATCTGATTCACAAAATATACACACAAAAGTCCTATAAAAAAAAATAAAAAACCGGACCCAAGTATGTTATTTGTCTTTAACATGTACTTAAAATAATATAAGTTACTCTATAAAATCCATTGATACTACAATGAGCAGCAAGTAAATGAATTTTCTGATAGGACTTATAACATAATTTTTGGTTCAATACTAGGCTATCTACCGTACGTTTTGTAGGGCTGTAGAGAATGGTTAAATTCTTGACGAGAACCTCAAATTCACAAGCATATTGATTACGTTTTGAATAAAATATCTGTAGGGATCTTCATGCTCCGCACTCTTAAAAACATGCGGTTTCATCTGAGAGCTCTTGACTTGCCTACCCTTATCTTACCTATGCTGTACAGTGTAGGCCTACCTGTCTGAGGGTGTGAAAATCAAAGGACTCAGTTCATTTTCAAACTTCAGGAAAGTGCTCTCCGAATTAACTTATTTAATCTCTTCATCGTCGCAAATCCTGCAAAGAAGTCTTCAAATCACATAAAGTTGGTTCTCACTTTCCCATCCATTTAAATTTTAGAAACCCTATCATTCATTAGGTAAAACCTTACATCATATGTTTATTCAAGCTTCCTTTGCTATCCTTTTCGCGACAGTACCATGGCATTCCACCACATTCTTAAAAAAAAAACTTTCACTTCAATGTAGTAAAACTTTTTAACTATCTCCCTCTGCTACTGAAAGCCAATTAGGACTTAGGAAAATTTAGAAAGTTTTGTAAAAAATTTAATCTTAAAAGACATGGTCTGCTACAGCGTCCGTGATTTTGCTGGTAGTTTTGTTGAACAGTAAAATGTGGTGTGTCATAAATCAAGTAAAATAACTGTATTATGCTTATTTAATTTTTAATTTAATTTTAAAGAAATGAAATTCTAGTTGAGACTTGAATGCAAACACAAGTTATTTGTCAATCTAGCTTAATAAACGACTTTGACTTTAACATAGTCACCAAATCTTACTGCATTTTTTATGTGTGCATTACGTTCTCTGTGGTTTTTATGTTCTCATATGGTTTCACATCACCCAAAATGCACATTGACCCATATCATGTCACCAAATTATCATTGGCCATTGAACTGCTAGCTGAAGTAATTGTCTTTCACATAATTGTTGGTCCATAAACATTATCAAACTTACTGTATTTTATACTTGGTTGGGTGGTTACAGTGCTTGTCTAACAATCAGAAGGTGACTGGTTCGCTTGTAAACTGAGGCAGTCTTTTTAGCGAATTTCCCTATAGGAAGTAGCTGGCAAGTAGTAGTCCCTGGGGACTACTAGTAACAGGGAAGTAGTCTCTAGTAGTATGTGGCACGGTAATACCTAGGCCCGGGACCGATTTAATTTATCATTTTGATGTCCTCAGAGACCAGAAACACCATTCGTTAAAATTTTTGTAGGTAGCCTATATGTTATTGTAGAAATATTTATATATATATATATAGAGAGAGAGAGAGATATATAGATATATATATACCTATATATATTATCTCCGTGAACGCAATAACTTGAGTGACGGTACGATTTTGATGAAATTTGGTTTAAAGGTATAAGGCGTGATAAACTTGAATGAGTTCGCAAACCAGCATGATCGGACTATGGGAACAGGGGTTTAAGGGGGGTTGTATGGGGTATCAAATAGGTTTTTCCCATTTTTTACCCTAAAAACACAAATTTTCTTTTCAAACCATTTTGTAGAGCTTAAAAAAAATAAATTAGTGTATTGAACCGTTGTTATGCGCCTAATAGTTCCAAAAAACAGAAAATTCCAAAAAAATTCTAAATTTAAAATAGACCTAATTCCAATGTTATTCTTATGAAGTCAACAATTGTAGTTTGCTTTTGTTTATGAACATATTTTGATCAAATTTAGAAAATGCAAATTCATTTCTTACTAAACTACAGTGTTAAAATTTAACAACAAATAACACTTTTTACTCTCCCTTTTGCAGCAAACCTAAGTATTTGTTAATCTAATTTTATTTAAATAGGGAATAATTGTGATATTTTTAAGGAGATATTTCAGTGTAAATCCAATCAGGCAAATGGAAATTCCCTAAGTCTGCAGGTTTGCTGTGGCGGGGTTATTTATATATGTATATATATTAAACACATATATCGTCAGATATGTCGTCACATATATCGTTAAACACAAAAATTATATATATATACACGTCTGTGAGCATGATAACTTGAGTGATTTTTGTCTGATTTTGATAAAATTTAGTTTAAAGGTGTAAGAAAAGATAAGCTTGAATGAGTTCGTGAACCATCATGATCGGTCCATGGGTACGGGGTTTTACAGAGGATTTTATAGGATATAAATTGGTATTTCTCATTTTTGACGCTCAAAACACAAAATTTGTCCAATTTCTCTCTAAACCTTTTTAAGGAGCTTAAAAAACAAATAACATAGTATATCAACGTGATTTGTATGGTCATTGGTGAAGGAGAAAATTAAAAAAATTGTAAATTTAAAATTTCCATGTTATTCTTGTGGAGAATATTGTGTTGTAAGTTTGCTTGTTTATGGATATATTTTGATCATACATGGCAATTTATTTTATACTAAGCTATTAATATTTTATAAAAAAAACCCACTTTATTAGTTTCCTTGTAGCAGAAAACCTAGGTACTTGTTAAACCTAATGTTATTTAATTGAAAATCAATTCAGACAAACAGAAATTTGCTTAGTCAGCAGGTTTGCTGTGGCGGGGGTATTTCATATTGTTTTTGACGTAGACCTGTTACAAATGTTTAATGTATGCCTTCATGGGTTTCCACTGTTTCTAGTAGTAGGCCTATTGTTTTCTTTGCGCACGACTTAACTAAATGCATATGAATGCTTTCTAGTTAGCCATAAAGCTACTCATATCTGTACATGTCATTGTTGATAACAACAGCTATAACTGCTAAACATACATCATAGAGCCGAAGGACACACTGTGTTTTTAATTAGTTTTAACACTATCAGCTAGGCTATTTTTACAGTCTTTAACTATTCATGTTTTCCTTTAATTGTTTATAGGGTTACTTATTGTTGTAGCCTAAACGTCTAATAACACTTTTAAAGTTTACACTAACTTCTCTTAAGTAGGTACTGTAAACACATAGCTGTGTCATGGATAAATTCATTGTTTTTAATAGCAATCCATGTCTATTTTGTGTGTTTTTTTTTTTGCTCTTTGCTCTTTGAATTTTGCTTTTTGATGAAAAATGATAGGAAATGTAAATAATAAGTTTTTGTATAAATAAAGATACTTATCAGTAGCAACTTGTTCAGTAAAGAATATTACTTCATTACATATTTTATATATTATATTTTTTTATATATTTAGTTTAGAATATACTTTACTAGCCATACCCGCGGGCTTTGCCCCGTTTAACTTCCTAATTTTCAAGATGAGCTCGTTCGCATGGCTCAATCACGTCCTGGTTGAAGTTCATTCGCTACGCTCACTCACTTTTAGGTTGGAGCTCGTTCGCTGCGCTCACTTGCCTTCAGGTTAGCTCGTTCACTACGCTAACTCGCCTCCAGGTTGAAGTTTGTTCGCTACACTCACTCACCTTTTGGTTGCAAATTAGCTGTTGTCATAAATGTAAAAGAAATAATAGTGCTGCACCCTGTTGGCAATCATTGTAACTTTAATGCTGTTGAACATCATAGAACAGAACCAACTTGTTTAATTGAAACAGCTGTTAAGATTCATTAATTCCATTTAAATAGGAATACTCAAAAGGTTAACATGGAAAACTCCAGAGCCACTGGGGCGGAGCCCGAGAGTCCGATCAGAATAAAAACAGCTTAGTTTTCCTATTTAATGCCTAAAGAATCAGTGTCCCAAATTTCAGCCTCCTAGGTAAATGGGAAGTAAGATAATTAGTGATGAGTGAGTGAGTCAGTCAGTCAGTCAGTCAGTCAGTCATTGAGTCAGTGAGGGCTGTGCCTTTTATATATATAGATTTTAATTCAAACATCATCTACAACACCGCAATATAAATACTGGAGAGGTGAGGGGAGGACCAGAGACAATGGAACCGACGAGTGATAAGGAAATGCAAGTGATACCTGACCATTTGTGTATCAAACAGCCTAGACTCAACTTTTGCATTAATAACACTGGTCTGCTCGTTGTGTTTACAATTTTATTTTATCGGCCGTATGTGTGTGCGCACTATTTGTTTGTGTATGTGGTTGTGTATGTTTTTATGTATGAAGGTTGTCACGATTAAAAGTTTTTGACATGACTTTTAAAAACTTTTTATCATGACAACCTTTATTTGTATTATGTGTATGTGTCAAAAACTTTTAATCATGACATCCTTCATTTGTATTATGTGTATGTATCAAAAACTTTTAATCATGACAACCTTCATTTGTATTATGTGTATGTGTCAAAAACTTTTAATCATGACAACCTTTCTATGAAGTAAGCATTCTTGTAGGTATTCACCTGATGATGATCTCTTAGATAACCGAAACTAGTTGTGAACACAATTGGATTGTGTAAATCAGGCATTTAAACCATTATTAGTAAAGAATATGAATGAAGCATTACCAGTCCAAACAAAAAATAACAAAACTGAAAAGTGTTCTGTGTAGTAATTTCTACATGACCTAAGAGTAGAAATTCCTTAGTCATGACTGTGCTGATTGTTGTCGTGTGACTAATCATGGTTGAGCAACGTAGTCAGCAAACTCTTTGCTCCGAATATTTTCAGCTGGAGTTTTCACTTGGCCATGAAAGCTCCTCCTATCACACTTATGAACACAAGATATAATTACTGTATATAGAAACAATGTAAGAAAAACTAACGGGTTATTGTGTGTAAGTCATAAAGATAGAAATTACAGAAAACGAAATAGGGACATGAAAGTCAAAAAGGCTCGTTAAAATTACTCATAATCCTGAATAAGTTGCCTAGATATAGGATTTGGATAGTTACTGATACTTGTGTACAAGCCGATTTTAAACGGTGTGCCATCTCCAGGCAGGGTTCGACTTGATGGAGAAAGCAGAATTGTGTAGCAAAAAAACCTGTAGCTGTAAATCTAGGAACTTCCAAGATAACATTTGACCTATTTTTCATCTTTGAAATTTATTAAAAAAATCTTAGGCTATTTAATAAAGTTTGAAAAATAGTCAACTTTAAGCACACTCCACAAAACACTTGAAACCTCAATAACCTTCTTTCCTAGTCAATAAACTATTTTTGCATTTTAAATATTTATTTTAGATAAAATAAATGTGTGTTTGCAGATATTGAGGATGCAGGATGAGTGTTCGAGGCCAGATGAGTCTAGAGGCGGTGGAGCCGCTGTACCCTCGCGCGGCGTTAGGCGACACGTCACTGCGGTCACGCGGTCACTCGCGAAGTGCCAGTCATGGTGGAGTGGGTGCAACACTGTCGCCTGCTGCACGACCCTCCGCCTTGAAACAGCGCGGCCACCAACGCGCGTTCTCCCAGGTAGGCCTATAGTGCTGCTGTGCCTCTTTAGGATGCAAGAATAAAAAATAAGTTGAGTAAAGTGGTGTATTTAGAGACATATTTTCAATTTTGTTTGGATTTTTCTTACTTATCAAATGTTAAAAACAACTAATTGTTACTTTGATAAAAATATGTTTTGCGTAGAAAGAAATAGTCTAAATCAAAATAAAATTTGCTAAACACAAGTCATCTTATTGGAAAATGATCTTCGTCATGAATAATTGTAGGCCTACCAAAGAGCTCAACCATCATGAAATAGTGTCAAAAACTAAAAGAACCAGTAGCATATGCAACCAAATTTTGCTTTCTGGTAAAAAAATCTTTAAAACTGAAATTAAACTTCTGAAAATTTTTAATATATACCCACATTATGATGTTTCTTTCGACATGAAATAATACTGTTGGTGTAAATTAATAAGAGTTGATATTTTTCCATAGGTTCTCTAAATAATAAGTCTCCATAATAGACAAACTTCTTAAATTATTAAATTATAATGACACGTGTGTCACAATAAGTTAATACATCTTAGTAACAACCAGATTTAAGAACTAGCCTAATCAATGATTATAGATCAACCAAATTAAATATGAACATCTAGACAGTTTTTAGAGGAAAGTGTTTGAGCTTGTTTTCAGTTTTCATGTCAGAAACATTTTTGATGTTTGAATACTTTCCTGTCCAAACAACAAGTTATAATTCAAACTAAATTTAAAACTAACATAAATTTATGAAATTTCAGGGCATGATCGACACTGATTCCGGTTTCATAAAGGGCCATAGCCGAGTCGGCTCCAAGACTGACTTTATCCTCCCGCCGGGCCACAGGGACACGGAGGATCTGCCTGGCGCTACCACCAGGAAGGGACACTCGCGCCAGGCCTCACGGTCCGAGAGCATCTACACTCTGCGGAACAACGCGCCACCACCCAAGTGGCAGCAAATGCTGTACTCACTGCTGCCCTGCAGTCGACTGCCTGAGGGAGATGAGCCACGGACGAGGACAGTCGTACCCAACCACCTCGTCCCTCCCAACACCCCGATGAAACTGCACCCGAACGGAAACCGCCCGGACAACCGGATAAGGACTACAAAATATACCCTTTTGTCGTTTCTTCCAAAAAACTTGCTAGAACAATTCCACCGTGTGGCGAATTTATATTTTATATTTATAGTGCTGTTAAATTGGTTCCCCTCAATCAACGCGTTCGGTAAAGAGATTGCGATTATACCAGTGACGTTTGTGCTCGGTGTGACCGCCATCAAGGATTTGTTTGAGGATAGAAGACGACATGCGAGTGACAAAAGAATCAACAACACGACTGTGAGAGTTTATGTCAGGTTAGTAAACTGTGTCATTTGTACTAGTTACCTAGTTGATATTGGTTTTCCGAATCCACTCATTGATCTTTTGGTTCTTTGAGCATTGTATTTAAATTAGAATGGTGGCTTAGAATTCTAGATAAGGGCTTATTTTCTGAATTGATTGAATAAGACCACAGTAGATTAAACATGACCTCACACAATGTCTCAAATCACCCAACAACTGTAACTTTCACTTTTCAATTTAAAGCTAACATTACTTTCACTCACATATTTGTATAAAATCTCTTTAACGAATGAATCCCTACCTGAAAATTGTCCTTGTGAATTTCAGAAAGTTCATCAAAATGTAGGCTACCTACTTATTTTAATTTGTTAATTTCAATGGTATCACATACATCAGTGTAATTCAATCCACTAAACAATGCAATGTTTACACATTGTAACCGAAAACACCATTTTTAGTAAGTCATAACAATTGTTTGGTGAAACGCAATGGTTAGTTTACACTCAGTGTCACTTTTTTGCAGTTTTAATACAAACATACTTACTAAACTTATTTAAAGTAGGCCTAGGTCTACAATTAAAAAATTGTGGATTTAATTATTTTAAAATAAAATAGTTGTCTAATTCAACCATTTTATCTCAAGTCAAAATGTTTATCCTAGTTCTAACAAACTCAAAATGAAAGAAAAATCACAATCAAAGTAGGCCTAGTTTTATTTGAAAAATTATAATAGCCTACGGTAGTAAAAATGTATGGAGAGAGTTGAATAGTATAACTTAACGTTATTGAATTGTAACAATTTATTGGGTAGGTGTGACCTATGTAAAAATTCTTGGGCGTAAAAAATTTAAACCGACTTGTATTAATATTTGATATTCTGTGTCTCGAGTAACTTATTCCATTATTCCATTATTTTGAGTCTAGTGATTTAAAAATGAATTTGAAAATAATATTTAACTTTGATAACTAAATAGACCAGGCCTTGTATTCAGTGATACCATTTCAAATCTTACACATTTGAATATTAATTTGTTAAAACGTTTGTACACTTCAATAGCCTGCATTTTAAATTACAAAAAGATAAAGTTAAAAAACTACAGACTAATCAAATTTTAAATAAGTTAGCCTACATTTTGTAAGCTAATAAAATATATCCTACCGTACGTTTTTAGATTTGACAAACTATAAAAAATGACGTACCTAAAGTTATAAGGCCTAGGCCTACTGTTTCAATATATTTAACGAATAATAGCCTAAAATAGGGGTTTTTATCTCAAAAATATTCCTAAACATGTGTATTCTTATGAATCAAAATTTGATTTACTAACAAGACCTGTGTGTAAGAAACATTTTTTTTCAACTAACAATATTCCTAATAACTCGCTCAAAACTTGTTGTATCAGTAGCAAAGTTGATAAACCTAACCAAGATAGTACAACTAAGCAAGATTGCAAAAGGAAAATTAGGCTATATTTCCTGTTGACTTAAGGAACAAAAAGTTACTAGCCTCTTGTGCATCATTGACTATTGGATAGAGTACAGAGGAAGATATCCAATTTATATGGATCAGCTGGTCATATTTTTTTTACTAAAAACTAATGGAGTTGTGTGAGCCAGCACAGTGTCTAAAACTCTATTTTCTACCTTATTTTTTGTTTCTGACATAGGTGATGGGTCATAACAGTTGCTATAGCTCAGAATAAGTCGTTTCATCAGATTTACTTCGTAAGATTTGATCAGACTTGTGTGCTCCAATGTTGTGGGTTTGTTTCCTAAACTACAATGTCAGTTAATGTCAGTTCACTATTCATGCGTCTCAATCCGCTAACTTTAGAAAAGCATATTTTTAGCCTTGACACGTGTCATCTGTATTGACTGATGTTGGAACTCTGTTTGATAAACGCTAGGAAATTTGCATTGCCAGTTGTTGCTCTTTGGAATGGGAGAGTGACTATGTTGAATGGTTTGTTTGTCACATTATCATGGACGTTAATAACTTACCTTAAATGAGCAATTCTTATCGATATTTATTTTTGGTAACTTATGTCATGAAATTTTGTATACAAGGTTTTGTTTCAATGTTCATGGATATTTTTTAAGAAAAAAAAATATTGAAAAGTACCTCAACGAATTTCTACAAAGGGTTTAATGAGCTGCCAAGTTGGCTGTGAAATAGCAACAAAAGTAAATAAAAGAATTGTTACAGTATTCTGATCATGTTGCTAATTTAGAGATGATTGATTATTTAAGGCAAAATCACCACTTTTACACAATCATATTTAAAGCACAAGTTTTTTACACGTTTTAAATAGCCTAATGTTTGGATATTGTTTGGTTTTGGTAATTAAAAAAATATTTTTAATAGTCTAGGTCTATGTAAATAATTTTACCTATTGGTGTAGCCTACTACGTATTTAGTGAAATAGAAAAAAAAACTTAATCTATTAATTATTATCTATTATCTACTTAATCTATATCTATGTTGAATATTTACTCAACATTAATTATACGCCTGCCAGCAGCAAACTTGCAGACTAAGCGAATTTCCATTTACCTGGCTAGATTTCCACGAAATATTCCCTTAAAATGTCAGATTTATACCCCAAATTTAATTAACATCAGTTTTAATGAGTGGGTGGTACTTAGTTTGCTGCTACAGGGAAGGTGATGAGATGTTTTTCTTTATTGAAATAATGTGTTCTTTGACCAAGACTATTTATTCAAACAATGATCATAGACTGCTGGGTCCAGTATCAAACAATAAAAGTTTTTGTTTTTGCTCAGAATCAAACCGGCAACTTTTTAAGTGCATAACCACTCAATACTCGTGAAAACTTCTTCACTAACTAATGCTGATGGTTTAATTGTTAAAAATACTCTCAGGTAGTAAAGAAAATTAAACTCATTTCATGCAGAAAAGTATAGGAAAACAAACGTGCTATTTTTACTTTATGAGTTTGAAAATAAACAGTAATTTCTACGTCAGAGGTATGAATCAGAGCAGGTATGACTTGTTGAATGTTTAACTCGGCCAGTGTCGTGACTGGGCCGCTGTTATCAGTTGATTGCATCAGTCATGCTATTCCCCAGATGGCCTGGGAGTGCCCGGGCTACATTATTGATAAACCGTACCAATCATCGATTCCTTTTACTCATTCGTCATAATCAAGGCTGACTTCCATTGTTTAATAATTGAGTTTGTCCCAGTCAATTTGAAGCTTTATGATTGTTGTTTCTCTATTTTTTGGGGGAAATTGTGAAAATTATTCTAAAGTGGTTTTTGAAAATTGAATTTTTAAGAAGTAAAAATTGTTGCATTTCAGTTTTTCTACTAATTTGTATTCTTCGTAAAGATCTAATAAAATCTGAAAGAAATTGTAAATATTGACTTTTTTGTTAAGGTAGTTTTGCAAAAAATATGTCTAGTTTTATCCAGTCTTAAATTTCTGATCAGGTATCAAACAAAACTTACCATCTCCAGGACTGTATTTAATTTTTCGTAGTAAAATTCAACCATTAATACCGTATATCCTGTTTACTTTCAATGCAGTTATTTGTAAAATTAAATCATAACCATTTTCATCTTAAGGCTAATTACTACTGTTTAAAGCATGTAATACACAAGTTTGTGGTTTTGTATTTATCAATTAAATAGCTTAATTGAAAGTTTATTCTCAAATATTCTGGCTCCAATATTTGAAACTATGTAAAATTATTAGGAACACCTTTTTACCATCACCTATTTTCAAATTCACATATAGGTATAATGAAATGTCCCTACTAACCTACATTTAGAGCAATGGCTACACTTAGTACAGTATTTGAATTATTATGGTATTTCAAGCTTTACTGGCTGTTAACTAGGATGCAAGCAAACCCTCTTCTTATTTACCATTTCATTAGTAAACTATTTTGGTTTACTGACAAATTGACAACTTGGTTCAGTATCAAACCTACTCTTATATAGATTTTTATTTATCATCCGGTGAAAATTTAATGTTAAATTTATCTAATGAGGGAGCTATGTTATATTGCTTATTTCTTGTACTTTTTTAACAAGTATAAAGAAATACAACAATCTAGTTGTGAACTATTGTTTGCCTTTTGGCACAAGTAGTAAAATCCACCCATTATAAATTATTAACACCTAATCCACAGTCACACTCAAACGTAACCGAATATAAAACATATGAAACCAGGCTTCAAACTTTGGAAACGAAACGAGTAGTATGAGCAGTATTCAAAGTCAATGATCAACCTTTCAGAAATCTCGTAGCATGTCTGGTAAGGCTGTCCCTTGTTGGTAACACTTATTGTCAAGTGCCATTGTGACCAACGTGAACCACTCACGTTGTTTACCATTCACTCAAGAGAGGTGAAACGGTCTCTTCAATACTGGGCTCGGTCGTAAATTAAAACTGGTATTGCTGAAACTATTTTACTACCTAATTAGTAGCTTTACCAACTCTTTATGAAGCTTTAAGAGTAAAATGTTGACATATTTTCTGTAACTAATGAGACTATAGGGTATATATATATATATAACTATAATACGCCAACATGAAATTTGTCCTTTGAACTCCTCCACCATTTCTTAACCGATGTTGACCATTCACATCTCATTGGAAAGGACGTATTGCGTAGACTTGTAAACTGACCTTAATTTTTTTTTAATGTCTCTTGGGCTCTGCCTATTCTATATCAATATTCACAAGAAATATTGATTATATCGAACTGTTATGTACATCGTGAGTATTTCCATTAGTTACATAATCCTTGAGTTGACCCTTTAAACCCATAGGAACTTAAATGACTGTTATTAGTTTTGTAATAACTCCATTAATGCTTTAAAATTGCTCAAATTCGAGCAACATGTACACTAGTACAGAATGATTTCACCACCTTTGTATTACAAAGTTGCCTATTTCATCTGTTTCAATCAGCTTTCTTGTAGTTGGTAGGCCTACACAATTATTATTTTGACAGTCAATGAGTATTGTGTAGTTTTTTTTTTTCAAATTTGTTTCTTAATTACTCCCTACCTTAAACCAACTGATAGGCGAGTGTACCTACAGTATTTTATGTGTTTCAAAAATATTTTAGCTTGTCAACAAGTCTCGAAAGCTGGCTATGTAAACTAGCCACAACAGTGGCCTAGGCCTATATGACCATTGTAACAGTATAAAAAAGAAAATCCAATGATTTATATAAACATTTTTTTGCCAAACGTTATTTTAAGCACACACCCTTGAAGTTTAAATTGTTCTCCACAAAAATGCTACACATGTTTGTTAGAGCAGTCACATTTGTCTTGTAGTTTAGTTACCGTAATTAAGGTGAGGTGAGGCAAGTGCGTTTTTTTTTGGTAATTAACTTATCTAGTTAAATAAAATAACTAACATAATTTATTTTAATCATGCAGTAGTAGCTTAAATGCAGGCATTCCTTTGGCTAAAGCATTTTTTGGCAATTTTTAAGCAAGTTTGGTAATGCATCACACCATTATTACATGTAGCGGCATTCACACATAATCTTTGTATTTTTTAATGAAAACAAAGTGAATTTTTATAGTCACAAAATACTAGCCTACATAGATTGCTGCTATTTTAAACAAAAACAAACACCTAGTCAGTTTTAATGTTAAATAATTATGACCAATCTATTAATTTTAATCAAATAAAATATTTGTTTGGCCACAGCAATTGTTTTAAAATTAATCTTGATAATCTTAAGTTTTGAATAGTCTACACCACAGTTCATTAGCCACTTTTATTGAGCTGATAGCTTATCTGATGCATGTTTGTTTTTACCAAGCTTCATGATGTGTGCCTATCGCCTGACATTGACCATAATAAAGCCAATATGGTGTGTGCTTGATTAAAAAGCTTAGCACAGTTCAAGATTAAATATTATCTACGGTTTTAAATTACTTTGTGCTCATGTTTGCTTGATCGATTTCAATAATTAATTCAGTTTCTTATGTAGGTCTAGTCCAAATTAATATTTGATGTTTACATTATTTACACTGCTAATTTTGTGAATTATCTTTGTGTTTGTGTAGGCAGTAACCAAAATTACCAATTAATTGAAAATAGTATTTAAATGTTAGTTTTACATTAATTGGCTGTACAAAAATATAATACAATACACATTTAAAATTTTGTTAAAAAGAAACAGATTTTTTTGAATTTTTCTCTCTTTAAATGCTTTATTACTGAAGAATAGAATGAAGGTTTGGTTTGCCACTAAGTTTTATGATTAATACATTCACAATGCAATTATTTAATATTCCTTAACATTTACCTTCATGTAAAACTAAATTTTATCTCACCTAGGAAGTTATAAAAAATGTATTTTCTGTTGAAGTCTTCCGGAATTGGTAATCAATTATAACAGGTTACGTACCTTGACGTCCACAATTCCTCAGTCGAACTTCCGTTCACTAGTTTTGACTACTAAGTAGTCATTTTCATAACGGAAAGCCTGCCGGCCAATTATGTTAAATGTCTACCGTGTTATGTATGTGTGTTTAATGTATATAAGAAAATTTGACTACATTCAATGAATGGAATATTTTAACGTTCCGTTTTGAAAATGACTACTTAGTAGTCAAAACTAGTCAACGGAAGTTCGACTGAGGAATTGTAGACATCAAGGTACGTAACCTGTTATAAAAAAAATTTCCCATTTTCTCTAATTTTGATTTGACCGCATAGATAGGCATAACAATGATGAATAATATACCCATTAAAATTTATTGCACAGATGAAAATTAAACAAAAATTGGTTCAGTATTTTTTTACCCGTGTTTTTAGCTTATTTTAAACATTTCTTCTCCTATTTCCATACAGAAATCAATATAAATTCTGTACATTTAAATTATTTTGATTTGTTACTTTTCCCCTGTATATATTTCATTTAAATTTTGAGTTTTGGTAGGCAATAATATCAGGGTCAGATAAAATTTGACCTACTTTATTGGGTTTTGTTTTCTTTAATAAAGCAGTTTCAAAGTTATTAAAACATATCTGAAGAGGTGTGTTACAACTGGGTTGGGCCAAACAAAAGGTGTCATTCCATATTTATGTTGACTATTAAAACACATTCATTGCCAGACTTTTTCTGTACGAACTAAGAGTAAGACTTATTCGACGTGCTGGTATTTCTATACCACCTGATCAAAACTAATTGTTTCTGTTTATTATTTCAAAGTTTAGGCTATCTTGATAATTAATAAAATATTTTTCCCAATATGCTTTTATTTTGTTGACTCTGGTATTACATTAGTATTGGTCTGGTTTCAGTTACAATTACAGTAGTAACGTATACTGGGTAGCCAAATGGTTAATGTGCTAACCTTAAAATCTGAATGTTTCTGATTTTGAGCTCAGCCGTTGGATATCCATTAAGGGCTATTTTTTAAAGAAGCATTTAGCTGTACAATAAAAAACACAAAAAAAAACTGATGTTAGATTATAACAACACCAGGGAAAGAACTGTTTATTTGAAACAAGGCAAAAAGGTTAATGATGTTTTTAAAAAACAAACAATTAAAACCAAGATATACAAATTAACTGTTCTAGTTGTGGGAAAGATCGATTCTGGATCCATAAAACCTTATAATTTGTCTATTTATCAATCATACTTTCTATCATCAAGTTCATGTTCTGTAGAAACATAGACTACGGTTTCAACAGTTTCATTGAAAAAATGTAAAAATAAACCTCTGGTAATTTGGAAGAAAACAAAAATAATGATGTTAAATGCAATTTTTTTCTTAGCTGTAATTATTTATTGTACAAAAAAACCTACTTTAACATAATCATTACTCTATTAAACAAAATAATAATTGTTTTCTGATAACTTTTTCCTTATAATTTTTTTACTGCAAGAATGATGGTCATCTAATCACGCCCTCACATTTAAATACACCTGCCACCAATCAATATACTTTCACCCGCATTGTTGACTCATCGTGTTAGGCCTCAGGATCAAAGTGATAAGAGTGACATAGCTTTAAAATGGCTTTAATTGTTTAATTCTATTAAAATTTTACTACAGTAATTAAAAAATACCTACATAGGGTGTACCACAAACAGGTTGCTATTTTTGAATTAATATACCAGATGTGCCCAACACGCTATAAACATGAAACTTCATAATTATAACAAACACAAATTTAAAAAAGTAGGCCATAGGTAAAAAAAAAAAAATTCCAAAAAATTCCACTTAGTTTTGACCACTCTAACAAAATGGCGGAACATCAAAATAATTGTGTTTTTGTTAAATTTATTTTATTAACAAAACAAACCAAAACAATTTAAGCAACTTACAAACAATTTACAATATAATTTGCATCAAGGATCAAAATGAAATTTAACCCCACAGTTTATAATTTAATGCAAAGATTACTGAAGGGTTTTCGAAAAAGTAGTTGCTTTAGCAAAACTGGAAGCTAATGACCCCTGCAGGCATACTGCTGCTGCGGAGTAGCGACCCCCAGGGACTGTGTTACATTCAATATGTGTCGTGTTGCTAAGTAGTTTGTTTTGGCGCAGTGAGGAGGAGAGATACAAGAAGTTGCCATGGAAGGACGTGAGAGTAGGAGACCTTCTGCATCTGTCCAACAACGAGGTGATCCCAGCAGACGTACTGCTGCTGCGGAGTAGCGACCCCCAGGGACTGTGCTACATAGACACCTGTGACCTTGATGGGGAGAGCAACTTGAAGCAGCGGCAGGTGGCCAGGGGCTTCGTTGAGAAGGTAAAGTCTAGAAAGTTTAATCAAGACAGTCAGTACAATAGCAATTGATAATTTTGTCAACGAGTGATATTCATTGATTAACCTTTTGAATTCCATAGTCTGATGTATCAGACATAAGACTACCTGTAACTAAGACATAGACTGGGACAGGTGGCGTCGTCCTGTAATCCAGCTACTAGGAGGTCACGAATTGTGGATATTTATAGGCATGCACTGTGGATACGAGACTCCCTGGTGTGGATTAACATCCACACGAGTGAGTACTAGGACTATCCGCAGTACTATCCTGATAATTAGACCAATTTGTATATACTAAGGCAAAAATGTAGTTCGGATTCCACTACAAACTGTAGGTTCCTTAGTTACCATTAGCTGTATGGACTAATTAACAGCTGTGTCTGAGGAATACACACACAAATTCCAGTGTCGTTGTTTAGTGTAGCTTTGTTAGGCCTTAGTCACTAAGAAGACTACAAGATCGCGCCACTCATCCTACACTCATCTCCATACTTAACTTTGCATCTTCATACTTGGCTTAAAATACCTACTTCGTATGGTCGCCATTTAATAAGAAAGAAAGTATTAAACTAAATCACGCAAATTATTTATATAATTACTGGAAGCTATACATGACATTCTGGAAATATAGCTTAGAACTACTAAGTTTGGAATTACCAATGTTCAATGTTGTAATGCAGTGGACAACTAGGTCGGATCGATTACAACTAAACATGTTAATCCGTTAATAATTTTTTTCCCCATGAACTACCAAGTCATGTGCGAGGTAAAGGTCCTGCCTACAACATTAACCTAAAATAAATATTGAAGTCATAAATATCAGAGGCTGAATAGTGAAGTGGGTGATTGTCTTTTCCTCCTCTGTCCATCCATTGGTTGAAAAAGTGTTGTTCAGTAATATTGGGTTCCCTTGTGACAAATAACAATAGTATTAATCACTCCTCCTATTTATATAAGTGTTACATAAATTATATGAAAAGTAGACCCCAATTGTAAAAAAATTACGCACAAAACAATGTCAACAAAAACATTACTTTTAACTAGGAATAAAAATTACGAAAACCACCAACACACTAATTATAAATTGTAAATTAATTTACTTATATTACTGAAAAGCATTATGTTGTTGGAGGGTGACTTGTTAACGAGTTAAACAAAATTATTTGAGTGAAATTATTATAATTGAGAAGAATGAACTTCAGTTAAATTCATAAATCGACTTCTGAAATAGGGTTGTCTTGAATATTTGCAAGCAGAAATAAAAGATGTTATCATTGTTCGTAAGACCTAAATCTTTATCTCAATGTAGGCTATATTATTACAGATTAAATTTTATACTACTGTACTTTAAATAAATTTATTAACAACTCATCTATACACTATAACATAATATTTACTCAGTCTTTGAATCATACCAAATCATTATCGTCAACAGTTTTTACCATTATTGATGAAATGAGGGAATAAAATACTTTATTAATAACTAGCTGTACCCGCGGGCTTTGCCCCGTTTACAATTCATATGTGAGCTCGTTCGCATGGCTCAATCACGTCCTGGTTGAAGTTCGTTCGCTACGCTCACTCACCTTTAGGTTGGAGCTCGTTCGCTGCGCTCACACGTCCTGGTTGAAGTTCGTTCGCTACGCTCACTCACCTTTACGGTAGGAGCTCGTTCGCTGCGCTCACTTGCCTTCAGGTTAGCTCGTTCGCTACGCTAACTCGCCTCCGGGTTGAAGTTCGTTCGCTACGCTCACTCACTTTTGGTTTCAAATTAGCTGTTGTGAAATATTAAAAAAAATAATAGTGCTGCACTCTGTTGGTAATCCTTGTAACTTTAATGCTATTTAACATCATAGAACAGAACCAACTTGTTTAATTGAAACAGCTGTTAAGATTCATTAATTCGATTTAAATATGAGTACTCTTTAGGTTAACATGGGAAACTCCAGAGCCACTGGGGCGGAGCCCGAGAGTCCGATCAGAATAAAAACCACTTAGTTTTCCTATTTAATGCCTAAAGAATCAGTTTACCAAATTTCAGCCTTCTAGGTAAGTGGGAAGTGGGAGAATTAGTGATGAGTGAGTGAGTGAGTGAGTGAGTCAGTGAGGGCTTTGCCTTTTATATATATAGATTGATGTAAAAAGGAAAGATATTAAAACATTAACACTTCAAACTGTGAACATATTAGGACAACATAATAATAATCACAAGCAGCTGATATTAAAAGACACATTAAAAAGATATTTGATTATATAGCATCAAACAAAGCAATACTATATAAAATCTTCAACATTTCCCCTTAATCAAACATCTTTTTTTTTTATTATTTAATCTGAGTCTTTAAGTCCCATGTCCGTCAATTATTAAGGCCATTTTCATAGAAAACTTCCAATTGTTATAATTTAAAACACCCTCTAGACGTTCAACATTACTATTTCCTCCCATTATAATATTTGTCATACTAGACAATCCTGTATTACTTGAGGTAGGTGTAATAGTATGAGTTGTATTAGTGTTTTCTTGTGTAGTTTCCATTTTAGGTCAAACAACATAAAAATTCAGTTCAAGAAATTAGGTAACAAAATATTGTTCATAAGCCTAGAAATCTTACCAAACACAATCAGTCCAGAATTCTTCATTTTAACCCTTTCAGTGCTATGAAACGATATATCGTTGTTTTAAAAAATCTCTAAGGGATATAGAGAGGAAGGTTATTTTAACAAAAAATAGCAAAACGGCCATTGATGACCTGCATGTTCATAGGATACACTATCAACCACTTAGCTAAAAGATTCGCCCAATCCGATGATTTTGAGGTGTATGTCTAAACCAAGGATTATGAACACCTCACTATGCCCCAGTGGTTGTAGTATATCGCTACAAACACACAGGTCACCAATTATTTGCCACACAGGACGGGATTCGAACCCGAGCAGACGAATGACACTGGCCAAGTGACACACGCCCTAGCCTTCTCGGCTATCTGTGCTTGAAGACTGGGGAGTCAAAACCCGGTATTTAAGCTGTCGCCGACGATTGCGAACAGATGGCGCTGTAGATGGTTGTTCAATGTGTTACTAGGTAGCAGCACCAGCTAGTCACGGACTATTTAGATGCAATCTTTTAGTTTAAACACAACAGTGATCATAAATGTGTTCCTGAGACTTTGCTGCAAAACATTAGTTTCCCTAAAATGGCTATATTACGATAACCTCGTCCAACTAAATCAAGGTTAAATTCAATATTACATTGTAAACTATATGTCGTTTGATTTTATGAGATTTTGGTTTCAAATAATGCTATCAGAACATAAAAATGTATAGGAAAACCAGGAAAATTACAACAAAAACTAAGTTTTATTTAATGTTTACTACAAATAGGGGGATTTATCTTTCTTATATATTTTCTTATTGTGTTATTATTCAAAATTAGCCTAATTAATAAAATAGTGACAACATGACAGTTAAAATTCAACAACAGGTAATGGAATTAAAAGGCAAACAAAAAAGTCTTACAAAATATGAATTATTGGCCTAGCACTGAAAGGGTTAATGTAGTTTTATACATATTCAAAATGAATTATATCAAAAACGTCTTCTGGGCCCATAACCTGATGAAATGAGGGAATAAAATACTTTATTAATAATTGATGTAAAAGGAAAGATATTAAAACATTAACACTTCAAACTGTGAACATATTAGGACAACATAATAATAATCACAAGCAGCTGATATTAAAAGACACATTAAAAAGATATTTGATTATATAGCATTAAGCAAAGCAATACTATATAAAATCCTCAACAATTATCAATTGAGATGGAGACGCCACCTAGGTGCGTATTTTAACCCGAATATGAGTGTAGGGGACGAGTGTAGAATGATGTGAGATGATCTGTGTAGCTTTGTTACTACTGATCAGCTGTTTCATCAGTTTTGTCAAAGCCATTGAAATAAAATATCTCATTTGATTATTTTAACCACTAAAACTAATAGCAACAGTGGAAAAGTTATAGAGTACATTATTTTGTAAATTTTATTTTAGTAACAACCAAAAGTAAAATATTATACCCCTACTCTCAAAAATACACTTGGTGATAACTCACAAATTTTGAAATGTAATTAATTTTTCTTATAAATAACAGATAATCTGTGCACATTACGGATGATTCTACAGTATAGTAAAAGATTTTCAAGCAAATACTAAAGACATCATGTAAAATTAAATTTTGTAGTAACTTACACTTTGTTGCAGCAAGAGGTGTTTTCTCCGCAGCTGTTTCGCAGTGTTGTTGAGGTTGACGCCCCCACCACCAAGATCTACCGTTTCCACGGTGCTATTGTTCACCCGTCGGGAGAGCGAGTACCTGTTGGCACGGACAACCTTGTGTTGCGTGAATGTATCCTCAAAAACACTGACTTTGTAGAGGGCATCGTCGTCTATGCAGGTAACTTTTCATATCAGTAAGAGTAAAACAATTAACTACACTGAAATAACTTGTTGATTGCTTGCGACTTGTCCACATTTTCCCCCACATATCTGAGTAGGCCTTCTCTTAAATGTTGTAGTTAATGTATATCTGTTCTTTGTTTGGTCTTTAGTGTTAGTGATTGTGGGCTAATGTGATTAAAAAACGATTACATTGTTTATATCATGATTAGTAAAAGAAAAGTTGTGAAAAAATAGAAATTGTAATCTGTACTAATATTAATTCGTTGTAGGTATTGTCTCCTACAGAGAGAGTTGCACTGATTTTAAATATCAGTATGGAAAACGGAGGGGTGTCAAAGTATAAGTATGCTTTGGGCTTTGTGTACCACTTAACAGTATTGTTAGTGAGGCAGAGTGTTAGGTAGTAGATTTGAACATGTTGTGATTTGGGTGTAAATTATGTTTCTGGGGTACAAAGGGTTAATTTGATTTTATAGCTATCTTTATTGGGAATAATGAGTTACAATATATCTTTTGTAGGTCATGAGACAAAGGCGATGCTGAACAACAACGGGCCGAGGTACAAACGGTCCTCGCTGGAGCGGCAGATGAACGGAGACATCATGTGGTGTGTGGTGATACTGGTGGTGTTCTGTCTTATTGGTGCCCTGGGCAGTCGCTCGTGGCTCAAGACATTCACCCTGCCATTCGACGACGTTCCCTTTCTGCTGACCAGCGGCTCGGCCAACGTCGAAGGAATGCTGACGTTCTGGACGTTTATTATCATCTTGCAGGTGATATTTTAGCTGTCACACCTTTACTTGATTTTTAAATAGGGACTGCAGAATTTTGAAGAAATTGTTCAATTTTCTTTTAGATACTGCAGAAGTAAATAGGAAACAACAAATCAACCTCGAAAGAAACATATCCTAATTGTCTCCACCTGATCCACAGGGATGGCAAATCTAGGAGGAGGGGATCTAAAGAAAACTCTCTCTTCCTTAGTTGAAAATGCTGTCAGTGACAGTTAAATATTCTAATATTGTGTATATAGAGTAAAGTGTTGTTTATCCTGTATCAGCTTGGACTTTTTTCCATTGTGGTAAGCCTGCTGCTGACTCCATTCTGTATTTTCTCTGTATAAATCATGAATAATAGATTTATGATTCAGATTCTGCTATCCTCACAAAGAAAATCCTTAAAACCTAGGCCCTTGTTACATCCTTAAATCTATTAAGAAGTATGTTTAATATTGTGTTTTTTTCCTCTTGAATTTTTTTTAACGGACTAGAAAAGGCTCTTAAGAACAAACCATACTCTTACTCTTAATCTCAAAACCACACATGTTTAAGTAGGTGATTCAAAATCAAAATACAAAGTTCCTCTATCTCTCAGATCTTCAGTTGATGATATTCCGTCCAAACCTGCTCTCACTTAGTTCCCCATTTTTGCTAGGCTCAGTCTCCTTCTTTCTCATTGTTTTTATTACTTGTTTTAGACTGTTATCACAACTAGTCATTAATCTCTCCAGGTGATGATTCCGTTATCCCTGTACGTGACGGTGGAATGTACTAAGATGCTGCAGGTGTACCACATCAACAACAATGTAGAACTGTACGATCCCTTGACAGACAAGCGACTCGAGTGTCGAGCCCTCAACATCACAGAGGAGCTGGGCCAGGTCAGTCTATCAGATTGGTTCAACATTTAATTTTCCTATAGGGGCATATTTTTAAAAACTTCCCTGTGACTTACTATCTTTGACTTTTAAAAGACTGTAACATTGCTAAACCAGTATTTAAATTCCTAATTCCTATTTGTATCTATGTCCTTTATAGATTACCAAACCGTCCACTTGATTAATATGAAACTTTTGGAATTTGTTACACCTTGGGACTTGTTAAAACCCTGTTGATACTAAAATGTTTTATATTGTTTATATTAATTGAGACCATTTAATTTTTAATTTAATTTAGATATTTAATATTTAATAATTTAATATTTAGTTTAATTGAGACTATGTTAAATAGTCGTAAGCTTAGTTTTATCCTCTGTTATAATTACTGTTGAATTTTCCCTGTGCTATATTAAAGTGTTGAATTTTATTATTATTTATAAACATAGTCTATTTTTAATTATAATCTGTGTAAATTTAATGCGCGGTTGAAGGATGAATTTGTTTTCCCTTGGTATAAGAGACAACTTGTATAAAAACAATTGTATTCATGACAAAGCACCTGTACATACATCCTGTAATATTTTTTGACGCTTTGTACCAATAAATATAATTCATTCATTCATACACACATGTCCGGGGAAGGTTTCTGTCTTATTCTTGATCTTAAAATATCCTATGCACTCTGTCTCCCCTGGTAGACATATTGGTTGGCAGACTAAAACCATTGTTTCTTTACTATTTCTTAATCAGCACCAGAAGTGAAAGTTTAAAAATTTCAGGTTATGGTCGTGATAATAGCTTTAAATATAAAAAAGTTAGTTTACATAAATCTGTTTTCCTATCAAATCTAAAATTTATTCTCAAATCTTGTTCGTTGTGTGTTCATAGTTGGAAAAAGCTAGTTTTAAATGCTTATTGGTGTTCCAGATACAGTACATATTCTCAGACAAGACTGGAACCCTGACTGAGAACAAGATGTTGTTCAGGAGATGCACAGTGGCCGGCGTCGACTACAACCACCCCCCTGTTGACCACATTCCAGTAAGCACCTGTCTAACTCAATAAATTGTTCAACTATACTATTATACTACTATATTGAGTGGGGAAAAATTACAAAAGTTACTTCCTTCATAGAAAGGTTATGCTTTTAGGAAAAAGCATTTAGCTTGGATTAAAATATAAATATATAGGATGGAGAGGACACAGCTAACTCACCTGATGAAAGGTTGCAGACGAGTCAAAGAACACATAAAACACACACATAATAATACTTGAGATTTCGCCTCTTTCAGAGGCTTCTTCAGAAGTAGGCCTAGATGGCAGTTACAAGAACAATAAGTGAACTTGGACCTTAAAATAATGAAGTATTCATAGGTACACTTGGGGATGGGTCGAAATGTAAGCCCTGGAAACTAGAATTAGTATTTGAGGGGGTTGTTCTTGTAACTGCCATCTAGGCCTACTTCTGAAGAAGCCTCTGAAAGAGGCGAAATCTCAAGTATTATTAAATGTGTGTGTTTTATGTGTTCTTTGACTCGTCTGCAACCTTTCATCAGGTGAGTTAGCTATGTCCTCTCCATCCTATATATTCCTTCATAGAAAAAAATGGTTGGTACTTTTGGTTCTGAACAAGACAAGACTTTTATTTCCATCCTAAATTTTTGGGTTGGAATTTTTCTTCCTGTGTAAGAAGGAGTACTTTAGTTTGTTTTAAAAAAATCCTTGAGTAAACTCCTGCAAATCACAATAATGACAAACAAACTCAGTTTTTATTGCTATGTCATGTAAAAACCAACAAAGAGTAAAAATACATTGATAACCAGACTCTTCTCACAAACAGGAATGGGCCCACTATTACAGAATTCTAAAGAACTATGTAAAGCTTTAAGGCAAGTCTCCAATGGTTACCAATAGAAAAAAAGTAGTACCTTTAGTAATCATAAACTTTGAAGTGTGTATTTAACACAATGTCATCATGACTATACACTGTTATCTTATTTCCCGCAATTGTGGAGACATTATCATGGCTTCCTACAAAAGTGGCAAAATAATTCTCATCTGCTACGTCTGCGTAAACATTTTAATAGTTCCTCCAATAGCGAAGAAATTGTGGACAGTGGACATCTCCCTTGATGGCGAAGACATCATCATCAGTGACAAAATAGTGAACATCTCCCGTATGGTGGAGACATAATTATTGACACTTATGATCCTGGCTAGATTGTGGATCACGTCATCGTCACTTGGAAACTTGGCAGAATTGCTGACGGTTGGAACAAATCCTGAAACCTGAAACCTAAGCATAAACCTTCCCCCAAAATCGGGACTATGTATTATTCCCAAAGTCTTAGGACCTGTCCATAAAGTAAAGAAGAGAAAAGTTTGTAACTACCACACAAGATAATACTTTTTGTGACACAGTTATAGTACATTTCCAAATATATACAATTTAACAAAGTTAACAAAAATTTTTTTTTTTTAAAGCGACCAACTGGCAATATTAATCGTGATTTTTTATAATTTGTAATTTGATGAAAATATCTAAACAACAAAAATTGTTTAAAAAAATCATGTTTTGACAAACAAGATTTTATAACCGTTTTCTTTACAAACACTTAGTTTTCATCATCTTAGTGACAAGAACGTTAGAGAGAGAGAGTGTGAAATTCTTCACTTTACAATCATGATGATTGAATTTGGTGTCATTTAAGATAGGTCACATTTAGTCTTGCTTTACAAAACGCTATCCTCCCAGTCCTTGAAATCATCGTTGGAATAAAAAGGGCGTGAGAGCAACCAGTGTTTAGACTCTTCTTGCTTGATTTGGTCTTCGGAACAGTCTTGCTCCGGCGTAGATGGGCTGTTGAAACCTTGTAGTATGGTGAGTTGGTAGGTTGAAGTCTAAGGTTAAATGTAACAATGTGTTGATATTGCACTCCTATAGTTTGTTTTAACCACTGAGCTATAATAATAACTGGAGTAACCACTCTGTGTTTTAAAAACGTACCACTGTTTTTGCTGGTTTTGTTTCAGAGTTTCGTTTTGTTAGGTTGGCCGCGTGATCGGGTTGGTGGGACTTGTCAAATTAGAGGCAAAATCAAGATGGCGTCATCCTGTTTTGTTGATGATAGTAAACAAAAATCTGCCGACTCAACATTATGATTGCAATATAAGTTTTTTTTTTTTTTATTTTACGAGCAAGAGCAACCCATTTTAACAAGATCATAAAACGATGGTTGTTATTTAATCAAATGCCATAGGGCTATTGGCCTAAACCAATATCTCCAAACCAGGAAACTTGACTAGCCTATTTTCACCACATAGCTTGAAAAAAAGGTAAATAGGTTGGTATTTATTTACTTTCAAACAAAAACAATTTATAATGTTTCAAAATAACTTTAAATACAGAGGTTTTAACGTGCAATAACTTAAATAGGTTTTTGATACAAGTCCTTGAAATAACGAATAACATAACCCCAAATAAATAGTATGGTTAGGTTAGAATGAATTGGAATTATTTGACAGCATCCCACCAACCGATCACACGGCCAACCTAACAACACGAAACACCAAAAACAAACCAGCCAAAACAGTGGCACGTTTTTCTCTAACGTTTAGCCATAGAGTAGTGACTCCAGTTTATAATCTATATCTCAATGGTTTTAACTTACTACAACGATTGTTCAGAAGCTACATGAAGTGATATTGTCCAGGTGAGCAAGCCACAGCCGTTGTGTATCAACAGTAAGCTGTCTGCAGATCTGTGTACGTTACCTCAAGTACAAGAGTTCATGATAGTGATGGCTCTGTGTAACACTGTCGTCATTGCCAGGCATCCTCATGTAGATATTGTAAGTATTGTGAGATTGCTGCGTAAAATCCCACTCGTAACGTTATGAACAGTTGTACTAGATGTTACCAGTTTGATCCTAAGTGAAGCCTTAAATAGTGACTATTCATTTCTTAAAATCAAATTAGGTTTAATATCATTTTACTCACACTATTTTAGTAAAACGTTAGCTATGATGCACAATACAGGTAAGTTTTGAAACAAAAAATCTAACTTACATTACACAAATTTTTGTTTTTTAGCTTTTAGCATTCTTTTGCAGTGAACACCAAATGCATTAGGAAATTTTTCTAAACCAACAACAAACAAAACAAACATTTGTAGATCAGATGTGCCAGATTGATTTAAGTTTTTTTTTATGGGATTTAAAAATAATGTCATTGAATTATTTAGGAATTGACAAATCTCAAATTTTCGAGATTAAACAAATCTTGTTAGTTTTTTGTAACATTTAATTTGCTCTGAGACTTTTTCGAAACAACATTATTAAACAAAAAAATTAAAGCGCCTTTGAAAAACCAACTCAACATCAATGCGCTCCTGTATTGCGGGTATTGCAGATACTTTTTGGAGGCGTTTTTTACTGTTTACATCGAAAAAATCTGTAAAATCGGTTTATCTGATAATTTGTTTATGTGTATACCGGATCTAATAGGTTTTACAGTATGATATCAATATCACTGAGAAAAAGTAATACCGTACAAGCTACTACAATTTTCTTTCGTCTCTTATAGACTGTTTTTGTTGTGATACAGTTAGTTGTGAAGTGCATGTTACAGTTTTACATTGAAGATGTCTCATTCTATTTTTATTTTGTTTTAATTAAGATCTACATAACTGTTTAAGTTCCTGTAAGCTTTTGTTATTTTGTACACTCTTTTTGTATCAACCTTTGTAATAAGTAATTAGCTATTGTACTTAAGTTGTTGTTTTAGTAGTGCTTTATTGTTATTTATTAACCATTGTGAATCTACGCATTAAATAATGGAAAGTCCTTAAATGCTTCCCTGGATCTTACCTTAGTCATAACAAACAATCGGTGAGTCGGTGGCTCAGTTGGTAGTGTCACAGACTTCAGGCTCAAGGCAGTGATGTCGTATATTGGGATCCTGGTTACTGCCGCAAACATTTTATCAGTACAGTTCACCTATGTACTGTACCGGCACATCCCTTGCTTTGCTGGATACTTTCCACGCACAGATCTGTAGTCTATGTGGACGGGCTAATGCAAGGTTAAAAAAACCGCCAACCTCTTGTATCTTTTTCTACTGTATAATAATGAATGTTTTTGTGGGTACAGATGAACGCAAGTGGAGTGATAGATAGTCACGGGGATGACGATACCAATAGAGGTGACTTCCTCAAGACACAAGCTAGTTACCCCGGGGCACCGTCCGCCTCTAGGTACAGGAGACTGGCGGAGTCTCGGTCCATCACCCCCTCGCCTACACCACTACTGGGTGACACAGAACAAGCGTTCAAGGTACATTAATCAACTGATCAAAATATGAAAAATTTGTGTCACAGCTAAAATCTTAGTAAAAAATTCAACCTCTAATAATTTTCAATTATGGGATCGGGACTATGACGGTTCAATAGATAGACGGATAACTGAAAATTTATCATAAATGACTAGAGCTTTAATAATTACAATGATTATTGAAATTTAATTAATAACACGGTGTACTCATAAATTACACAAAGTGTCGTTTTATTTAGAGTACACGCTCATCTATATATTATAGTGCATATAAAAACTACGGCACCGTAAGACCTTATATCAACACATTCCCAATCACATATTTAAGCTGCAGCCAGTTTTGTAGTTGAATTGAGTCACTATCAGATTGTACTGATTTAAATTACTTTGCAATAAGTTTTCAACTAAAGGAACTTATTGTAAGCGTGTATTTTATGTCACATAAACTTTAAGTAACAAAAACATTGGCTATCTAGCTTGCCCATATTGATGGAATGTCTACTTTTGTTTTTAAAAGTCAATGAAATGATCAGTATTTCACTTGTTTATTCCAAGGTACGGGAGATGGCAGATGGCAGTATGGAGGTTAGGAGTACCCTGGTCAGGATACCGAGCGGGGAATGTCTTGCGTCTCCTCTCCCTCTCGCCCCTCTCCCCGCCAACCCTGTTAAACAGTCTCCTCTGCGACCCAGACTGCTCAACGTGCCTTCCATCCTGTCTGGTGTTGTCAGCAGGAAACTTAGCTCCAGTAAAAACGGTGTGAATTATTTTTAACCTACTTTTTATTGCTTAAATAAAATACTCCATATTCATTCAGTAGACTACATTATTCATAAATTGTGCCAAGAATACAGTTAGTATGGATTTTTTTTAACTAACGTTTATCCAAAGTTAAAAAGTAAAAAATTAAATCTACAAACAATCTGTATTTTCAGTTAGGCCATGAAATTTCTATAATGGAGAAGGAGATATCAATAATGGATATTTCTTTGTGTTTTATTTGTTAATTGTTTTTATGTTCTTCCGCAAACTAAATGAAAACTTTTTCTGTTAAAACTATTTTTATTTGTATTTGTGAAGTTTCAAAACTGACCTGTTGCTTAAGGATTTAATTTTGTAACCAGTAATATACCTTTATTTACAGGTCAAAAAAGTTGTGATACCTAATTGTAGGAAAAACATTCAGTTTACTGATTTTTTATTAAATTATTTTCTTTTTTGTATCGCAGGATTGTTTCTTGGGTTTTTAAGTTCAAGTTGTTCCATCATTAGAATATTTTTTCAAATTGTTAATATACATCATACTGGTAAAGTTATATGAATATGTAAATTGTGATAACTTTTGCAATATTTTGTTGTTTGTGGTAGGAGTTACAAATAGTTCGCCCCGCAGTACGCCTGGTGAAGCTAAGCCTATTTTCGAGGCGGAGAGTCCAGACGAACTGGCGCTGGTAGAGACTGCCTACTGCTACAACTGTAGACTCACCAAGCGGACACCCACCTCCGCGGCCGTCTCACTGCCTGGCGGTAATAAATACAATAGCATCAATAGTAACCAATTCTCCTTTCACTGATATATCTTCTCTTGTACCTTAGAAATATTCTTGACTCATTCATTTTATATCTTTTTTACACTTTGATATTTTCCAATTTGTTGAAAAGAACATTGGCCTTGTAGATCCATAATCCCATTTCAAAGCCAGACAAAAATTAATTGCAAAGTGTTTAAAAATTAATTGGGTATCTTCTTTTTTATTGTACTTGGTATTTATAAATAACATTAATTAAATTTATTCCTTTACTAGTGGAACCCCGTCGAAATCGACGGTTAATCTTGAGGTTTTATGTAAATTCAGCTAACTGCGATAGATAGAGTGAAGTCATTAAAATCTTATTTAAATGAAGGGAGGATAAGCATAATAATAAGTGTGACGATTGTGTTCCCTAAAAAACGTGATTGTTGAATTCGTTTAACACAATATTTCCTACCTTTTTATCGGCTTTAGGTTGCCCAAAAGGTTTTTTAGGAGTCTTTATAATTGTTCGTTCATGAGTTTGTTTTAAGTCAAAGCCTTCAAAAAAGCTTAATATGGGAGAATGAGTTCATATAATTAGTCTATCATGTTACGGAAAGAGTCAATATTTATACTAACAACTAATTCCATCTGCTTTAGAAAAATCATTCAGATTGTATCCAGATTTATAAGTAAATCTTCATCTTTGGTCATAAAAATACAGAATTTTATCACCATTTAAATAAGTTTTTTTTTTGTATTTGATAAAAATATCTGATTCTCCAGATAGCAGTAACATTCTTACTTCGATCTAAGCAATTTTAATTCCTTCTCTTGCCACATCGACCCATGTATTTAATCATCCTGTTCTTACTTGATAATTCATTAACTTATGGGGTAGTTTTGCCTGGCCATATCGACCACATAAAGCTGTGCATGTTTTTCGTGGATGGAATGAACCATAATTGCAGGAAATTTGATCACAAATCTTGAACATTTGCAGAACTAAATCCATAACCTAGTCCAGCCTTGATAACAAATCATGCAATTGCGATGAGATGTGATGACACTGTTGTGTTTCCGAATGTTTTGTATGTAGTGAGGTTTAGATGCATTGTTCGACCTAGCTACATGTGTACATCAAAGTAAAAACCCTGTAGGTCTACACTTTTTTTAAATACCTGAATTGACATTAGTTCACCTACTTCACCAAAACCATAGATGAAACATACTCCGTAGTTAGTCTATTCCAAAACTTGAACACAGCTCTCATCCTCAACGTAAGTTACTCATCTATGACACAATTTTCAACACGATTATCGAAAACTTTCATACCAATAAATGAATTTCTGGTGTTCTTTCTTGAATTTCAACCTTACAATATGTATAAGATAACCCAATAAGGAATAATAATATGTTCCTTTGAAAATGATATGTCACACTTATTTCATAATTTAAAATTTTCTAAGATCAATAAAGCATAGATTTTTGAACAAAACATTTAAAACTAATCATAAATTCATCATTTTGTAGAAACTATAAAAAACTTGTCATGCAGTGGAGAATCAATTTAAAATCATAAATAATAATGTAAACATTTAATTTTGACAGTTTCAGTAGACATTTGAATACAATTTTAATATTAACAGCTGGTTCATTAATAGCTGGTAGTGTAAAATTATCCATATGGTCATAATGTAAATACAATTGCTGAGTGAACTTTAAAGGCCTCTGGGGCAGAGCCCCAAGGAAATTTACCTCGTTTCTCTTTTGAGGGCTCACCTACAGACCAATACCTTTCTTTAGACACCCCTACCAAGTTTCTACACCCAGCCGTTCTCTCAAATTAGCTGTGACAAAAACCCCGTTTTCCTCCATAAGAATAACATGGGATGGGACTTTAAAGGCCACTGGGGCAGAGCCCCGAGGGAATTTACCACGTTTCTCTTTTGATGGCTCATCTACAGACCAAGACCTTTCTTTAGACCCCTACCGAGTTTCTACGACCAGCCGTTCTCTCAAAATAGCTATGACAAAGAAAAACAGTTTCAAATTAATATATAGATACTAGCTGACCCGGCGAACTTCGTATCGTCTAAGTTATAGGTTTCCCCTAAGACAGACCGATGGAAAGAATGTACCGTTACGTTTAATTTTCAAGATGATCTCGTTCGCATCGCTCAATCACGTCCTGGTTGAAGTTCGTTCGCTACGCTCACTCACCTTTGGGTTGGAGCTCGTTCGCTACGCTCACTCACCTTTAGGTTGGAGCTCGTTCGCTGCGCTCACTTGCCTTCAGGTTAGCTCGTTCGCTACGCTAACTCGCCTCCAGGTTGAAGTTCGTTCGCTACGCTCACTCACCTTTGGGTTGGAGCTCGTTCGCTGCGCTCACTTGCCTTCAGGTTAGCTCAGGGTTGCCACCAGCCATGAAAACCTTGAAAAGCGTGAATTATGCGTGAATTTAGGTGACCATGAAAAAGTGCGTGAATTATGCGTGAATTTCGCCATTGGACCATGAATTCTCAAAATCATTATTAATAATTCAGCCAAAACCCCTAAATGTGCTGAATCAAATACTCCGTATTAAAACCATTCTCGAAATGAACACCGAGATAAAACGTCAAAGTGGGAGTGTCAAGATAAAAAGTTTTGTTGCCATGCCACGAACAGGAACGATTGCGTAGTTTATTCAAGGTCAAATCCGATCGTAACCGACGTCAGCCGAGTAGTCTAGAGATGAGAATTATCGTTGTTTTCCGGCAACGGTTATAACGATAACGCAGCTGCCCAATAACGTGTTGCGGCGTTCAGTTATCGTTGTCGGTTGATCAGTTCAGTTTTCAGTTGTAGTCGGGAGTCGGGCGTGGCCCAGACAGGATGCGTTATTCTCACTGAGCTAAAATTATAACTGGAGGTAGCACTGCCATGGCAGAAGTCTGTCAAAAGCGTGTCGCTAATTTTGTTAGGTTGGTATAGCAGTGAGTTTTTTCATCCAATGACATGGCTTCTATAACTAGGTTTGTATGGCAGTGAGTTTTTTCATCCAATAACATGGCTTCTTTATAACTCACACCTCACGCAAACATGGCGGCTGGCGACACGCATCTTTGACATTCAGTGCTACCATTGACTAATGGTGCTACCTCCAGTTAGAATTATAGCTCAGTGGTTATTCTAGTTCGTTTCAGAAGTTATCGTTGCTCTGGTAGCGTTACGGCAACGGCACTAATGGCAATGCATGTTTTCGTTTTCGTTGTCCGCGCGGCTTTCCTGCAACATTGTGTAGATAGATACGTTATTATAATAACAGGGAGTTCTCCGCAACGTGTTGCCGCGATAACGTTGCCGTGGCCGCAACACTGTTATTCATCCTGTTATGTTATAACGCCCATCTCTACCGAGTACCGATCTACCGATAAAATCGATGCTTTCGGAGCCAAAACATCGATCACATCGATGTTTGTTCCGAGTTTCTCGTCTGTTCTCTGCACTGTAACAGCCAATTAACCTAAAACCAATACAATTCAGTTACGGAAAACATCAATACTGTATTTCATTACTTTTTTTGGCCTAAAAGACCGATGTAACAAACCAAATCATCGGTTCGGTAATCTACCATCGATGTAAACAAACAACTTCGAACATCGATAGAAAAGACATCGATGTTTCGAAAACATCGACAATCGGAATTGATGCTCGCTAGTCGCTCTCACTCATTCTCTACTCTCTACTCTAGTGTTCGTGTGGAAGGAAATACAGAATAACCATAACCTAAAAGTTTTAAACTGATCTGAAACTTGTCAAACGTTTGAAGTAGTGGTGGACACTGGACAGTAAGATCACTTTTTGCACTCGTGATTCCGTTTTGTGCTTCTTATAATTGATTACCCAACACTCAGTGGAACAAGTGTTCAGATTAAATATTTTTTATTACTGATATATCATACTTCCGATACTTTACAACGTTAAAATAAGAAGTACCTTGCCTTGCCATAAAGGTCAAAATGGCTTGCTCCGGCTGGAACTTAATCGTCTTCTGTGTTTGTTTGGTCAAATATGTCGTATTTCAAACTACTGTCAGTGTTGAGTAAATGTGTTTACAACGTGAGTTTAAGTTTATTTATTTAGGCCTAAGTTGCAAGAAGTCAATGTTGTGCTGAAAAATGGTGATTTCGTTCTGAGGCTGGTAAATGTAAATGTTTTGTTAGAAGCATAGGTGTTTTCAGTCAATACGAATCTAACTAATGAGATGTAAATTTAATTAAATAATTGTTTTAACTGTGATTTAAACCTGTGTAGGCAAATGATAATATATAAACTGATCCAATCGGAAGAAACATCCTTCTAAACTAAGTTTATTTTAACCTTTTCTGTAATGTAATTAATTATTTTTTTATTACTTAAAAGTTAGCCTATGTTTAAACTTACATTTAACTAATCCACTAATATTTAACTATTTAACTAAATATTTATTTACATAATATTACCTTTTTAGAGTGTTTTTATCAGTCAGTCGGTAACCTTTAATCTTCTCAATAAATAAAAGTTGGTTCAGGCATAACTTAGCCTAGATTCAGCTTTGGATTACAATGTAGGCTAGCCTACTGTGTTACAGTAGTAATAGATTGCATGTGCGTTTTAGTAGGCCTAGATATGGCCCATTACTAAGTTAACCGTTTCTTGATCATGTTCTTAACATTTGTTTTTATTATGCCTATTATCTTAATTACCGGTATGCGTTATGCCTATTATCTTAATTTGATGTTTAGACAGTAAAGTTCTAGGCCATTGCTGGATTAACTAAGTTAAACCTTTTATGTTTGGATGCAATGTTTTTTAGGTTAGGCCTATACCTAACTACCAATCCGACTTATTATTTATTTATTATTTCTTCTAACGTTTGAATTTATCATTAGGCCTAAGTTATGATGTTGTTAAATCAGATGTTTCAATTTTTTTTAAGAATTACATTGTATTATCACACACAAGATTTTTATTAAATATCCTTTTTCATCTGTGATTTTACTTTTTTTAGACTGGATAAATTTTATTAAATTCTTATTTTTCACTCTAAAATAATTGCATGAAATGTGTTTTATTTTATAGTAGCACACAAAACTATATATTGTCGATAAATTAATGTACAATTCTGAACTAGGCAATACTCTTTTATGGTGAAATTGTGCGAGCATATACCCCATGAATTTTTCAAAACTACCAATGAAAACCTTGAATTATGCATGAATTTTTTTATCTCACTTTGGTGGCAACCCTGTAGCTCGTTCGCTACGCTAACTCGCCTCCAGGTTGAAGTTCGTTCGCTACGCTCACTCACCTTTTGGTTGCAAATTAGCTGTTGTCATAAATGTAAAAGAAATAATAGTGCTGCACCCTGTTGGTAATCCTTGTAACTTTAATGCTATTGAACATCATAGAACAGAACCAACTTGTTTAATTGAAACAGCTGTTAAGATTCAATAATTCCATTTCTCATAAGGTTAACATGGGCAACTCCAGAGCCACTGGGGCGGAGCCCTTTTAAGAATTTCGAAACGGGAAATAGTTTACGTCCGATTCGCATACCTACAGAATTTACACACCAAATTTCATAACGATCGGTGAAGTCGTTCCGGAGGAGTTTGCAGACAAACACTGTGACACGAGAATTTTATATATTAGATTTTTTGTAACAGTTAATGTTAAACAGGTTTTGTTCCACTACAACTGAGTTGTTAAATTTCTTTGTTATTGAATGTTATTACACTAGTATGCTATCTTGAAAACAAAACTGGATAGCACTTTTTTCCCATGTAGGGAATAAGCTATTACCGTAGGTCTCATGGTAAGAACTAAACACAGGACTGATTTACTTTTTTGTTTTGAGGTTCCCATTGGCCAAAAACACCGTTCACATAATATATGTCTGTTAGCGTGGTATCTCAAGAAAAAAATTATAAAGTTTTTATGAAATTTGGTACAGAGGTACACACCTGCATTTATTTGAACGGAGTTTGTGCACGATCAAACTATGGGAACAGCGGTTTATGGGGGTTTTATGGGGTAAAAATGGGTTTTTCCCATTTTTGAACCTAAAAACGTAAAATTTTACAATTTCGTTTGAAACCATTTTGTAGAGCTTTAAAAAATAAATGATTTAGTATATTGAAATGTTGTTGTATGCCTAACGGTTATGAAAATAATAAAAAAAAATTGTAAATTTAAAATTCCAATGTTATTTTTATGGAGAATTAATAAATGATTGTAGTATGCTTGTTTATGGATATATTAAAACCAAATTTGGAAATTTTGTTTATTTAATACTAAGCTATCGACATTTCAATAAAAAAACCTCATTACCTTCCCTGTAGCAGCAAACCTAATTACTCATTAAAAATAATTAGATTTGAAAATTAAATAAATCTGCCAATTTTAAAGGAGTATTTTTGTAGAAATCCTGCCAGGTAAATGGAAATCGCTTAGTCTGCAGGTTTTGCTGCGGCAGGGGTATCTTCATTTTTATTCTACTTGGTATTTATTATCTACAAGTTGAATGTGCCAGTTATAATCGTTATTTCATTTATAAGTATTATGATTCTTGTCCAGAATAGGTTTTATTTGATTTTTGATTAGAAAAGCAGGCTTACCAAGTGGAAGTGGGTGATTGCAATATTCTCTTCTTTGTGATCAGTAAGGTAGTCAGCGACCATGAAATATTTCAATTGTGTACGAATATGTTTCCTATTGAAGAGACTCGCCCAATGTACAGGTAAGCCTGCTATGTATATGATAGGATTTTAAAGTGATTTAGGTTAATGAATCAATGTATTACAGGACAAGGTGTGATGGAGTATGATGTGCTGAAGATACTACCGTTTGACTCGGCTCGCAAGTGCATGTCTGTGGTTGTACGACAGCCAGTCACTGGAGACATCGTACTGTACTGCAAGGGAGCTGACAGTGCGATATTTGCCAGACTAGCACCAATGGGTGAGCAGACCGCAACTATTTTATCTAAAAACCTCATTTATACAAATTGTTAAGGATTTACTTTAAAGTCATTGAAGTAACTGAAAATGAACTCTAACTGCATTTCAAAGGCACTGTAAATCACTGAATTTTATAAGTCCACGAAATAAAATAATAAACAAAAAAATATTCATTCTACTCTTTTACTCCCCAAAATTAGAAGCAGTAAAAGAAGTTCAGATTTGAAGGTGAACAGAACTTTAACTCTTGTAGGCTTTTGTAGCTAGGTAATCCACTAGATAGAGCCATCAAAAGGCAATAATCAACTATGTTGTTTATGGTCTTACACTTAGCACCACAATTACCCTTTTAAACCCATCACACTGTGAATTATTGATCAGCAACGCAAAGGTTAATTTTACTTTGAAATTTGGATTATAATTTATTAAGCAGTTTTCTTTTGTGGGTGATTCTAGCCTCCCTTGCTACTGAGTCATCCTGTGCAAAATGTTAATACATCTTGTAGAACACTATAAGTAATTTTAGTTGAGTAGTTAGTTAAATATTTGTACTCCACGCTGTAAATAAAAAACATGTGATTGGAATTTCTTATTTTTGTTTTGATTTTCTCTTTCTGTTTAAATGTTGTTTGTTATTTTGTTACCAGCATGGTAACACAAGACCTATGTAATTTTTTTTAAATTTAAAATTCATTTTTTGTTTATTTTTGGATCTATTTTAAATTAGAGAATCTGCACATCTACTGGAAAATATCTTTGAAACAGTGTGCATAGAATTTTCCTGCAATCCAGACAAGCTGAGAAAAAGGTTTTCAAGAAACATGCTTGCCTATTAATATAAAGGATTAAACCTAAATCAATAGATCAATACCAACAGATAAATCTAAATAGGATTTTTGTCTGGTTAAAATTACAATCTACTGTTAAATTTGAAATAAACATGACTTCTAACAGTAGGCCCTAATGTTAAAGTCTGTCTAAAATAATTGTGCGGTTGAAATTCAACATATGATTTCCTTATTATGGTAAATCTCCCTCTCATTTACCCTTTTCTACACAAAAATACCCGTAACAATCATCTGTTTTATATTGCAGACAGGTTTTTAGGAAGCTTTTGTTTTTTATGATTGAACTACACACATAATAAAACAAGAAGATTTATTTTAACATAAATAATCTACGTATTAATTTTAATTTCACTAGAAGTTTTGTTGTACTGTAATATAGATAATCTTGGACTAACATTTATGCTTTATGCTTTTGATGGATTGTTTTAAATACAATTTTAGTTCAGGTAATGTAACTATACATTATTAAATTAGTTAATATCGTGGTGAACTGGTTTCACAATTCTAAAGCGATTCTTCACTTCTTATTTAGTTATTATTTTAATACCGTCGGCAATGGGAACTTTGTCAAGGTCTCTAGCGGAGCCCTAAGGTCAGATCAGGATGAAAACCATTGGGTTATCCTGTTTATGCCTGAATAATCCGTGTACAACATCAGAGTACTTTGCCTTTAATATGTACCTATTAGGTCATGATGAACAACGGAGTCATTTCATTAAACTTGTTTTATTATACCATACATTATTTGCTATAATTTTCTTTTACTGAGGATAAACTAACATAACAAATTGATCATACTATTTGAATGAACGAGTTATGTTTAAAGATACACAAAAATTAAACCATTTGTATGAAACAGTTATATTTAAGTTTTTGCATTTTTTCGTTGTTTACTAATTGTATAAATATTTCAAATCCCTAATAATAAAAGCCCAATATGCCTGAGTACACACCAAATAGAAAACAAAACTCGTAAAAATATATAAATATAATTTTATTTATAAAACATATATTAAACCACAAAATGAACACAATGATGTAAATTTAACAAAAGTTAGATGTAATGTGAACGTTAACAAATTACTGGAAACGTTCCATTACATCATTCACTCTCATAACTGGAAAGTAGATGTTCACCATCATCTTCGCTTAAGCCACCAGAGTCATCCTGCAGATTTATAATGAATGGTTCCATAATTTCGTCACGCAGTCCTTCTTTAAAAAAATCTTCTTCCTGGATATTTTCAGCATGAATTACACATTTCTTCCAGTCTCCTACTGTTACATGGTTCATGACATTTTCAAGAAGGTTCCTGACATCCTTTATTTTAAAAGACGTGTTATTTTGCGCTACCTCCCCTTTCACTTGAGCCCAAATTAGCTCTATGGGATTGTATTGACAATGGTAGGGGGTAGGCGAACAACCTCAGACCCATATGCAACGCAAGTTCATCCAGTTCGTACTGTGGGGGAAAATCTTGCCTGTGCTCCCGCACGGTGGTAAGGAGTTCTGCTACTGTATGGACTGGATGATTGTGTTCAATACCATTATCTGATAGCCACTTCACAATGTCTGCCTTTCTAGATTTTGAACTTAGCATTTTGTTAAGTCGTTTCGAATGGTAGCTGGCATTATCCATTACAATAATCTTTTGATATATTTTCTATATTACAATCTTCGGAGTCCATATTATGTGCTGCAATGTATTTAATTCCTTCTCAAGTTAAGTTTTGGACTTTTTTTTCTATTTCTAATTAACACTAATCAATTAAACCCAGACTGAATAATATTAAACTGCACAAAATATCATCATAATAATCACAATGTTGTTTACTACTAAAATGTAAACAAAGTGACACCTGTTGTAAAATCATGAACAGTATGAATCAGCTGTAGGCTAATATGTGGTGGTGGCAGGGGCCAGGGAGAAAACAGGGGAAAACAAATTTGTCCTTCAACCGCACATTAAATTCAGACAGAGTATAGTTGAGGTTGGTAGAGTGGGGTGTAGAAAAATCAGAGCACCTTAACAGAGCAGAGTACAGGTGGAACTGACTCTAATTTGTTTCCCTACGTAACTATTACTTAACTAATAAGGTCCATTCACTCCATGTTGCTTCATTGCCTCAAAATTGCACTCATTGTGCTTCAGCATTATTGTACAGAAATTACCACAATAGTTTTTAAGTTCCACTAGGCCTATACATTTTTTTATATTTTCAGTTTTACCAACTCGGACATTAAATAAGTCACTAATAGCTATTGAGCCTATGCACTGCACAGGCTTCCAGCCTATGTAGGGTTATTTCCTGAATGTTGTATATCAAACATTACTGTAATTTATTCCTTTGTATTTTTTTTAACAGTTAATGTTAAACAGGTTTTTTTCCACTACAAGTGAATTGTTAAATTTATATATTTTTTTAAATGAAGTATATCTTGATCTGACATGATTGCAGACAGCCTACAAGCGCAGCAGTGTCTGTTGCGGACGCAGCAGCACCTCAACACGTATGCTCGCCAGGGTCTGCGTGTGCTGGTCATGGCCAAGCGCAAGCTGAGTGTCCCGCAGTTCACCGAGTGGCAGGAGAGACTACAAGAGGCTGACCTGCTGCATGACACCAGGGAAAGGCGGCTCAGAGAACTGTACAATCAGCTGGAGTGCAACCTCTCACTGCTCGGTAAAACCCAATCATTTATACTGTCAGAATCAAACATTATCACAATTCAATTTTAATTACTAGCCGACACGTGCGAAGCATTCACTTCAATCCCACTTCAGTTGGTTCATCGCAGTAAGTGCATCATTGGTTTAAATATGGGTCCTTACTTCAGGAATAGATGTGCCTAAAAATTAACATAGATGGCTAAAAATTACTTCCTTCTAAATATTTAGTTTGAACGTTTGAACTTAACAGGTAGTTAAGTTAACTCATTTTAACAAATTTCCAGAGCCCCCTTTCCTTTCCAAGGTTAGGAACCTATGTTAAATTTATTGGTTTAACAGTGAATCATCTCAACAAATAGGTCTATATTTAACACTTCTGGTATGGTATATATTGTTTTGATTTGAATGTGTTTGGTTGTCAAAGTGTGGGTTGTACAAATAGGCCTAAGTTTGATTTTCTTAATCCCTTAATAAAACCAACCTACACTAATAAAAAATAATCAGTTTTAAAAATTGGTATAGGGATATTTTGTTTTTGAAATAAAACAATTAAGTAGCCTAATTTAAAATGAGGTACCGATGGTACCGGAACCGAGAACCGAGAATCGATTTTGGTTAGGAACCGATAGGTACCAGAACCGACATTGAAAAAGTGGTACCGACCCATCACTATTTTTCTTATAACTTTATGTAACCTTATCAAGGCAAGTAATAAAGTTTTGTATTTAAATTTTGAGATTCAAGATTTGGGATGTGATTGATAAGTTACTGTTCTGGTTTTGACATTAGAACACGGGTTTTGATCATCATTAGAACCCAAGTGTAAGCTCTTTTAACTGTCCTAATGCAGTGGTGATGTATTGTTGCAGGGGCGACCGGTATAGAGGACAGACTACAGGAGGGTGTTCAAGAGACAATGTGTGCGCTGCGTGCGGCCGGCATCGTCGTGTGGCTGCTGACGGGAGACAAGACAGAGACGGCCATCAACGTGGCGTACTCGGCCAAACTGTTCTCCGCCAACATGGAACTACTGCGACTCTCAGCCAGGAGCAAGGAGGCGGCTGAGGCCACAATTAACTTCTACAACAACGAGATACAGCACTCGCTCTCTGAGAACAGGTGAGTTGAGTCACACTCGCTAATCCAGCACATGGGACTTTGGCCGTGCCGGGTAATTGAAAACTCTGAAATACTGATTGTACAACACCAGCAAAATGTTTCTACCTCTAGTTTTCTAATCCAAGTTAGTACTGCTTCATCAAGGTTAAATTGTAGAGAAAACCCAGCTAGTAACCTATGTGTTTACCATATTATATGAGTTTTAGCCATCAATGTTACACCTGTATGATTTGTCTCCATTTGGACAAGTAAGGTACATACATGGAAAGGACTTCCTTAAGAACTGCCATTACGGTATCAATTCCAGTTGTGAAGTTCAAAAAAATAAGTATGACCACAGCAATCAGACATTCGCCAAATAGCTTGTGCCATTGACTTATATTATACCTACCCATTTTAGTTGGACTCTCAACTAAAGGTCTGCTCAATCAGTTACTAAAACTGACTTGGCAACCAAACACGACCAAATCATACAAGTGAAACTGGTCAATATATTATTGTTTGACTGTGTAAATACAGCCATGATTATCTTAAATACTGATATTTTGTACCATTTAATTATTTAATATTATTTTTTTAGCAGACAAAATGCGGGTCAAGGAACTCCTACTGCACCCAGTAGGAAAAAACCTGTGAAGAAAAAAGCACTGGTGGTTGACGGGAAGACTTTAACGTAAGTAGTGAAGTTACTATGCATTCATTAATTGTTTTAAGAATCAAATGCTTGTTTATTGTATTTGACAGAATGTCAATGTGCATGCCTCATACATTGCAAAAATAAAATAACAAGTTTGTGTTTTATTTTAGTAATTTTAGTTTGAATGAAGGGACCTGGCTGAGAAACAGCTGATTTTAGTCAGTAACAAAGCTACACAGATAATTTACACTCACCCATCATTCATACTCATCATATAACACCATGTTTGTGTGACAGGTACATTCTAGACCCCAGGTCCAACCTGCAGAGGCCGTTCCTAGAGCTGACACGTCACTGCTCGTCCGTGCTCGCTTGTCGTACCACCCCGCTACAGAAGGCCTATCTAGTGCGGATAGTCAAGGAAAGGCTACACATGCGCACTTGTGCCATCGGTAACTAAACTAGCAATAGATCGTCACAAAACAATAAAGTTAATTTATATTTTAAATTTAAATTTAACAGGTCATACGTCATACGTCAATATCAACCGGTGTTTAAAGCCCCAGCCGGTAACCTGTGGTGTGTATCCCTCTATAAATTTCCATTTATTTAACACCTTCACTGCGTTTGCATGGTGGCCAGCCGCGGCCGGGTGCAGGGACAGCTAATGCTCTGTGTGGATGAGTGTGCGAACATGTTTAAATTTAGTTTCATCCAATAGGAGAGGTATATTATAGCATGTACTGGGTTCCATTCGTTGTGAATGTAGTTTTAAAAGAAACCAACAGATAGCAGCACTAAAAAAAGTGGTAACAGGCCCTCAATATTGCCAAATGGAGGGGAAAAGCAGGGGCAAAGTCACAAAGGGGAAAGGGGCACCATCAAAAATACCGCATAAAATTTGTCAAGCACAATTTTTAGGTTAGGTTCCTTCCACAATGATTAACTACAATCAACTACAAATCACTACAACCGTCAAAAAGAGCCACTTTAGGCTTTAGTGATGAAATGTATTAGGACATTTTAATAGTGGTACATGGAGGCCTCTGCGGTTCTGTGTGTACACGTTTTATTATATTTCAAAAAGAAACTTTTTGGCTGGTATGTTATCAATAGTTAATCCGCAACTGTGTAGGCCTACAGTAAACTGGAAGCTAGAACCAGGGCAAGATTATTAGTGACTGACTTTAAATAAAATCTCTCAAGCAAATATCAGTAAAATTAAAACTTTGCACCCTGTGTTCAGTACTTAATTGAGGTAGCCTATCTATAATTTCATTTCACAAGACCAAGTGGCATAGAAATATTTTTGCCTTGGAATAGTATACGCCAAAAAACAACATTACGAAGCACTTCTTTAAGATACACGTAGTATAAGAGTTGTATTGCAACAATGCTACAAACAACAATGTAAATTACAAAATGTTATGTTTTAATGGCGGCAACAAACCTTATTGAATCTTAAGGATTTTGAAAATGTTTTGTATTGCTTTACAGGAGACGGAGCCAATGATGTGTCTATGATACAGACAGCTGACGTAGGTATCGGCATCGCAGGCCAGGAGGGAATGCAAGCTGTGATGGCTTCAGACTTCTCCATGTCCAGGTTTAAGTTCCTGCGTAAATTCTTGCTGGTGCACGGCCACTGGTCTTATGACAGACTCTCTCGGATGGTTCTTTATTTTTTCTACAAGAATGCGGTAAGGATTTGTCTTCTCTTGGTTACAAGATGTAAGCTAAAACCGATGACCTTATCGTCTACCCGATAAAAAGCTTTTTTTTAAGTTAGAATAGTTTTTAAATTGGTAAAATGACAAAGAATAACTAGTTAACTATAGTCGGGACCACGAAAGTTTGCAGTTGGCGGCATCCAATCACAAGACAAGGCTTTAGTTATATATAGGCCTAGTAAATAACTTTAGTTATGTATCCATTCTCTCTATAAATGTATAAAGATTTTATAATTAACCTAGGAAAATAATACTATATCTGTTTACAGACTTTTGTCTTCCTAATATTCTGGTACCAACTGTACTGTGGATTCTCTGGTACCATAATGATTGACCAGATGTACCATATGTTGTACAACCTATTCTTCACATCTTTACCACCAATAGCAATTGGTAAGAAATAAGAGTATTAATAATCAAATATATTTAGTTATGGATTTTTAAAACAGCCTGATAAAGGTTTCATTTACCTGTGTAACTGCCAGAACGGGTTGTTTAGCAATCACAGGTGTATCTTGCTACTTAATATTTAGCTAACTAACTTGAAGGTTTACTCCATTTTCTGTTGCATGAAACAGCTGTGTTTCAATTAAACCAGAAAGGCTCTGACAGTACCAGCGATCACGAGAGACGATGTCCTCGCAATTGCAGATGTTCAAAATTGTCATGCGATTGCAAGAGAAAATCACCAATTAGATCACAAATTATATACTGTAGTTCTTGTGACATAATGGTATATTCACACTACAAAAATGTATACATATATATGATTATTAAAGCCTATATGGATTTTTAGACTTATATAGTTTGAGGTGATCTTTGTAATCCCTGGTTCATACAAGTATGATTTTTGGTGTCCAGGTTCGCTAGACACCCTGTTTAAGCCTAAAGTACACTTCTCTCACTTGCCAGGTTTTTTTTCAATAATAGAGAAGTAGCTGTGAGCACTTGCCTCTATCGTGCTATCTAAATACAGATTTTCTAAGTTAGATGAACCTTTGTAATCAATCCTAAAGATCAGGACAACAATTATTAATTCTGATTGATTGGACTGACCTTGATGTGGCAAATGCAAAACTATCTCTAAAAATGACTGTTCATTTTAGCTTTATCTCCACACTCCTTGTAGACTCATTGTAATTATTGTAGGCTAAAGCTTTCTTATCACCATTACAATTAAAAAGTTCAATCAAGTAAACTGGGTAGTACATTGATAAGATATTGTGTTGTGCCATGCAGTGTTTTCATCAAAACTCCCAATACATCATGAATATAATATCACAGTAAATACAGGCTACTGTACAATGAATATTAACTTTCTTAAGAATTTAAATAATCATAAGCCTACTTGTGTTATCTTGACTAAGCAAACTATGAATATAACAAACACAATTTAATATATCTACAAACAAAATTAAATTGTTTTGTTTCACAACATAATTTGCACAAAAATGCAAAGAATTTTTATTTTAGTTAGTCAACAAGTTATATTAGAGCAACTAAAAAATCAGCAAGAAAATTTCAAAAATCACCGCTGAACTCTAATTTGAAAACAATCTAGTTTTGGGAAATTTGGAGGGGGGCTACCTCGGTCCTTTCTGTTAATGCGGCCCTTGGATGAAAAGGTTGGAGACCCCTGGCTGAATATAAGTTGGTGGTAATATGATCTATTAAAAACCTTAAATACCCGACTACCAACAATCGATGAAACACAAACTTAACTGTAACTGCATGGATAAAAATTACGACACCACTATTTATTATGATTAGTTTGAATATTACCACTGACATGGTCGTTCCATCGTAGGTGTGTATGACCAGGACGCACCACAAGCGTTGCTGCTGGCCAGGCCAGCGTTGTATGAGAAGGGACGGAATGGAAAGGTGTATCAGCCGTCTTCCTTTTGGATCACCACAATAGACTCTATGTACCAGTCAATCGCCATCTTCTACATCACTATTGCGGTGAGTGTTGCAGCAAAGCTGAATGAAAAGCATGCACTCAATTGAGGGACGTTTTCAGAAAGCCTATACACCAAATTTGAAAGTTCAAAATGGTTTTTTTTTCAAATTTCTCAAGAAGGAAGGAAGGATAAACAACTAACTATCCTTTTCTACAACAAAGTACTCCTCTTTGGTCTATGTTCTATGTTGGGAACTGTTTATAGTACCAATGAATACAACACTTATAAGAAGCGCAATGACTTTGTAAAAATTTAAGTCTGGGAATCTGAATTTTGGATAGTTCCCGCAGCTGCCGCTAGTTAGACTATCGCGAGCGCGTGGCCAAGTCAGCTGACTGAGTGAGAGAGAGAATTAGGACAAAGAGTCGGCTCAGAGAGAGAGAGAGATGAAGTAGTGTGGCCGCCTTGCGAGCGATCATAGCGGCGGTTGCGCTTGGATAATCTTGGCCGCAAAATTCCAGTCTGACTAATTTCTATAAGCATTTTGCTTCTTAAAGGATTTGTATTCGTTGGTTCTAAGCCGTGCAGCTTAGTATTAAATTTACAGATTTACAAAACAAACATTATGTTAATGGGGATTAAGCATGTATGAAGTGTGCACAGTCTGAGGAGAAGGTGGCTGTCAGTAAATGGTGTATCATAATCAGAATCAATCAGAATCAGAATCAGAAAAGCTTTATTCAAGATTTATACATTATATACCTACATGAAATATATGCATAAATACAGAATGTACCTGTTGATATAAATAAATAAAATAAAAGGGCCACCCTTGAACAATCAATTGACACTATCTTTACAAGAGAAATAATTTGTCAACAAAATGTGCCAATCATGTTTCAGGGGTATTCGGATACAACGGAGCTGGGTATCTGGGAGTTTGGTACTACCATCACTACCTCTTGTATGTGGGCCATGCTGGGACAAGTAGCACTGGAGACTCAATCATGGGTCAGTACAAAGAAAACATAAAACAGGCTTAAAGTTCTGTAATGGGTTGCTGATTTTCTCTGTGTATTTGTCAAATATTACATTAGTGTAAACCTAAACTTATCGGAATTCAAGATACAGTAGTTAAAATATGCAATTAAATAGAAGAAACAATTTACTATCAGCTTTTAAGATAGCTTGTTTAATGTTTATTGACAGTTCTTTCATGTAGTCCTTTTAACGATATCTCAGTTACAGCTAAAATAAGATTGTTTTAAATTTGTAGAGGTATTTTTTATATTGTTGTGTTGGCTATTTGCAGAGTTTGTCTAAGTTGTATAAAAGTCAGATTGGCTCCCACCTATATTATTAAATCGCAGGTTACAATTTTATTTATTTGCTTAAATACTTTATTGCAAATGACAACGTTAATGATAATAAATGATTTTTTAAATGATGTATTTATTTGATTTCTTAGCATATTTTTTAGTTATTATAGTTTAAATGTATTTTATGTATATGACTATTTCACCTGTTTCCCAGCTATGCTCGATCTGTGAACGTTTTGTGAAAATAAATGATTGACTTGACTTTACTAAAAGTTTTAATGCTTTACTTTAAACAAAGTTACCTGTATTAAGAGTCACTTGGAGGCTAGTGGCCATCATGGATAATTTCAAACAGCTGCTGATGAATTTTTTACCACCCAAAACTATTTTGTTTAACACCAAAGTATAATTTAAATATCTAGAATACTGTGAGATTATAAATGTTCTTTGTAGTTTTTAATAGTTCTCCAAGGGAGTCCATGGAAGCTAACACCCGTCTTGGATTTGCTCATCATAAGCGCAATGTGAATGTCGTTAATTTCAAATATCCACTGAATAGTTATTTGCCATCTCAAATTTTTTTTTTTATTCAGAGTGATTGTAATTGAAATTTGAATTTTTTTTTTATTATTTAAAAGTAACGTGACGGACTACGATTAACTACGTAGCATTCCTAACTCCCAAAGTATTGGATCGATTTGACGGGACTTTTTAATGCTCTAGTCTGCCGTAACCCTGACTATTGTACCATTTTTCAGGTTCTTTCACAAATGTACGACAATACAATTTATTACCGTTGTATTAGTTTATGATTTTCTATTTTGTATTATTTCCATACAATCTTTCCCTACTTTATCTTATATATTTGTAGGATATTGTTACAACAGTAGTGTAAATTCAAATGTTACAACTTTATTATTACAACTCAAATTAGGAAGGAAAAAAGAAAGTGGATAGAGAACTTGGCCAGCTATGGGGATGGAGGAGGCTGGGTTTTCTTTTTCCTTCCTTATTTTGAATACCATATTTTTGCAAAATTGATTACTCAACTTTTTTAATAAAGTTTGTGAGTGATGGAAATCAATGGTAAATGGTCATGGATAGTCATGGGAAGTCATGGAAATAATTGACAAATTGTCTGTGGACCCCCTGTGAGGGCCTACTAGCAGTTTTATTTAGTGTTGCTATCTGTTGGGTTCTTTCAATACAATGTCCACAACTACTGGAATATGTTACATGCTGCAACACATTCTTATTTGGGTCAAACTAAATTTAAAAGTTTTTGCACACACACACAGCGCGGCCGGCCATCTCGCAGCCACACTTAATATGTTGCTTTGTATGATTTTACGGATCAATGTAGGAGTTTTAAGGGGGTTAATGTTTAAAGAATTTTATATTTTAAAAAGAATCTCTTAACTTGTGCTTAGTACGTAGATTTCAAAATGCAATTTTTAAACCATTTAAATTTAACCTACATAACCCCACTTCACATATTTTTCCAAAGAGACTAATGTTACAAATTTATCATTGTGTTGGAAATGCTTTATCAGCTATTCTACTTGTTAGTTTTTCAATGGTTGCGTTGCACTGTTACAGACGATACTCCATGTGATATCCATGGTGGTGTCAGTAGGTGCGTACTACTTGTTCTGTCTGGTGTACAACTCAGTGTGTATGCAGTGCTGGGGACTGCCCAGTAACACCTGGGTACTGAAGACTACGATGGGCGCGCCGATGCATTGGCTCACTGTGCTGCTCACTACTGTGGCCGCCCTGCTGCCCAGGTATGTGTGCAAGCAGAGCTAAGTAAGTCAATCATTAGTCACAAACCTTTTCAAAATGCAATTCAATGTTATGATGTAGGGTTGTATATTTTTTTAAGTACATTAAACTCATAAAAGGATAACAAAACAAAAGGCAATGTTTTCTTAACATTAGAGTTGAAATAAGATTAAGAATAGGTAAAAATAATAATTCTAATAATTAACATTCCAACTAGGGATGGACGAGATTGGATTTTTAGTTCGAGACGAGACGAGACGAGATTTTTTATTTCTCATAAAATTTCGAGACGAGATCAAGACGGGATTTCCCTTCTCATACACAACGGGAAATGCACGTTCAAAATTTTTACCTGATTTTGTAACATTGTTAGATGATTGTTTAAATACAAAAATAATGATAATAGGCAAGAATATTTACAATCTTTTATTAAAAAACATCAGCATAACATTTTTTTATTAATCACGCCTAACTTATTAAAAATGCCTACAATTAGGAAACATAGTGATATCAGTTAGGATAGAGTTCAACTTATCCTAAAATAAAATAAAAGCAATATTCATTTTTATAAAATAGTTACTTGTTTTGACTTTTTATAGTAATAAAACATTCCTCACACTGCTTACACTTAACAAAACTTCTCAAATGTTATTAAAGTAATATTATTAAAATAATTAAAGTAATATTTACATTTAAAGAATTAATTAAATAAGAACGCCTTCGCAAAGAAAACACAACTACAACACGCTCCTGTATTGCGGGTATTGCATTTACTTTCTGCAGGCGTTTTAATTTTTTTTTTTTTATTCTCGTCTCGATAAAAATCTTGGCCAAAAAGAAATCTCGTCTCGTGTAACGAGATGTAAAATTTCCCGAAATTTTTCCCGAAATTTCGAGACTTGACCATCCTTAATTCCAACATGAAATAACTTAGCTTAGTTTATTTTACGACCAAGATTTTTTTTTTTACAAAAAATTTACATTTAAATATTTATTTTAGAGATGTAGGCCTACTATCTAGTATTTAATTTTATAGTTGAATAGTTTTATTAAATAAACAGTTCAAATGCTAACGGTCATAATGAATAATCAATATTGCAATATTGCAATTGTAATATTGCAATCATCACAGTCAGTTGCGGAGACATGTTCATTGTCTGCCATTATAGTTGCAAAATCCTGAATTTCTCCATCGGTCACTGAAACATCTTCGTTTTTTGCGATCGTGGCAAAATCATGATCTCCTGCGGTCGTATAGACATCATCAATGTCTTTCTCAATAGAGACTTGAATGATAGACAATGATAGGTCTTGTGGACAAGATTATCGTCAATCATGAACACGTAAAATTATGGAACATCTTCTGCTGTTATGGAAACATCATCATTGTCTTCTGCGATCTTGTCAAAACACTAAAGATGTCCCATGTTTGTTTGGGCATCATCATGGTCTCCCGCGATCGCAGAAAAGTTACATTCATCATGGCTGAAACATGAACTTTTCAAACTCATCTTCGTATCAGGACCCTAAAAGCTTGATTTTTGACTTAGTGCTTGATCTCTCAAGCTTGTAGTCTAGTCTCAGCTCAGCTTGAAATTCAGCCCCTCGCATACCTCTATCTAAAACTATACCTTAATTTCTTAACCGACAACAGCAAGTGGCATGCAGCTCCTTTGTGAGTGGGCTTGTTAAACCATAACCACACCAATGTGGTGAAGTAAACACTGATATTTCCTAATGACTGTGTATGCAGGCTGGTGATTAAGACCTTGCTCGCAAGTCTCTGGCCAGATGACGTTACTACGGCTGTTCTGGAGATGAAAAATGCTACAAAGAGAGGAGACAACTTTCTTGTCTCTTGGTCCAGGTCAACTTCTACTTCTTCTATCTACCGGTAGGTGCCTGACGTCTCTTGATTTTTTTAAAATTCATCTTGTTATATGTATTTAAGTTCTCCTCAAAACAATATTCTAATATTGCAATAGTTTAGTCGGCTTTCACATCATGCAAAAACTTAACAAACATTTGGTAAATCAACCATCTGGTAATATTTGTGCTGTGATGTAGGGCAGCCTATGAGAAGAACATTCACTCCCAGACCCTGACTGCAGTTGGCTGACGATGGCTGTCTCGCGGCAAACCTCATTGGCTGTGATCTCGGGACCATTCTCCCCCCCCCCCCCCCTTAAACGCTTCTTCCATCAAGTTTGGTGGTCAATCAAACGAATCAGATCAAAAACTGGTCTGCTCTCCACTTAAGTTTACTTGTTAAAGGCATTGTATTTAAGTTTTAAGTATATTATATTTGAACCTGCTACCTGTTCCTTTTTACCAAGGTATTGCCATACCGATATTTTAATCCTGTAAAGGAACCTACTGCCCATAGTGAGGATTATCTCTGTAACCAATCTATTTTGTGAACTTATTGTATATACATTATTATTAATATTTTTAGAATCTATCTAGTTAAATATCTTCCTAGAGCTTTCCATTTCACGGACCATTGTTTGTACTTCCAAAGATTATTCTCTTGTTCAAGACTATAGAGTAATTTACTAATTAACTATAACATATTTTGCCTTAACGGCCTTTTGTTTAGGTCAATATTATTGTTTTATTAATTATTAAAGTGATTAAATATTTATTACCGTATATGTATAATATTCTGTGTATATTTTGTAAAAACAATTTAATTAAATAAGTGTCATATTTTATATAGTCTTAGTTTTCTTTTTCTGACTGGGTTTTTACATTTTTTTAACAAACATTATATTCAAAGATCACAAGATTAGTTTAACCTTTCCAAAAGTTGATTTGGTTTTCCATTTTTTAAGACGGAATGAAAATTTCATCTCAAACCTCCGGGATGAAATGTTTACATGAACATGTGGAGTAAAGTTATTCAAAGATTCAAAAACCATAACAGCTGTAGTTCAGATTTTTTACCCGTAAATCTCAGGGATACAGCTGTTTCCTTAGGCTTTTTGTACTACAACACAACTCTAAATTCCAGAGAGGTGATCAATGTTCTGATTGACTTAAAATACAATGATAATGTCAGCAACTAACAATAACAATACAGAAGTTTACGCTTCTTCCTAATCATGAGTCTGATTTTAAAGCAACGAAGAGTTTGAATGAAACAATGAACAATTGGATGGTCAATCGTACAACACTGATCTCTACTTGTGATTGATGATGGAAACTCTGATCCACACGGTATCTTTGATATTCAACTGATCAATACGTGTTTTTTGTACATTTTGTGTGAGAATTTTGTACATTGTGTTAGAAGGTAGCTGGTGCTGTTTTGATGTATAGAAGTTATTTAGAGCAATTAGAGTCAATTTATCTTACACAGTTACATTGCTGTTTGTACAAATGTATTGTAAATAATGGTTGTCATTTGCCTATTGTGCCTGTAAAACTGTCTCGTTTAGAGTAGGAGAGTGCACGGCTGTGGTTATTTTGTGGTTTGGCCACATCATTTACTCAGTTTGATTACAATAATTCATGGTGTTCTGATTTAGTGTAAATAGAGCGAAGAGATGATGCAGTTTTTATCAATGGTGTAAGCTGGTTTCAAATCCAATAGTCTGAATTCATCTTAGTTTTTTCTGCGGTAAAAATCTATTAATAAATTAAATCTCTTAAATTAGATTGCAGATTACACTAAAGCAAATTGCAATCCTATGCCACCAGAATATAGTTATTGTGTTTGATGAATAGTAATTAATAAGTGTAAGGATTGGGGAATATCCCAGTGACAAATTTGCAGGATTTCTTTCATGTAGAACTGGGTTCAAAACCCACACTAAGCAGTTGCTTCATGACAATAAGTATAGGTATCTAAGATGAAGAAAACCTTCCCCAAATTTAAGAAAACCATTCCCTAAAGCCATACAATAATTTAGTTTTAGAAACAAGAATTAGATGTTTCTCATCTTATGATTGCTGTAGTAATACTTATGTTTGTGCTTATTTTTCTTTTGGATCAAATCACAAAATAATCAGTATTTGTTTGTGCCAAACAGTTCATAAACTCAAAAATAACTTCATTGTTGTTTATATTACTGATATTTTTATACAGTCGTAAATGTTGAAGATTACAGATCTGCTTAAAATTGTGTCACAAGTTCAATGAGACTTCGTTGTGAATAAGTTGATTGTATTTACGAATAACACTAACCCTCCATAACAATATAAGTTTTAAACTTTTTCAAAGAAAGGTGTTGATCTTTTTAAACTACCTCGTACTTTCCATGTTTTCCAGTAATTGTATAGGTACTTACTTCAAGCTTCATGTATTTGTTTGTAAGATTTAATTGCTTAAAAGAGGTTTATGGTGGTTATCTTAAAGTATTCAGTCCTAAAAAGAGGATTTTTTTAATAGTAATTCACTTTTAATAGAAAAACAATCTCTTCCATAGTTTTAAAGGATGAAGTATTCATTTATTTTAATTTTATTTTTTGTTTACAGTGTTGTAGGTCTACAGTAAAATAAATTAACTAACAAATTCCATTGTTGAATCTGTAACTAATTTGGACTCTTGATTTCACTACCCCCTTTAAGTATCCAATAGTCAATGCCACCCCTAAACCAAAATACCCCGGCCGCAGCAAACCTGCAGACTAAGCGAATTTCCATCTACCTGGCTGGGAATCCACTAAATTATTCCCTTAAAATTGTAAGATTTATTTCCTTTTTAAATATAATTAATTTTTATGAGTACTTTGGTTTGCTGCTACAGGGAAGAAATAGGTTTTTTTATTGAAATATTGATAGCTTAGTATGAAGTAAACAAAATTTCATTGAGATATGTCCACAGACAAGCAAGCTACAAAAGTTTATTATTTATTTATTCTCTATAAGATTAACATAGTAATTTTAAATTTAAACTTTTTGGGGATTTTTTCCGTAACAGTTAGACATACAACAATGCTTCAATTTACTATTTTTTTTTTTTGAGCTCTACAAAATGGTTTGGAAAGAAATTCAAAATTTTATGTTTACAGGGTGAAAAATGGGGACCCCATAAACCCCTGTTCCCATAGTCCGATCATGCTGGTTCGCGAACTCATTCCAATAAAAGTAAGTTTACACCAAATTTTATCAAAATCGGATCATTTTTGCGCTAGTTATTGTGCTAACGGACACATATATAAATATCTATGTATGAATTTGAACGGATGGTGTTTTTGGCCTCAGGGGACCTCAAAACAAAAAAGTAAATCGGTCCCGGGTCCAGGTCTTATCATGAGACCTACGGTAATAGCTATTCCCTATATGGGAAATTCGCTAAAAAATAATCAGGGGCTATTTATATTTCCAGTTCAACATGGATTAGGTGGTTAGGTGTCATACACAATACACATATTACGTTATACACTTTTTTGTCCTTCCACCTTTTAACACTATGCCATACCTCTCACCCCTTATTGTGTTACATAATATATGAATGGCCCCTTAGTACAGTTTGTAAAAACAGATACAAAAATTAATCAGACAGTTTTCCAAACATGATTAAGTTTAGATTAATTTCTTCCATGTGAGCTGGAATTTTCTCAAGTTTTAAACATTAATGTATTCACGTAGTTGTATTGTTTTAAAAAATCTATTCTTCTTGTACACGATTGCTGCATCAAAAGACATTAGGTCTACCAATATTTACTTGTGGTAGTTGTAGTTAGTAACTTATGTGATATTAAATTTCTAAAGTGTTACTTTATTTGCAAATTCCCTTGTTGCTTATTATTAATATTCAGGCAATTAGTTAAGTTACAATCAAAAAGTTGTTTTGCAAACTTCCCAAGTTCCTAAGATCCAAAAGTGGAATGAATTAATCTGTTTAATGTCCCTAAACAATACGAGTTGAAGAAAAAATTCTCTCAAAGACTGTTTCTCCCAGGATGGAGAAAAAAGACAAAAGTATTTAAACTGTACATGCACTTTGATGATATGCTATAGACATCCCAGAAACAAAACAACCCTGGGCCATTTCGGGTTGCGCAAGTTTGAACTCATTGCCACACCCACCAGCGCAAACCAAGTTTTTTTTCTGCGCAGGTCGTTTTGTTCTTGGGATGTCTATACAAGACCTAACAGTGAATCTAGGTTTTGTACCAAAATCTCAAGCAAGTTTTGATGTTTGTTCCAGTTGAGTTTTCTGATGTTGACTAAATGTTTCCTCTTATTTTTAAATAAATTTTACAAATTATCTCTTACTCATGAAGGGGGCTCTAGACATGCGCCACTCGCCGAGAAAGAAATATTTTACGATCTAGTCGTCTTGCTATTCACTGATTAACGAGTAGACGTCTAAACACGTGTTGTTTTCCGAGCAACTGTTCATTTTTTGTTCCTTTCGGGATTAAAAAATAGTTGTTCACTTTGATGTGTACAAAATACCGACAATCAACGGGAAAACACATTTGCTGCTTACCAAATAGACAGACACCTATCCACACTACCTACTCGTGATTCGGTGAATCGCTGCTCGGCGCTTGGCGAATGGCACATGTCTGGAGCCGCCTTTAGTAATGTCTGGAGCCACCTGTAGTAATGTCTGTATGCCATTTTTCATTGGGCTATCTAACAATACGTCAGAAACCATCCAGACTAGGGTTTGGTCAAGTTCTCTTACCAAATACAAATAGTAGTTTACAAGAATTCTGGTGGATCATAATCATTAACAAATTATGTTGCTGGCCCGAATTATATACTAATAGTACATATGGTTTTGATAGTTCCATTTAAGCAATCTAATAGAATTTGTTGGATCGACCCCTAAATACTTATTTTTATTGGCAAATTGGGTATAAATTTAAAGGTTCTATCCTCTATCCTCTAGATGTGTCTTTTGCGGGTTTGGATGATATCTCGTGTTAAATAATGTTTATTTTTGGGCCAGAAACATAATTTGTTTATTTTATGATCGATACCAGTTCTGGTATTTCGTGGTAGTTTATATTTATTGAAGAAATGTTCTCTTGGAGCTTTGAAACAGCAAACATAATTATTGTTTTGGGACCTTTTTATGCAGATAATTTTGGCTATGGGAGTCATTGGAGCACATGGACTATATTTTCACCAGATTCATAACAAAAATTAATACATTATTGCCATATTATTAAAGATAATGATTAATTGTAATCTAGCTCATACAAATTAATTGTGAATATTTTTTTCATTATTCAGATATATCTACTGTTTTTCATGTATGAGTTTTCTGTATCAACAATCACATCAAAATCTTTGGCCTTTACTTTTAGCTTTATCTGGATGGATATTTTATGCAAACCAGTTATTTATTTAATTCAAGTTTGTGTACAAAGTAAAAGACATTACATTTTGTAAATACCCCTTTGTTATTTAAGGTGTAAGTTATACAGTAGTTATTTATTCAACTGAGTTTATTGTAAAATCAATCTATTAATTATCAAATACAGGGACTTAAAACCGCCTATTCTTCCTTGCAACCTATGTATTCACTTGTCACTGTATACATTTTAAATTACGTGAGTATTATATTAACTTAAGTGAAGAAAATTATCTTATTTTTGTGTTTTCTGCAGTTATAATATTAATATCAAAGATACTCTGTTGAATAAAAGGATTATTATTTACAAGGATAGGGATCAGCTAGTTTACCTGGTAGGCAGAGTCCAGATTAGCCTTGGTAACACATGTAAAACACATATTACACAAAACAGAAAACTTAACATTTCGTCCCAGTTAGGGACTTCATCAGAGGGGAGAAGAAAGAAGACTGGCAGTTAATGTTCCAATTCAAAAGTTCCACAACAGTGCTGCCAAATGTAGTTTGAATTGAAATAAAAATTCATGTTATGTACATTTATATACACACCCTCAAACCCATGGTACACCATGGTGGACACATGGTAGGTTGATTAAAAGTTCATTGAAAAAATGTGAAGCTAGCTGAGGAAAGGGTTTGGTGGATTATCTGATGTTAAGGTTAGGAAGGTTTCTGGAATCCGTAATGTATTGGGTAGGCTATTTCTCACCTTTTGAGTAGGGAGCTGTTACATTGGTCTTTGAGGAGGGATTTGATGTAAAGACGTTCTCAATCAGTCCTATCCCTAGTGATGCCAATAGTAGAAAGTGCTGTATTGGAGTTCAACTTTACAAGCAGTAAACAGTTCAAGAAATAATTTTACCTCTTCAGGACTCTTTCATCATCAGAATAATTAATTGCCAGTATTACATCTTTAAACAGCTTTCTTTAAACAGCTTTTTATTGTGCGAAATTCTAGTTGGAATGTCTCTGTTAGTGCTTTTAGGTAGGTCATGAATGATAATGTTACGCTACGTTTGGAACGATCTTCAATTTCGCCAATAATATCCTCATGACATACTGTAGCAGAGGACTTTGATTACTCAAGAACTTCAACTTTTTCTTCAAGAGTGTCTATGCGTAACTCAGAGTTCCATATACGATTTTCAATCGACTCCAGTTTGCTATTGACGGCTTTCATGTAATTTTTTTTTCTCGCTAAATTAGATGACTTAATTATGTCAACATTTTCGACAAGGTGGTTGGAATTTACTAAGCGATGTCACAGTAGATGAGTCTGTCGTGGAAAGATTTTGATTGGCTAAATGATTCTTGAGTCAAAGGCTTCTTGCCATGGCCATCACATCTTTGATAAGTTCAAAATGATTGAAGGTTCTGGTTGGTTGTTGTTGTGACAGATTCGGATTCCTTGGCTTAAGAGTGACGCTAGGCTAGGTCTACCAGGTAAGCTAGCTGATCCCTATCCTTGTACATAATAAATGATCCTAATCAGCCAATTGGCCTTTTCTTAACTTCTGTTGAATAAAAAACATAAACAGTACTTAAAAGCATCACTACTCACCCAGATACAAGTATGAACATTGTTCTCAGATTGGTTTAGATATTAAATGATTGTTAGAATGTTTGTTCTTTAAACCAACTTATAAAAATGTATGATATAAAATGATCAACAGGCATCTAAGAAATAAATTTGGTAAACAATAAAGACTATTTTATGGCTTAACAAATTTATTTAATGTTTAACATTACATAAAACCTTTACATCACCCTTTTACAAATATTTTCACTCACCCTTGTATTATTAACAAAGAAATTGTTTTGCAAACCAGTATTATATTTTTAATGTTGGGAATAAAATGACAAAACATAACTTATTTTGTACTAAATAAACGCTCAAAAGTAATATTAAGTTTAATTCAACGCACAATTTGTTAGCTGATCACTTACATTTGGATTTTTTCATCACTCTGTATATGAAACTAGCTCATTTCTGCACAGCCGAGCTATCTGAAAATCATCAATTTTCAAACCAGCAAAACATAATTATTTTGCCTGTCCTTGCACAAAAAAACAACTGCCGTTCCAAAAAAAAACTTTTACTTGCCCTAATGAAGTTTTTTTTAAGCTTGACAAGAGCCCTAATGTACCCATTATATTTTAGACAAAAATTTTTGAAAATGGCATTTGTGCTGAAACAAGTCAGTACCTAAATATCTTAATAAATAATGTTTACTTGGGTACTCAGTTTATCAATGTTGAATTTTCCTTCAGATATTGTAGCCCTATTATAATATTTTTTGTAGTTTTAAAAGAAATATTTTTCAGGCAACTCACTTCTGAATAAATTTTAAACCTATGCAATGACAACTTCAAACAGAATTATAAGACCGTTGAATAATATTTTATTATTTAAAACCAAGACGCTTTGAGTGACTTTTTGCATCAAGATAAAGTATCGTAGTAGACAAGTATCGTTCACTACTCGTCACGAAAAATCCATTCCAGTGCTTGATAATCGTTTCTGCGCCCTTTTAAACTAAACCCTTTTTCAAATCAATCTATTAACTTACAAAATCAAAAACAACAAATGCAAATCCTTTAAATACAAATCAAACAAAATTTCCTGGAGATTATATACAGCAATAAAATCACAACAGATAAGGAATGCAAAATTGAAAAAGGTTTCATGGAAAACAACACACTAAGTTTTATAAAAGTGAAAAAAAACCAAAAATCCCAAGATATTACAAATACAGTTTTCATTGACCTGCACAATTTAACTTGCCAATATTGTTAAGAAATATAACTTTGCTTGACATAACTTCGAAGGTAAATGTCGAGTTATGTTTCCAATAGTTATTTGTGTAACTAGTGTGCGAAGTGGCACTTTGCTGCGGCAGGCGAGTGTGGAAAGTTTCTCGAATGCAGAAAATTTAAAACAACATTGGTTAACAAGTATAGTTAGAACTTAGAGCCAACTATACTTTACATTTATACTTTTTGATGAAATGGCGACCATACAAAGTAGGTATTTTAAGCCAAGTATGAATGGAGATGAGTGTAGATGGGTGGTGCGATCTTGTAGTCTTGTTAGTGACTAAGGCCGACATATTCCTTAGACACAGCTGTTAATTAAAAGCCCATACAGCTAATGACAACTAAGGGATCTACAGTTTATAGTGGAATCCGAACCACATTTTTGCCTTGGTATATACCAATTGGTCTAATTATCAGGATAAATATAGTTTTAAAATCAACTATAACTAAAAAAGCTTATAGTTTCATGAACTCAAAGCATGTTCTTTATCCGTATAAGTGCTGCAATGTTAATGGAATTTTTATTCTGTTTTGTAGCATGCAAAATAAAATAAAATATCATTATTGAACTTTTGGAGCTACTAGCTCCTTCTTCAGTAGTAGAGCCTTTCTATTGATAACTGTAAAATACGCCCGCCGCGGCAAACCTGCCGAATAAGCGATTTTTGATTTGCCTGAATTGATTTTCAATTAAATATATTCAAATAACATTATCGCCATTTAATAAGAAAGTATTAAAGTATTAGGTTTAATACTTTACTATGAAATTGCGACCATACAAATGCAGGTATCTTATGCCAAGTATGAATGGAGATGAGTGGTGAGATCTTGTAGTCTTTTACTGTTTAACGAGTACCTAGGTTTGCTGCTACAGGGAGACTAATAGTGTTTTTTTTTAAATATAAATAGGTTAGTGTAAAATAAATTAATTTTGCCAAGTTTGATAAAAATATATCCATAAACAAGAGTAAACAACTTCATTTTTCAATATTCTCCATAAGAACAACATGAACATTTTAGATTTACAATATTTTTTTTATTTTCACCGTAACCAATAACCGTAAAAAACACTTTCATATACGAAAAATTTGTTTTTTAAGCTCTTAAAAATGGTCTAAAGAGTAATTGAGAAATGTTTTAGTTTAGAGGGTCAAAAAATTAGAAAACCAAATTTTTACCCTGTGAACCCCCATTCACTTGTGTATTTGGGTTAAAATATGCACCAAAGTGGCGTCACTATCTCCATGGTTGATAGCTGAAATTGATAATTTATTGCAATAAAACAAGATATGAAATGTTATTTGCCTTGTTATTTTGCAAGGTTATTGCAATACAAGTAACTGGACCTTATTTTCCTAGTCATCACTCATATTAGAATTTGGCATTATTTCTACTGTGTAAAATGAACTAAAACAACCTGATAACAATCAGATAAGATAAGTGTGTGCCCATCAAATTCATCATCAAATTTATCACACAATTCCTCATTTAAAACACTTAGTTCAAATAAATAAAAAATAAATAACACTATCACTATACACTGTATCTCGTAGCCGTGCTTGACCTGAATTGATTAAAGAGTTTAGCCTACAGCCGATACACAAGTAGAAGGAAATTGTTTTAGATTAAAAGTTTATTTAGATTTAATAAATACTATGAGGCTTCAGATCAGCCAGTTCTTCTCAAATAGAGAAAGCATCACTTTATTGCTTGATCTGAGACAGCTTTATCAGGATGTATACTTTCAACTTTGCAGCGTTGTAGAAAGACACTTTGGACTGTTGGCTGTTAACCATGTGCTACACAGACTACGCTAGACTCTGAGAAGTCAGTTCTTCACTTGGTAAATCAACATCGTCATCAAGGTCCTGGTCTTCATCTTCGTCCACCTGGAAGAGCAAACACTCATTAGAAATTACAATATTGTAAAAAATCTTAATGACAAGACAAAATATGATCTGTAGTAACTCTAGTAAAAAGGATGGATGGAGGCAGAGAAGTAAAAATCTGAATGGAGGGAGTAATAGGTGGAAGAAGAGTGAGAGTTGGAAGACTCCCATGAGCAGTTAATATAAAAGATTACTGGTACTTTTGTATTATACCGACCACACTTAAATTGGGGTAGGTCACCACACCTAGGTTAGGTTAAGATAACTGGTGGAAGATAACCTAACCTAAGGGTAACCAATTTAGGTGTGGTCGGTAAAATACCAGATTACTTGATGCTGAAAGGGAAACATCTACTGCAAATGGAAGAGGAGAAGATTTAGAAGGAGAAACAAGGATATAAGAGTCTCATCAGAACACCAAGGAAAGCTGATAAATCAAATTGGGATCAAACTAACGATATTGTCAAGGTTTTCAGGAGAATGGTTGGAGAGTGGCTACCAAATCTGATTCAATCACCATAAAATGTTTAAACTCAAAATCCAATTCCACAGATTTCGACCAATCCATGCCCAGGTAAAAATCATTCTTTCAGAATAGACAATAGACAATAGACAATAGACAATAGACAAATAATCTTTATTTACACATTCATTAAGAATAGTAGTAGCGTCAATTTACAATTTTTTCTAAATGTTTGGTTGAGGTGTTGTTTAGTCAAAGACCTGTTGATGGTATTCTTCTAAGGAATAGAAAGATCGATTAATGAGCCATTGATGCAAAGCTGGTTTGAGGTCATCTTCTGACTTGCTTCTTAGATCTGGAGGTAGCCTGTTGTAGATTTTCATTCCTGCGTATGAAGGTTTCTTTTCAAACTGTGCCGTGCGATGTTGTGGAAGGTTGTACTGCATGGTGTTTCTCAGGTTGTGTTGGTGCATTTCGCCACGCCTTGTAGGGTTATTTCTTACTGCAAATAACACAACTTCCTGGATGTAGAGTGCTACAAGGGTAAGTACTTTGAGTGACCTGAATGCTTCCCTGCAGCTGTCGAGTCTGTGGAGTCCTGCAGTTATTCTTACCAGGGGTGCCCAGAGGGGGGGAACGTGGCGCGTTTGCGCCACAGGAATTTTTGGGGGGGGAACTTCTTTAGGGAGATTTTGGGGGGGATATTTTTTTGTTAGCTGTCATAATGAATGTAGAATTTTGTATAATCAGACTGAAAAACTTTTTCTAAGTAGCTCACTATCAACACCAACAACATTCTGCCATTCGTAATTAAGATTGCTTCTAAGAATGGTAAAACGCACCTTATCAGACAATCCTTAATATGTACTAGTGTCGACTTTTTTTATTCTGTGTTCGCTGACTTTTACTTGCTACATTAGTTTTGGTGGTTCTTTCACTCCACCATCGTCAGTCTTAGGCCTTTAAAAAGATCCACTTCTGGAGGTGTCGTCAGAATACGTTACAAACATTTAACACAAAACACAAAACGATTAAAGATATGCCTATCAATGCACAAGAGTACATTGGCACGGGCAGGACTGGAAGTAAACTGAATCAGTTCAGGTTATGACGGACCGACGTGGTCTCTGGATTGTCGTCTGTTTTGTGCGTTTTCAACAGCTGATATTGGACTATTGTTGTAGTGACTGAGAAGAGTGTTGAAAATATAATGGGATTCATAATTAATTGAGTGTTTTCATTCAAAATTTGTGTGCTGTCCATAGTTTTTATGTCTTTATATATTCCAATCTCTTCCAAAGTATGTAATAAATTTCTTTTCACGCAGTAATGTAGAATTTCGAGACCATCATTTATATCCAGCATAAAAATTGGTTATTATTGTCGATAGTTTTGAATTGAAAACTCAATTATGAATCCCATTATATTTTCAACACTCTTCTCTGTCACTACAATTAGTCCTAACATCTGTTGAAAACGCAGACGACAATCCAGAGACCACGTCGGTCTGTCATAACCTGATTCAGTTTACTTCCAGTCCTGCCCGAAGCAATGTCCTCGCATGAATTGATAGGCCTATCTGTAATCGTTTTGTGTTTTGTGTTAAATGTTTGAAACATATTCTGACGACACCTCCAGAAGTCGATCCTTTTGTAAGTCTGACGATGGTGTATGTTACATATGGAAGTCTAAATATGTTAAAGAACCGCCAAAACATATGTAGCAAGTAAAATACGACACTACCGTACATATATTATTAAGGATTGTCTGACAAGATGCGTCTCTACCTTATTAATGCTCTTAAAGCTGTTTGAATTCTTAAGCCCTGTAAAAATTAACGCCACCTAACATATTTGTACAGTTACAATACTGTGTTGGAGTAGAGTAATTCACCAAGTATATTGAGCACATGTTGGCTGACAATACAGTTTCTGAATTGTAAATTGAAAAACTTCTAATTCGTCCGTTAGTTAGATATAATGATGTATTGTTAAATGACGTTTCCTATTAAACATTTAATATTGATTATCAGCAGGTTTGTTTTTCTTTACCTCAAGTTTACTAAATAATACTTGAAATGCTCGTTTTATGAGGTAAAGGGGAAATTGTCAGATAAATTGGCAGGTGGAGGGTAGGTTTAAATAGACGGCAGCATAAATTGGGGGGGACTACTCCTTTGCCTTGGGGGGGGGGGGTTGCGCCTCTGGGTTTGGGGGGGATGGGCACCTCTGATTCTTACTGCCTTTTTTTGTTTTCTGAGAACTCTTTGCATGTTAGTGGCAGAGGTTCCACCCCATGCTACAAGTCCATATCTCATATGCGACTCGAAAAGTGCAAAGTATGCTACTTTTGTTGTCATGTCATCTGTTGCATTTTTTATATGTTTAAGAGCATAGATGGTTGAACTTAATTTTTTACATATATTGTCCACATGAGGGGTCCAGGTTAAATTCTTGTCGAGTGTGATGCCCAAAAACTTAGCTTCATCTTCCACTTCTACATCTGGGAGTCGTGGCACTTCTTGAGATTTACGGCCAAAAGCTATTTGAGTTGTTTTAGACGTGTTTACTGCAAGATCATTGTTATAGCAGTATTGGTAGGCCATACTGAGTGACACATAGGATTTTACTTCTAGATTTTCAGCTAGTGGTTCATTAAACACTAAGGTTGTGTCATCAGCATACATAAAAGTAAGGCAGGCGTCTCCTATTTGTTGCGGCAAATCGTTGGTAAAAAGAATAAACAGTACCGGACCCATAACTGAACCTTGGGGAACTCCTCGATTTATTGGTTGAAAATTTGATCTTGTTTTTCTTATTAGGCTGTCATCTCTGTGCCTTAGTTCTACAAACTGACTCCTGTCTGTAAGGTAGCTTTGAAACCATTCTCTTACTATCCCTGATACCCCCAGGGAATCCAGCTTTTTAATGATTAGCTGGTGGTCAAGGCAGTCAAATGCCTTACTGAAATCAAGAAAGATTCCTGTTGTTAGATTTCCTTCATCTAGGCTGTCAATCAGGGACTCAACCATCTGAATTATTGCTGTTGTTGTGGATTTCCCTGTTGTAAATCCATGTTGAAGGTTGTTTAGTAGGTTGTGATTTGTGCAGTGGTCTAAAAGTCTTTTTAAAACAACTTTTTCGTATATTTTGGAGAAGGTGGAAACGAGGGAAATTGGTCTGTAGTTGCTTGCTTCTAATGTGCTACCTTTTTTAAATTTCGGGTATACTTTAGTTATTTTAAGTAGTGAAGGAAAGATGCCTTGTTTTAGGGACTTATTTATCAAATCAGCCAATGGTAGTGCTAGTTCATTGCAGCAATGCTTAAGTATTTTTGACGAGATTTCATCAATTCCAGACGAGTTTTTTGCTTTAAGTTTGTTTATAATCATTTTAACTTCCTTCTCGTCTGTGCTTTGAAAGGAGGAAAACAGTGGACCTGTTTGAGTTACGTCAGGAGTTTGAGCTGTGGTCTTTAGGTGTTTTTGTTTCTCTACTGTTTTTTCTCCTACTTGTGTAAAAAATGTATTCAAATGCTCTGCAACATGGGTCACATTACTTATGAGTTGGCCATCTACTTGAAGGGTTATTTCATTTAGGGATGTTTCCTTTTTGGACCACACTGTGTTTATTGTTTCCCAGATAGCTTTAGATTTATTTTCAGCTTTCATCAACTGGTCAGAGTTAACCTTTTTCCGCATCGTTTTCAAGTACAGGTCATAGTTCTTTTTATTTTCAATAGAAACCCTTCTGTCATCTGGATTTCCCGTCACCTCAAACTTTCTTAGAGCTTTAAGAAATTTGGCTTTAAGTCTCACTGCTTCTGGGTCCATGGAGAATTTTAGTTTATGTTTTCTTTGTCCAGAAAACACAAACTAAAAAAATGAATGATTTTTGTCATTCAATTGTTAAGATTAGTAACAATAATACATTTTATAATGTGGGTGTATCATATTAATTTATGATTTGCTTTAAAAAGGTATTTTTTCCAAACACTATTCTGATGGTTCGTACCTGAACTTAGATAAAGAGAAATTACTTTTTTGTTTAATTTTAATGAATAAGTTATATTAGAAGATTTGTTTTATATTAGTTTATATTTTTTAAGAGTGACACCAATGAGAGCCTCAGACTCTTCTTCACACACTGACGTGCAGTCTTGTGAGGAATATTTTTCCATTTCATAACAAAATTGTCATCATAATATGAACTGGAAATAAATCATCTGGAATATTCAATCTTGCAATATTGGTCCCTAAGACAGTACAATTTTGATTGTGTATCGACTTAATTTCTGTTCATGGGGTTGGACTTGGACTAGATGGTGTTAAAAACTGTATAATATTGAACATAGATTGCTCACCTTTTCTCCTAATGCTCTCAGTCGCACCTTGAAGTTGCCCAATTTAGCGTCTTGGTCTGCAAGCAGTTCCAATAAGTCTTCTTGATCTCTCTTGAGTCTCGCGAGCTCCATAGACTCTTCTGTGAGCTCCGCTAGTCTCTGGTGAGCTTCCGTTAACTCATCCCTTAGCCTCTGCAACTAAGTATCATCAAATAAAATGTTAACAACAAAATTGTAGAACCTGTAGCTAATTTATGGTAGGGTTTAGTCTAGGCTGTTTTAAATTTTAGGTCTTATCTTATTTTACAATCTAGAAAAATATTCTAGCTGATAATAGATTGTGAAAAAAATCGTATTCTCCTCAATGTTGTAAACCCAACTTCCTAAACAATCTGTAAAACCTAAGTGTGCTGGTACTTTTCAGTCGGAAGCTTTTTGAAAGGAAAAAGTCTTGTTCCTTTTTTACGTTAACCTGAACTTATAAGGTACCTAACCATGCCTTCTAACAAAATACAATAAGAGGATACATCATATTTATCTATCATCTGTATGGGCGTGGCCTATTAATAAAGAGCTGTGTCTAAGGAACATGTCGGCCCTAGTCACTAACAAGACAACAAGATCGCGCAACTCATCCCTCTCTCATATTTGGGTTAAAATATGCACATAGTGGCGTCCCCATCTTAAATAATTGATCAATGTTTTAATGTTTCTGTAACATAATAGTATATGCTGTGAAAAGAGGCAAAAGTTAGGGGTTTTTTACTTAAAGTTGGGTTTCAAGTTTAAAAAGATTGACAGAATATCCAAGTTTAGTAAAACGAGTTATTAAGTTTACCTCTTCACTGTTTTGACTGCTGCTTTCTGCTATGACTGTTTTCTGTAAACTGCTGCTAATTTTAGCTTCATTCAGTTCTTCATTCTGAAAAATACATTTTGAAAACAAACATTAAAAAATAATGCTTTTACAAAATATTATCTTGAACAGTAATAAATAATAATACAGAAAAATTCTTGAGAGTTTGACATTCGAAAGTTCGGTACAGGCTGTGACGATGTGACATTACAGCAGCCGTCAATTAAGGATTTGCTAAGATAAGTGACCAAAGCCTGTTAATATTTTTGTGCACAAGCCCCAACGCCTTTTCTACATATATAGCTACTCTACCCACACCTTACCCTACTACTCCCCTACTCTTCCCTACTACTCCTACTCTCCCCTGTTCTTCACAGTAAGTAGATAGACAGTTGGCTTGTGGCTCTGTGTTTTGTTAAGATGGAAATGAAATTGGACACTCTAAAAAGGATTGACAAAGGTGAAAAAGTAATTCAAGTGGTGAATCATTTGAATGTTATTCGATCAACATGGATTGGCTAAATGAAGAGGTGCGCGAAAAGACTTTTGTTCTGAATCAATAGACGAGAGAATGACTATAAAGAGGGCTGAGTATGAAAAAGGTTAGTGAAGCTCTTTCTTAGTGGTTTAGAATTCAGCAGGAGAAAGGAACTCCAATCACAGGACTCATTCTACAAGAAAACAATCCTTGAAATGTTATCAAGACATTAATGAGGAAGGTGATCCAGAATTCACAGCAAGCTCTGGATTGCTTGACTTATGGAAACAGAGACATGATATTAAACAATTGAGCATTTGTGGTAAGAAATTATCAACAAAACCAAAAAAACCCCAAAGCATTCAAAAGTACTACGGTCGATGCTGATCTCCCTGCGTGGTATGGAAACCTACCAAATAGTTTGTTTTCTATAGCAATAAATTTGTTTGCTTTATAAATTTGTCTCACGTTTTAAATACTACCTACGTTTAAATTACCAATATACTCCATAAAGTTTGACATTTCGATAGTTCGACACCTCCTTAGTCCACAAAGTGTGGAACTATCGAGGTTCTACTGTAATAAAAACAGTCAAGAAACACATAGAAAGGCACAAATAAATATTACCCATTGACTAAGGTTTCAGAAAGTGTAATATACAGGAGGCATTGGCTTTGGAAGTTCAAACATAGCAATTCTTCTTATATAAAAACACATAAAATAGGTCATACAAGTACTTTACCAATTCCTTTATAATAGTTTCTTTGTTTTTGAGCTCTGCCCTCAACTCGGCTGTTTCGTCTTCCTCAGTATTCATGCCTCCGGAACTGACCTTTGAAATTAAAAATGACATATTGATATTGTTGGCGAGGCCAAAAACCTTCTGAGGTTTGAGTGGCCTAATAGGTAAGGTATATTGATATTATATTACAATAGTGAATCCTATGATAGAAATACATACATTATTAAAAGTAGGTAAACACAAATCTTGTTATGGTACCTGATTGAACTAGGAAAAAAATCAATGAATGGTTTTTATTTTAGATTATTTATTTAAAGATGATAGTTCGAAACTAGACCCAGCTGTCCTTGATCATTGGACTTTTGAAAAATTATCCTTGCTTATGAAACCGCTGACTTTTGTCAGTAGCTTAAAACTACCTGTACCGTAGAGTATTTAGTCGGATCAATTGAGCCATCTACGGCACTGACCACAAGAGAACACCGGAGATCAAGGTTTAGTATCAAATTCAGAAATATTCAGAATCAAATCTTGGTAATATTATGTTTTCTTTAAAAGATTATTTATGTTTGTGATTGCAAGATGAGGGGAGAAAAACGGGTAAAAATATGCACATTTAAATGAAGAACAGTTCCTGGAGCATAGAGGGTCTGTACCTGAGCTCTGAGCACCATGTTCTGATCCCTCAGCTGAGCTAAGGAGTTGTTCAGCTCCTCGTTCTGAGCTGCCAGCATGTGGTTCTCATGCCTGAGACTGTCCACTGTCAGTTGAAGGTCGTGTAAGCGTTTGTCCTGTTCTCGTATGAGGTCTTTGTATTGCAACACCATTGCACTCTCAGCTGGTGACAACTCCATGTCTCCGTTTAGAAGATCGGCTGCTGTCTTTGCTGTTACCGTCTTGATGATCATTCCTGTGAAATACGAGAGTAAATTGTGGGTGTTGAAAGCTTAAGTATTTAACAAATCATAAAATCACATTAAAATATATTTAAAATATAACATAGTAAGAAAAAAGTGCTCTCTAATCTTTGTCTTGTATTTAATATTTAACCTTTTTCTTTAGATATTTTAGTAATACGTAGTTGGGATAGTAAACTATCACTTAAGACTTAAGGTACTAAAAAAACGAGCCATCATGTATTCAGTATTATTTGTTAGGGGTTTGATTTATAAATAAGAGTTTGTTAGACCTTAACTTTAAATACATAATTAGACATTCTGAAGAATATAAGGTAAGTTTTCCTGTGAGTTTGGTGTCCATTAATGCCTAGTGAGTATGTATTGATGTTAAATAAATAAATATTTATCTCTAATTTGACAGGACATTATACGGTGTGAGCTTTCTTATTTGGTAGCCAGGGGCCAAGCAATATTTTGTTTGTGACAGTTATACCTTAGGTTAGTAAAATAGGAAATCGTCCTTTCAATGTTGTATTGACAAGAGTCAAAGGTCACTAGACTGCAGCGCCACAACCTTTAATATGAAAACAATACCTTCCAAAGCCTTGAAGAGTTTGCAGAACTCATGGTCTAACAACAGTTCCGCAGGAGACCTCGGTTTCAGTTCTGGATGTTTGGACGCCTTGCTGTACTGCTCGTGACGGCTCACTTCGCCCAGCTTGGCTAGAAACACCTCGTGTCCGATACGCTTCTCTATCAGGTGTCTCAGGTTCTCCTGTCACACACAGCTAAGGTAAAAATGTTGTTTTAACATTAGTACGTATAGTACATTAGTTAATGTTACAACATGTATGTATTTGTATTTATTATTTGTATTTTATGTATGTATTATGTATTTGTTAAAAACATTGGTAGGCCTAATAGTTAATAAACATTAGTAACATTGGCACCTATTACCAAATTTAATGGCGTTGCAAATATGAGTGAACAATGAGTGTACAGTGGACGCCTTGCGTAGCTCTGTTAAATCTGATTAATTAAAAATTAAATAGGTTTGTCTACAACTCAATCTTTTATAACTTTTGTGCGACAGGCCTGTTAAATTTAATGTTTGTATTTTTGTTAAATGTAAAATGTACTTGGTGTTCGTGTTGTGTGTTTCTATTGTGACGACACTGCTTTAGCTGAATCTTCTGTCTGATGATGGCATTCTAATGCCGAAACGACAGAGTGAGCTGTAGACAATGGTAAATACATATTTTTAATTATATCGCAGCTAAAGGGTTAAAACATGGATTTTAAAACTGATTAAGACCAGCAGATTTACAACTCAGGGGCAGTAAAATTGTATGCATTTTTCATATAATGGAACAGCATAGATGTATTAGAAGGTGAGTTTAAATTAGAGATTGTAAATGGGGAATGGTTGTGATGCCTTGGGTAGCTTTTCTAAGACTTTGATATTTTATCCAGGGTCAGTAGATTAGGTAAAACAACTATACTTTCAAAACCTATGATTATCTTGTGTGTAAATTATGTGAATGAGATTTATTTTTAAGTTAATTAATACAGTTTATTTCACAGCAGACTTGCGACACTATTCTTTACTGAGTAGCTCTCTAATATGTGTTATAGTTACATACATTACATTGTAAATAACAAATAATTCAATATTTTTTTCTGAAACTAAACAGTAATATATTGCAAAATATAATAAACAAGAATAAAGGTCAACAGTTTATCTAAGTTAGTTTAAAGGAACTGTGTATGCGAAATGCATGAAAATCATCAACCAACGATAACGAATGTTGATTACAAACAATTCCATTATTTCATGCTTACTAGATACTTGATTTTTTTATTAGTGCGTAATGAGTTTTATTTTAATGAAATCACAAACAAAAACTGAGAATAAAACCATGTACTTATCAGTCACAATAGAGTATAATTCAGAACCATTATCAAGAGCAACTGAAGGTTGGCTATGTTTGTGGTGATAAGTTCAATAGCATGTGGAAGAAAAGTAAACAACAGTTTACTGCATTCACATTGATATGGAAATGAGCATACAGGAACAAGTTACATTGACTTGCAACTTTTTCTAGTTTAAGTGCAAAAAATGCATGTCTACAAATGTTTCGTTAGTGGAAAATATAAAAAATCATGTTTTTCTTAACTTTGTTTGATGTCTCAATGGTCAAATCCACTCATCCTACACTCATCTCCATTCATACTTGGCTTAAAATACCTACATTGTATGGTCGCCATTTCATAAGAAAGTATAAAGTATAAAGTAAAGTATAAATCAAGACCATTGAAACGCAAATATTGATCCATTTAATTTAATAAATCTTATAAAAAAGGAGGCTTTTGTAGATGAATATATAATGTGTGTGTTTGTTCCTGACACTAACACTACTGAACTAACATGGCCAATATTCAACATTAAGGTAGATGATAAAGGGCTATTTATGTCTTAAAAATTTGTTGGACAATGTTCTGTGGACATCCACAGTTTTGAGGAGGAGCTTGGAATTGTAATCATTAGTTACTTGGAAGTAACTAATGATTGATCTCCAACTCAAGGCCCCACTAGAAAAACAGGCCATGCTACAGGATCCATGACATCACACCAGTGGATAGATTCATTGATAGATTATTGCCATATCCCATATGTTTTAGGTAAACAAGCTGACTGTTTGTCAGATTTTAATGGTAAGATTTTAGTACAACTATCCACCACTTTGACGTTGTGTTGCGCTGCCCGCACTGCAGCAATGGCCTGATTTCTAGTGGGGCCTTGTCCAACTCTGCATGGAAACAAAAATAAAACCCCAGTATTTACATTAATTTGCTCTATCTATTTAAATTAAATTTTATCTTGACACACATCTGGCCAAACTGAGACTCAATCTGAGTAAGTTTACGTGTCAATATGGTTTGAAAGACTTCACTTTACAATTGATAAAAATTATATAAACAATGTACTAACTTTGGTAAAGTTGGTAACAGAGTCGTCATTGAACTGCACACAGATTCCAATGAGAAACGCACAGACTCCTTGAACCAACTCTTCATTGTCGTCTCTCTCGGTGCTGCCAGCCTTCACACAAACATAAAGCTTCAGTGTACTATCAAATGAATCTCACATTTATAATAGTTGTTAAGGGTGCTTCAACAAACATATTTAAGAGGTGTTTTTGAAGTTAACCCATTGACGCCGAGTCATTTGAGTAGCTCGTCACCGCATTTCATGGCAAGAGAGTACTGCTAATAAATTGGCCCTGAAGTAGCTCGGCAAATTCACCCTGCAAGTGCTGGTGTCGTGTGTTCTGCGGACAGTGGCATGGAAGCTTAGTTGCACTGAAAAGTCTAGCATTGAGGTCTTTATATATGAGCATGTTCAAGTTCAAACCCTGTAATGATAAGCTGACTAATGTGTGGCATAGCTGGTGTGCAAGGCCCTCCTTAAATAAACTGTGTCTGGCTTTAGGTAGAAGTTAGTTGGTAGTGGCATTAGTGAGTTTAAAAGAGATTGCACAAAACACCTCAATTGATCTCTATACAAAAGTACAGAAGAGGACAAAGATTTTCCTTTTTTGGCTTCAATTTTGGTTAAAAATGTAATGTTGAAATACTCGTTTGATAAAAGTTATAAAAGAACATAGCTTAAACTAAAAACAATAATTAATAGAGAAATAAAAAAATACATCCTTAAAATTGTATTATTTAGTACCTAACTGCAAAGACAGTTACGCTTTAAAAGAGTAGAGAATTATACAATTACTGCCTACAGTTATATCATTATATATTAAATCATTGAAGACAATTTTGAACAAATAAACCTGCACATTATATTTTATAGGTCATACGCTACTTATCGTTAGGCTTTAAAAGAGTAGAGAATGATACAATTACTGCCTACAGTTATATCATCACATATTAAATCATTGAAGACAATTTTGAAAAAAATAAACCTGCACATTATATTTTATAGGTCATACGCTGCTTATCGTTAGGCCTGGATGCGATTTGGTAAGAGCACCTGTAAGCAAAACTGCCTAAGCCAAGGGCTATTTAAAGACTGATACCAATAGTTAAAATTTCTTTTTAATAGGCAACAGCTTTTAACTTAAGCACAGTAATTTTATTTAAATTAAACTAACATAAGCCTGAAGATGGTTCCATTGTTGAGCCGAAATTAGTTGCAGTGCAACCATTTGGATTACAAAAAAATACAGTTATCTAAACCACTTTTTTAGCAGTTTTACATAGTTATTTTGTTATTAGATCTCCACTTTCATACAGAACTTATGAAATCCCAAATCAAGCATGAATGACGAGGACTACCTTTCTCTATTGATGTTTACCTGAGCAGTCAGATATGGTATGCTGGATGGAATGCTGAGGAACTGTTTGACTGCTGCAGGACAGTGAGCCAGCCAGGTGCAAAGTAACATCAGCAACCCAAGCTTGCTCTGCACCTTGCTGCTCTGCAACAGAACTCACATTATAAATACACTCTGATTTTGTTAATTGTTTCTGTGAACAATCAATATTGTTTTCTATGTTTTAGACAACTGGTGTTGTTTTAATGTTTGGAGTTATATAAATTCTATTAATAAGTTGGGGATTTCTTTCAATAATGAATTAACCACGCTATTTTATACTATTTGTACCTAACACGCAAAGGCCTCTGACGCTCATGTGTATGGGCCAAAGCAAGGGTAAAGAGGTGAAAGTCTTAAAAAAAAATCAAAAAGTATACTCCTTTAACTGTGTAAATGTATAAATGTGTAAAGTATATGAAGAGTGGGTTTTGATTTGTTCTTTTTATTTTACAAACTCAAATTTTCACATGTAATCTGGTTCAATCCTAAACCCTTCAAACAAAACTCCTTATCAACTAAATAGAATTTTCCCAAAAAATAATTTTTGTGATAATCACAGGCTTACCTGAAAGAGACCCACTCTGGCACAAGAAACACAAGAATCAAGAACTTTATTGTCAGTAAAATACATAATGTGGTTAATACATTAGTATTTCCTAACTTGTCAATTACTCCTAAACCTAAACATAATATAACTTTTCTTCACCTTAAAATAAAATATTCTAACAATCTATAATTAGTAAAATAAATTTGTATCAGTCACTAGCCAAAATTCATCTATTGGATAAAGACATCCTGTAATCCAGCTACTAGGAGGTAACGAATTGTGGATATTTATAGGAATGCACTGTGGATGCGATGCTCCCTGGTGTGGATAAATGTCCGCACAAGTGAGTACTCCGACTATCCGCAGTACTATCCTGATAATTAGACCAATTTGTAAATTACAAGGAAAAAATGTGGTTCGGATTCCACTATAAACTGTAGGTCCCTTAGTTGCCATTAGCTGTATGGGCTATTAATTAACAGCTGTGACTAAGGAACATGTCGGACTTAGTCACTAACAAGACTACAAGATCGCGCCTTTCATCCTACACTCGTCCTTCACTCATATTTGGGTTAAAATACGCACATAGTGGTGTCCCCATCTTAAACAATTGATAATTGATAATTGACAGAGCTTAACATAAACATTCTTTAATTTCTTAATAAATTAATTAAGACAAAAATTTTGGAACTGTTTTGGTAGATGGCTCCAAAGTCTTGGAGCACAAAAAAGACTAGCTAATGCTTGTTGCCTTATGCCATACCTTTCAATATGGATGTGTTTTTTTACCTCTAGTGTCATATGAATGAACTTATTCATTTTTTGTTTTAAAGATAGCTTTGAAATATACCTACTAAAACTCTGTAAATGATAGAGCAAAAGAACCGTAAGAATCTCAAGATTTTTAAAAGTTTCCTTATAAGAAAAAATGCATAACAATTAGAAGCGCTCTCTCTTTAAACTCGCCCTTGTTCGAAAATGCTGTCAGTGACAGTGACATGTTCATTGTGTGTTTCTTGTGTCATAATGGGCTTTTCCCGTTTAAGTAAGACTGTTCATTAACATACATGTTGCAGTAGTTGTGTAGCCTGGTGTAGTAGGCTGACAGGAGTGTTGCCAGTATTGGCCGCCAGGAGCACTCTAAGCAATTCCTCCCGCTGCTCTGGGTTCTCTATGAGCGCGTGAGACAAGGCAATCGCTGAAAACCAGTTGGACAGAGGGTCGTGGCTGAAGAGACCTCCACATAGCAGCTGACCGCTGGACAGGTTCACCACTACAACCAAAAACAAGTGTAGAAGAGCGTTCCACTCAAAAGAGCTCAGAAATATTATATTGAATGTACTTATGATGGTACTGTGAAAACAAAAGTGTTTAGACTGACCTCTTTGCACAGGGGTTCTTTTTTTGTTTTGGCTTACGTCCAATTTTATTTTCCTCATGAACAGGAAAATTTAAATTATTCTTAAACTCATTTTTGAGGGGTAAGAATAACAACACATTAAGGGTAAGCAAAAAGTAACAAAATACCTGATTTGAAGTGAAATTCACAATAAATCCAACTGTCCTATCAACTTTCTCGACAACTGCAAACACCAACTAACTGACAGTAGTAATTCAGGGTGGTTGCGAATTCATGGTAGAAAGAAATGGTTGTGCATTGGTTTATGTAATACTTACGTACCAAACTTAGGAACAATATCTGAGAACAATGTGAAACAGAACACCGTCTAATCAACCCATCTAAACTTAATAAACTCTAGTTAGGCTAGTTTCTTCACTCAAAGAAAAACAACTTGATTCATGACAAATTAACCTTTCTAACCTTCAGTAGTGCTGGGAAGCAGTGTTTTCACAAGTTGTCTTTGACCCTCTTCGTTTTGGAAAAGGAAACACTGGAAACAGTAGAGGACAGCGCAGCGCAGCAAAAATGGCTGCTTCTCATTCACCATAGACATCAACAGGACCACTATCGCTTCCCTAAAACATTGTTCATACATTTTATTACATATTATATTATAGCTACTCCAAAGATCCTCACACCAGAGTTAATTTTTTATGCCAAAGACAATGAAACAATAAACTGGGTCTACTGTGAATTGAAAGTTTTGTTGTAAATAAAATCAAAATCATTAATTGTTGTAGACATTTTACAATGCATAAAAAATAGTCACAAAATACATAATGCTGTTATTAATACAGCAAATAAATTCTTACGTATAATCAATCAATATAATAAGATCTAGAATTTATTTAAAGCATGAAATCAACATGATAAGTTCAGTTACAGAGCCACGTTTTTCGAACTAATCTATAATAAAATACCAGGTGGCCGAATGAATAGTATTCAATTTTAAATCTGAAAGATGCTAGTTTCCAATCCCAAAAAGGACCGATTTTAAACATAGTCATCAGAGGTTAATTTTGGATGGTAACAGGACCAAGATATGGATCCTCCTTTTACAAAAGATCTCAAAAATGTGCTAAAAGTACTCAAAGACACATGAACTTAACTATTTAGACACAACTTGCATAGCCTCACCTGGGAGGGGTGGAAGGGGCCATGACGGTGGTGAAGTATTGCTGGTTTCCATGGTTACCACGTATAGCCTCAGCCAGGGCACAGATAGTCTCAGTCAGGGTGTCCACAGGCACACCCCCCGCCATCAGCATGTGACACAGAGCCTCTAGTATACCACTAGCATGAAGCGCTCGCTGACACGAAGCCGTCACCTGCGCGGGGTTACCAGGGGACACCAGGGTGCGAAGAATCTGACAAGTAGAAAAATACATAAATGTTAAGCAAAGGACTCGGTAAGCACGCTATTAAATTGTGTTTGGAGTTAATAAACTTATGTGAATGGATGTTTTATTTTTTTTAACACAAAAGGAAAAAATATCCATGTATCATAAAGTAAAGGATAGTAGCTAACTGACAAACTCCTTTATGCCATTTGGGGTTTTTGAACACCAGAATAAAAAGAACAAACAGCTTTAATTTCAGGGTAATCTAAATAAATCACATGGAATAAATTTGTACTTTAAATTGACTATAGTGGAGCCTCAACTAACTGTCACAACCTCAATTTCTATCATCTGTCTATTCAGTTGACCGTCAGAGTCGTGGCCCCGTAGGTTAATAGAACTGACTATGTGTGTGAAATCGCTCTAAAGAGCGCTAAAGAGTGGACCATTCAATAAGAATTTTGTAGCTCCTAATGAAATAAATCTTTTACTGAAATTAATACTAAAATATGGAGATTGCTCTGTATTATCTTCACTCCCGTCTATCTAATTTCATGGTGGAACGAGGAATATTCAATGAAGACTACTTTACATTCTTTTGACCTAATGATGTGCTCCATCCGAAGCATGAAACAGCTGTAGTTCTAACCAACTGCAAAGGATCGTTTTGACAGTAACAAGGTAATATAACTCAATATATTGTCTATCTAAGCCAAGCCTAATTTTTAACATCTAGGGAACCTACCTGCAGCACACAGTGGATGTTAGCGACTTTCTGAGAAGACCAACCAGCACCCTCCTCACCTTCCGGTGGCAAAGTGAACATTGGCGCAAGGCGTTGAATGTAGCTGCCTGTGTATATAAATTACTTTAGTGATGCATTACTACTACTAATACTCAGCTTTTATTTCATTCAAAGGAACCAAGAACTTAAGGCCTACTTAAATATTTCTGGTTGAAAAAATAGTTCTGGTCGGAACAGGTTTGTAGTAAACATATTTTGAAAGCTTTGTCTTCACTCCTCCCTGCTATGATTTAGGCCTATCACTATCTACTACAAAAAATGCACAGACTTCAGCTAAACAAACTTTTGAATCTGTGGTTTCAATTGAAGCAAGCAAATTATTCTTTCTCCCCTCTGACAATTATTTTATTGGACCACATTTAATAAACAAAAGGATAGACAAAAATACTATAAGATAAAATCTTTGAAGCTTGATGCTTGAGCTTGAGCTAAATAATTCAGACAGATGCATTTCACAAAATAATCTTCAGCTGATCCATAAGGGTGATAAAGGAGTGTATTTAACCTACAACTACATTGTACCTTCTTTGAAGAAGTTCTGGTTGGAGGTGTTGTTACGCAGCAGGTTCAACATGAGTAGGAGACAGTCTTCCACCACAATCCCCCCGTCTGCTCCCCCCTCCTCCTTGATCACTTCAAACAGCCGATCAAACGCATTTTCAAAAGCAACGATCTTCTGGATATTGGCATTACCTTTGGTCAGCTGGATCAATAACAGCAGGGCCTGTTTTAAAATCAGTTTGTTAATTGACTGAAATTCTGACGTTTGCATTGAAGATTATCATTAGCAATATCATAAGAAATTCCATACCAAATAACCTCCAAAATCCCCCACTGCCTACATTGACAAATTCTGTGTAACTTTATATGTATTCAAGTTGTTCAAGCATTAACGTAGATAAAACATACTCCCTTAGTAGATTTGTCTTTGTCATCCTTATGGAAGAGCAGAAGCCAATTTTATTGTTGGTTCTGTACGTCCAACTGGAGAGGTTGTGTTTTGTTTACAATTTATTTATCATCATTTCAGTAATTTAAAACCTCATTTAACCAAATAAAACAATATGATCATAAACAATGACTGGTCTCCTAGTTATATAACGAAATAGTAAAGTAAAAATCAAGAAAATAACCCTAAAATAATAGAAAAAAAATTTTGTCCACCCGAGCGATCAGTGTGGACGTACATGAACTAGACATGAAAAACAAGCTTCAAAATTTACAATGGGATGAGGAGTCTCCTTGTGTTGCTTAGTCTGTGACACCACACACTTTGAGTGACTGATTAAATCAATGGCATTATAGGTGGTATGATAGTTAAGGTACTGGTTGGGCAAAAGCAACGACTTTTCTCACCTCATTGCGGATCACATCTCTGCTATCTCCCAAGAGATCCATCATCTTCGAGACACCCATAGGACTAACGAGGATGATCTCTTGAATGTCTCGTGGCCTGAGAACGTACATTTGGTATTTAAATAAACAATTAAAACAGAAATGAGACATGTTGAAATCAGCTCCAAAGGGAGTTAAGAAAAAGAAAATGTTAAATATTTAATAAAGAATTAAAACATTATTTTATGTTTAAACCAAACTAAAATCCACCCTCCAGCTCTTGCTACATCTGTTTCAAGTACAAGCTAATTAATTTGTCCGATTAACTGGGTTCCCATATGAAACAGATCTCGGAGGACTGTATCTAAAAACATGAACAATGTTTCGGTAATTTAAACTCCTTAAATTGTTTACTAATATTTTTGTAATTTTGTAATTACTAGAAAAACGTAGAATATTGATTTTTTAAATTTTTTTGATATTTAATATTTAAACTTTTAAAGTACAAGTAATAATAGTATCAAATCAAATATATATATATATAATACGTGAAGCCGTTTTTTGTTAACGCAACTCCTCCCTTGTTTGTGGACCAATTTCAACGTTTGAGGTGTCAAAAGATTCGTCTCAATATGTAGTTTTGCAATAAGGTTTTAGAATTCTAAAATTCCTGCTCTTAAGAGCGTGATGCCCACTCAAAGGTCGGATTTTCCCCATAAGAAATACATAGAACAAGTTTAAAACCAAAAAACAGCTGTTTATAAGAAGCTGTAGCTTTTTGGGAGTAAATATTGATGTTTGTAATATTTAGTAGGTTAAGACCAAGTTAAACAGTTCAAATCAGTTTTGTTGGAAGAACAGAAAATGCCGCAAGTTCAAAGAAGAAATATTGAACACGGTAGTAGGACACAATTAATAATAAGATATTTTGTGCGTATGAGGAGAGTAGAAAAAGAGAGACCTGGTCTAACAAATACCCATCCAGATACACATTCACTTTGTGAGATGAATAATATTTGCCAGTTCTGCTATGCAACTGACTTTGGAAGAAAAAAAATATACGAAGCTCATAGTGTTGTCACGGTGGGAAAGTAAACTTGCCTAAATGTCAGATCAAATGAATGCATGCAAGAAATGTTTACTTCAGACACTGACAGATCGGGATATTTCAATACATTTTGTTAAAATTACGTTAACCAACTTTTAATGGTGTTGCTGCTTTAGCCTATTCAAAGCAGGTTATGGCTGTCCAGTTGGTAACCCCGAGTTTGTGGGTAAAAAATGGAGCACATGAAATGGTTGACATCACCCCACTTTTCAGGTTACTCTACGGAGAAAATTCGTTTGATCGGGGGATGTCTCAAATCAAAGAAATAAAATGGCCCAACTTTAATTACTTAAGAAAGGTTATCAGTAAGGTAACAGTGTTCTTCAATTCTCAATGCTAGAAAACTTTGTTGCAACATATTAACTCGAATTGAGGCAGATCGTTTTAGCATTCATTAGAAGTTATCAGTTAAAATCGAGAGCAGAAATGATGTAGGTGAACCTTGGTAACGCCATTAGAGATATTTAAAATTAGTTTCTAACAAGTTTTCAAATAACTCTAAGATGTACCTAAAGTTACTAGAATTTAAGCATAAGGTTTTCCTCGGCGTTATGTTTCATACTAGGCGGCTCATTGAGCCGCACGGGTTCACTAGTATTTAATAATAATTAAGTAACATAAGTACCAATAGACTTTATCAAATTATAGCCGTCTCCAAAAAATAACTCGAAACTATGAGTAGGCTTGCAATAAACATTAAAAAAATGTAAGGAATTACATTAAACATTCTATAAGTTTACATAAAGGGTTTCTTTAAAAAAAAATCTGTTTAATCGATCAACCTCGGCAAAGAACTAATTTGGTAACTATGTTAGGTAATTAAATAAGCGATGTATATTTACAAGCACAATACTCACTTGTTAGCTAATAAGGTAGTAAGAAGTTTAACAGCTGGCCAGCGAACTTGAAACTCATATTCTTCCATGAAACTCAAAACAAGACCAACGTTTTCTGGCTTCTTTATGAAAATCTCAGTAAACTGTTCTCCTACGTGAGATAAGGACTCATGGCTCAGATCTGGACGTTCTACAATCAAAACAAAACATATAGTAACAATAATGAACATGTAAATAGGATCAAAGGTGGATGGGTAATATTATAGAGTTTATTCTTCACCGTATAAAAATTGTTGTAAATACCTGCATTTATGCGATCAAATGCTAAATTGCAACCGGTTTCAACTCACATAGGAGTCATCGTCGGGCCAGTACAGATGTCATCTAGCTTCACTCGAAGGTCGTCAATTCATAATAAATAAATATAAAACGCACACGAACCCGAACAATTAGGATTAAAAACAAAGAGTAATACTCCAAAGGCATGGAACACGACAATGACTCCTATGTGAGTTGAAACCGGTTTCAATTTAGCAACACATTTGATTGCATAAATGCAGGTATTTACACCATTTTTTGTATTTTAATGCGGTCAGGAGGCTAAAATTCAATATAATGGAGAAATAAAAGTTACGTCAAACGTTCCACTAAAACCTTAAAAATTTGTGTAAATTCAATACCGTATTGAAATTTATTTATTTTAGGAAGCGAGAGAAAATTGTTTTCAGCACACAAGTGATCAGTCATTATGAGAATTCTGCTTACAGACTACCTAACTAGGCCTACTCCCATAGAAACCTTCTATGCTCATTTATACTTAAAGTTGAAATTGTTTGTCACTGTAGTGTACATAGGTCAGATCAACATTTTACCTCCATGAGGGTTAGCGAGACGACATACAATTCAAGTTGGGTCTAGGCCAGAATACGGTGCATGTCAAGTTTTAGTGCAGAAAGTACTCTGGATAAAATGTGACATGCCGCCTAGGACATATATCTATAACTAACGATTAAGGTAGTGATAAAAATCAGGGATTATGCCTATGCATTTACATATCTTATTGTGAGGTACCGGTGTCGGTACATTGAATGCATGTATAACAACACTCACCTTCTTCTTCAAAGATCTCAGGAGACGTGATGTTGCATAACGTGTCCAGGACATAGCCTACAATCTCACAGTCATTGTGATCCATCTCAAGTACTTGTCTGAGCGCATCCATTCCCTGAGCTCCCACCTCTACACGATACTTTCGGGATAGCGCTTTCAAGGCTCTGCATGCATCTCGTCGGTCATCCAGCAGGGTTGATGATTGGACACGATCAACCAATCGCTCAACCTTAACAATAAAATAACAATGCTGGCGTTTGGCAATCTAGTACTTTCATCAAACCACTATTTGGCACCATAGTTGTTGATGAAAATGTTGGACTACAGACAGAGGTAAGGTAGCCTAATAAGTTATTAAAGGTGTCCAAGGGCTATAAAATAGATTTTATGATAAAATAGAAATAACTTTTACAAAAAAAAACCTTTAAAGCAGCTAATTGCTCGGATCCAAATACAAAAAACTTATTTTTTTAAATTGATAGGCCTACTTAGAGTAATGCTTGGAAATTTCATAGGCCTACAGTTCCGCAGAGAACCTGCGATATATTGTCGGATGAATAACAATTAAATATGTAGGCCTATGTTTATCCTACTGTATTTGATAAATCAATTAGGTTCAAAATATTGTTTATTTTTTCCAATGAAAACATCAAATTGATTTATGATTTGTTAACTTTTTAGGCTATATATTTGTAATAAATAAAACTAACAATATTTAACCAGGAACTGTTTTTTTTTTCAATACTGTAACCACATAGAAATCAAAAATACAAAGAAAAAGTTTTGATTATGTTTTGTGGTAGGTATGGTATATTCAATTCAATACAATATTAATATCAAACCAAATACATAACCGGTATTGATATATATTTTGCCTACGACCGTTTTTTAAAGTAGCCGTTTCAGTACAGTTCTTAGAATTGAAAAGTATCTCATAACAGCATTGTTTACTTTCATAACAGCATAAGTTAGTTTTACTCATAACAACACGGGTAACAGACCAATGAGGTTCAAGGATTGAGAGAGGAGAAGCAAAATTGTAATGATTTGAAATTCAACTAATCAGCTGTTCAGGCCAATTTAATTGTTGATTGGTGCAATTAGTATTTGATACAATGTTTCGTTGCATCACTGTCAGTGGCAATTAGAGGTTATAAACAAAAACATAACCTCTGTTATGAGTAGTGATTTTTAGTAATTAAAACACCGTCGTAGGTAAAGTAGTGTACGCAACTCACGTAAATAGTGTTAACGACACTCGTAGAAGTTTTTAAGGCACTCGTGTCATTACCACTATCTCTACGCAATCCTTACGTAAACTACTATATCACTATTCATCAGACAATATACTTATCACAGGTTCTCTGCCAAACTGTAAGTTAACTAACCCAGTGATTTTCTCAATAGAGACACATAAAGAAATCTGGAATTTTAAATTAGGTAATTAAGTTTAGGCCTAGTACTCCTGAGTTTACTTTGAACATCTAAGTTAGCCTAGGCATATCACACCACTCCCACCATAACGCTACTTATTGCTATACTTCTTCGGTGTGGTTCAATGTACTTAATCAGCAAAACAGTGTTGTATATTGTATTTCATACTGTTAATATTAATTATTGCTCACGCCAAGTATATCTATTTCACATTAAATTACGAGTTCTTATCAATGTCAACTCGACACTCTTGTAAAATGGCATGTAATAAATAAATGCCAATTTGGTGACAGCACAAGTCTGTTGGTGTTACACAGAGCTCAGTTTAAAATCAAATATGGTTATATTAGACTTGGTTCTGTTAATTTTTTTTTTTTTAAGAAGGACGCTACCTTAATTCAACCCATCATAACCTTACATGGTGATCAGATGGAGCTGCATCTGTAATGTTTAGCCTGACTGTAGCCATGCTATATATGCATGACAATCGTCAATGCACTTTTGTAATGTCCAATGACAAATAAATAATTCTGATTCTGATTGATCTACAAATGCAGTACAGTAGGGCCTAGTAGTGCTATATAAGTAAGGCTCACTGACCTACAGCCCAAAGGCCTAATCTTTGTTTAGCATATTTTTTATTTACCCTACGTCTTTAAGATTACACGGTTTTTTTAAATCTCAGATAGGCATACAAAAAATTTGACAATTTAAATAGGTTAACATACCTTTAGTCGTCAATCCTAAAATTAGTCTATGGCGACTAGTACGAAACATCAATGTTTCATTGTCGAGCCTCTTGCCTCTTAAAAATATTGGGACATCTTGTCATCGTCATTACACAATAGTACATTTAACATATAAACACAGACACAAACTATTTACAAAAATGAATGCACGGCCGGCTATAGGTACCACGGTGACAGAAACGATGCAACTCATGGACAGATGTCCCAATATTTTTTACTTAAGAGGCAAGAGGCTTGACAATGAAACCTTGATGTTTCGAAACTATTCGTCATAGACTAATTTTAGGATTGACAACGTAAGGTATGTTAACCTATTAATGTTGTCAATAGCCCAATCAATCCTGGAGGCAATGATGAATAAAAAGAAAAAATTTCTAGAAGTTATTTATTGATGTTCGGAATAGCACCAAGGCAACTTACATAACTTATCATATATGTGTAAAGATTTACGGAGTACAGTTTCTCAACTCTGTGCTAGAATAATCGATTGAAACTATTGATTCGATTAAAAAGTGAAGCTTTTCATTCAATTTTATCATTATCAACAAGTTTGGTTGGTTATGACGGTTTAATTTAATGATATAGGCTAGTTAAAAATATTGATTATTAATTGATATTCTGAATCGGCAGTGTCAATCGATATTAGTGTAGGTAGTCCCATGTTATAAGTTCCATGTTATAAAATTGTAAAAAAGTTAACTTAAAAAACATTACTTTATTTATGACTTACTGTTTCGGCCCCAGATGGTTGGGCTCCAGGTTGAGGAGCTCCTAGGACAGATTTTAATCCACTTTTGAAATACTCCATATCCGATTTATGATTATAGGCTATTCTAAAAACAGATCGACTCAAAGTACCATTATTTACATTACACGTCACTTATGGATGCAGGTAGAGCCTGGCCTATGGGGGGGGGGGCAAATAATACCGTAAAATACAACAAGAACAAGATAGAGGAGAAAGATTAAAGATAGTGTGCAAAGAATTCAGAAAAGAGCAGGAGCAGACCAGACACTGACTGTCACTGTCACTGTGTGTGTGTGTAGTGTAGTTTGACAAATGGAAAATGACAACTGTTCAAATGAAAAAAAGTCAGTGAACAGCTGTTATTAAAACATGGAGTTAAAAAATAAGTTAGAACTTTGACGGGATCCGGGATCCGACGGGTCATCCCATAACTTCGAGTACTTTTAATTCTGATTTATCTGAATTCCCATAACAATATATTATATTTTAATTCTGAGCTATCGAAATCCCAAGTTATCAGAAACCCACCCGTTGTTACAACCCTACTTGCGATTATGCCACTTCAAAGGCCACGGCCTGGAGTTAAAGGGGGCCGTGATTTAAAGTGTATGATAAAAGTGGAGTCAATATTTTCATAGCCTAGTAACCAAGCTTTCGTATCCTTAAAAATTACAGAAGTACCACTAGATGCCTCCAAACTTAACAGTCAATACAACACTACTTGCGATGTTGCCACTTCGAATGCCGGAGTTAAAGGTGGCCCTGCCTCAGCAATGCTGTTGCTGTTAAGCTTAAACGTACGATTTAAGCGTTCTTGAAAATTATAAATTAGTAGGTACATTATTTTGGAGTTGGTTATTTTATTTTATTTTACATTCCAACGGACAGCTCCATTTTGATACTAAACAAACATAATTTAGGTAGGCCTTAGTATTTACAGTATCAGTATTTTTAGTTTTGCCGGAAACCTTTATGCTCGGGGTTATGCATTTTAGTATTTTAATGTACTGGCCTTTATTTAAACTTGGAATTATGAATATCATCCATTACAACATAATTATTTATTAATCAGGTCTGAGTTGGTCATCAGCTTGGATTGTAGAATGTAGAACCTTTTATGATACTTAAGTACTTTTAATCTATGCCTACAGCCCCTGGCACAGCAGTTAAGTTTGAAAGTTTCATGAGAACAAGAGAAACCAACCCAGTCACACTCAAAACAAAGTACATTGGTTTCCGTTCCGGTCCGGATAACTTATGTTTCAATTGAAAACGAAACGAACGAAAGCGTCTCTCTCATCAACCTTCTCGTTCTCGTTTGTATTTTGTAAATTAAATTGTAAGTAAGTTAGGAAATAACAAAAACTTTGGTTGACAACTACACAGTCTACTACTAAGTACTTAGTCTGGTTTTAATTATTTCTCATAATTTATCATAAAAATCCCAGAACTACTTGACTATAATTAATTAATTAAGTACTATCATCCTATCATACTATAGTGAAGATATAGGTCTAAGTCAAGTTTGATATTTATACCTCCAACATTTATTTTTAAAAGCCCAGGTTAGCAACATGTCAACTGGTGAAAATTCATCAGAGTTCCACAACTGTATTTTGAAAAGGTTGTCAGAGAATTTTTCTAAGCTAGATGAGATGAATGCTCAAATATTGAAACTAAGAGCCAAAGATGGACTTCTTCTCAAGGATCAAGCTAAATTTTACTGTCCAGATAGTGTTGAAGTGTTCATATGTGAGATTGAAGAGAGTAGGCCTACTCAAGATGGACCTCAACATCCAGATTGCCTAATGAAATTAAATATGATTCAAAAGCTTTGTGAAGTGCCCCCACTGGCTCCAAAATCACCAAATGGGGAGGAAAATAACTGAATAGAAGATATTCAAGGAGGAAAATGTCAGTCTAAGAGTTTTTTTTTAGCAGGACAACTTGCAGCAGTTTACTTAAAGTTAACAAGTAATTTTAAAGCTTGTTGTGACTTATTAAGGTTAGCCTTAAAGTAAGTAATGCTTTAACATTGTGTAAGTTAACTGTATGTATGCCTAATTAATAAAGAATCCTTTTTTCTGGTCAGGTCTTGTGTTTTAACTAGGCTAACTTAGGTGTAAACAATTTAGGTAGGCTTAGGGCCTACTTACACAGTCAGGCTATAACTTAGGTCTAGCTTACAGTACCTGTCATGTTTACGCTAAATAGGCTTAGTGTCTAGCCAGTTCCAAAAGAATTTATACTGAAGAATAGCCTAGGCTTGAGTAGTAATGTTTCAAAGTTAGGCCTAACTTAAGTTATGTATTGTAACCTGTTATTTGTTAAACATATTCTTGACTGAATTTATGCTTCAAGGAAGGGTTTTCTGTAAGTTAACTAACTTATTCCATGCTAGCCTACTTGGTCCTGACCAAAAATTTTGTTTGCCCTTGCATGGCAACTTTACTTAAGTTAATTCTCCCTTTCATTATTAATTAAGTTACTAATTGGCCTAAGTTACTGCCTTTTATTTTGAAAGTTTTTAAACTATATGTAAATTAAGATGGATATCTAAGTAGTTTGAGAAATGTCTTAACTTTAAGTGTATTTTACTTATACGGTAGGACCCTAAGTTGAATTTTAATTTACTTAGACCCACATGTACCTAAATTAGGTAGGCTGTTTGCAATAAGTAATTAAATGAGTAGGTCAACCACAGTCTATAAAAATTATGGGCTTGTTTTTAGTAGGTCCTAACCAGTATACATTTTCAAAACTTAACAATTTACTAAGGTTAAAACATTTTACTTCCCTTAGTTAAAAAGTAGACATTGTAAAAATAACAAGTATACCGCTATGAATAACAGAAGAACTGCTACAAGTCATAAGATTTACGAACTGGGTTTATGCGGTTTGGAACAAGTAGGCCTATCGATTTGTACCTCCAACTTAAGTTTATGTGTATGTGTATTATCCAATTAAGTTTGTAAATTTGTGTATTAACTTAAGCCATTAATCCAAAAAATAGGCCTACTTAAAATAATAAATCTGAAATAAGGTTTTAGCCTTTGTAATGAATTTGTAAATGAAACTAATAAGATAAGTTAAGTTTTTTTTTCTAATAAAAAATTATACTATCAAATCTCACGTTCTTAACCTAACTGGAGCATAATTCAGTTTGAATGAGTTGTTAAGTTAACTTAATTTGTTTCAAAACTGTGCTGTGAATCATTGTTTTGGATAGAAAGGCAACTAGGTGTGTTTAAAAAAATTTTGAATGATGAGTACAACCATAGATAAAACATACTTCCTTAGTAGATTTCTCATCCTTATGGAACAGCTGAAGACAATTTTATTGTTAGTTCATGTACGGTTTATGTAGAGGTCGTGTTTTGTTTACAATTTGTTTCCCGTTATTACAGCCATTTAAAACCTCGTTTAACCAAATAATACGATCTAATCATAAACAATAACTTGTCCCCTAGTTATATAACCAAACAGTAAAGCACAAATTAAGAAATTAACCCTAAAATAATGGAAACAAAGTTTCATCGACACTAGCGCCGTCACGTAGGCCTACATGAACTAGACACGAAAAACATGCTTCAAAATTTACAATGGGATGAGAAGTCTACTTGTGTTGGTTAGTCTATGGTACAACAAACAGTGATGAGTCCAAACAGTGGTGGCTGCTGAGGCCAGCTGCACACTGATTTGACAAAACGTTTTGTCAAAAGACGTCGGAAGCAAGTGGCCTACCATGCAGTTAAATGGAAGCATCACACACTGATTCTCCTGCAGTTGGTGTCCTTCTTCTGGATTCCTGTTGACAGTAAATTGAGTAGGTAATGAAACGTATCAATTTTAATTATACAATATTTATAAAATTTGGCAGCATCAGCTCGTAACTCCACAATGAATCCCCCAATCTTTTGTTTTTGATTAATGGAATGAGCCCAATGCGCCCTTCCTTTGTTTAGTTTTGAAAGTTGTATAACGTTCCACAACATAATTGCTACGTCCACTTCCTCATCCATTGTTATTAACACCACACAATCTCTGGCTTTTCACAACACTGGTCTACGGGTGACTGGATTAGTTTACCCTCCAGTTTTTGTCTTTTGTCTGAGACCACTGCACACCAATGCGACATTTTTGTTTTCCGAAAAGACGTCATCCTACAAAACGATTTCTCAAAAAACGGTTTTACACATTTTTACATTTTTTACAAAACGTTTTGTCTGACCATTATGCGGTCAGCCTGATCATTTAGTTGGAAGAAAAGCCGGTCTTGGATGGTCGCAAACCAGCATGATCAGACCATGGGAACGGTGTTTAATGGTTTGATGGGGTAAAAATGGGGTTTAATAATTTTTTTCCCTTAAAAAATTTATCGAGCTCAAAAAAAATTATTTAGTATATCAAAGTGTTGTAGGGTTATTGGTTACGTAGAAAATTAAAAAATTCCCCCAAGGTGTGACGTTCTGTGCGACACCTTTCCTAATGCTGGCTCTGGTTGGGAGGTTCACTGCTAGGGAAAAATAAATGATTTACAACAATCTGTACTAAAAAAATATGGATAGGCTACTCATGTCCCATAGGCTACTCTATAAAAATAAAAAATAAACTAATTAGGTATTAAATTATTAATTAATTATAACAGTATAAGCGTAAATATATGTTTTAAGTGTTATAAGACGTTTCTCTTATTTACTTTCCGTATTATATTACATCCAACAGCAATTAATTGTAAAAAATAAGATAGCATTGGTGGTGGTGATGGAGGATTCTAATAAGCATGCACGTCCTGCTCCCCACTCTAAATGGTTCGATCCTTAACACTTGATAATACTGTTCCTTTTAAACAGAGAATGGCACAATTTATTTATTAGGCCAACTGCAATTCATGTTCAATTTTTTTAAGAAAGAATGTTTTAATATACCAATTTTTACAATAATTTTACACATAAAATATTGAAGAAAGGTCTGCGGGTGAGGAACCAATGATGCTGGCGACATTTCCCTTTTGTATGGCCATGGCATATAATGTATGTTCAAATTTGTTTAGCACATAAAAAAAATAAACAACGTTTTCACAATAACATATAACTAAAAGAACCCTAAAACAAAAAACAGAAAAAACTAAACTGAATTCTCCATTGAGTACACAGGATTTTGGGAAATTAGAAAAGAGTTCATTAACAAATCTGTACAAAGTTATATTTCTCCAGTCAACATTTATCAGACAAAAGGCTCAATATTGATCTCGAGTGCAGCAGCAGGCAGTGTGAGATCAAACTTGGTGGTCACGTCTGGATGGACAACTCCCATCACTCCGATCACACTGCCTCGAAGAACTATCTGCGCACATCTCTGAGGGAAGTATGTGCTGTCTGTAAATAAAACATCAAATTATTGGTTTGACTTTAATGTAGATCCAAACTTGTTTATTTGCTGGGTCTTTGCCTCAAGCTGCACCTAGGTAAGATTACATTTATTTGTGTATTTAGCTTGTGGGTAAAATGTTATAACCATTGAACAGTTACGTATTCAGACCTTCATGAGCACGAAGACAGTATCCCGTGTCTGGATCAAACGGAATGTTGAGAAGCTGCATGAAGCGGTCGAGCAGTCCATGGATAACTTCAAATCCTGGCGATTTGTTGTAGTTCACTGCACAGAAGTGACGTTCATTGCGGGCTCCCACTTCTAAAACATAAATCAAATAACGATTAACCTAACATATAAACTAAATCAGTATCCATTGAGGAAAATGGCTTATTTCTGGTATTTAAAATCCTTAACTTGTTACACAAATTTAGGATTGTTGTTTAATAATACCCTTATGTTTGAAAAGTTTGAGTAAGTGCCAAAGTAGTATCAAGTTAGGACTCCATGGTTACTAACACTAAACGAGGAGAACGTCCGTGTCATGGACTGAAACTTGGCACTTAGTAATAAATTACTGTCTGTGAAAAGCAGTTGTATCCCTAGATGACCTAGTTTGTACTGTTTCCAAGTAGTCTCACTCATGGCTTTAAACCTACACAGTTTACAGTAATAAGTAGGCTAAAAATCCTTAAAGATCAGGAGGTACTCAAACAAGGAAGTAGTTGTAAAAATCTGTTATAAAAACATAAAGTAGCCTGTAACCTCATTAATTACTCTGTACTGCTTTATTAATTGCAAGTTGGTAATGGCAATTGAGGTAATTAATCTTGCCAAACAGGTCATTATCCAATCTGATACTTTCTCATAACCTAAACTTTCCACTTCAACTAAGAACTGTAAATGCTTTATATAACAAAAGATATATTGATAGTATCTAGTAAAACAGAACGAGACCTGCTTCCGGGTCTTTGAGGACGACGTCAGATATCTCAAACAGTCTCAATGGTAGAGGCATGTTTTTGTTGGCAGCGACTGTCTTGAACAGACCTGGGAGTAGTGTAGTACGGGCAACTTGAAACTCCAGTGTTTTTGGGTTGGAAATGTGAACTGCAGGAAGACTCTCTATCAGTTTGCCGACCTTACTGGATATGTCATCCTTTGAACACTAAACAAAGTAAAAACTTACAACTTAATATATTTCATTCCAACTCAAAACACCTTCATTAGGATGAAAATTTTGTCAGTGAAGGTAAAATTTGCTGAACTTTCAATTCAATATTTATTGAGTAAAAGGTTTTTTGTTTCTTGTGCCATGATGGACTCTCCCACATTCTGACAAGCCTGATATCCCAAAAGAATTCTTATAACGTAGTTCCTCGTTCTTAAGTTTATTTATTTATTTTGACGGCAAACACAATTTTTACAATAAATTTTACATTGTGATACATGCGACAAGATGCTTTTTTACATGTTGTTAAATATTGTGCAGATGTTACATCAACAACCTTAAACAAAAGTTAAGTTAGATCAGGGGTACAGTTTTGTAATCTTCTCCTTAAGGTTAAGACTATTGGACATTCAAAATAACTGAGCTGTAATCAATGTATGGGTTCAAGAAATGTACTTTTTATGTAAATTTAAAACGTCTGACCATAGAATAACCAACTCAAGTAGACGTCTCATCCCATTGCATATTTTGAAGCTTGTTTTTTGTGTCTAATTCATGTAGACACTGGGTGTTAGTGTCAAAAAATTTTGTTTCTAATATTTTAGGGTTAATTTCATGATTTGTGCTCAACTGTTTCATTCATTATAATTAGGCGACAAGTTATTGTTTATGATTATTTTATATTGTTTTATTGGGATAAACAAGGTTTTAAATTACTAAAATAACAAGAAACAAATTGTAAACAAAACACTACAGTGCACCGGATGGAACTAACAATAAAATCTTCAGTCTTCAGCTGATCCATAAGGATAGGAAATCTACTAAGGGAGTATGTTTTATCTATGGACTTAGTATCAATTATTTGGATGACATTAAAAAATAAGAAGTCGGTACGTACTTGAGACCATATACATTTACACCCCTGTCCCTATTAACAGCCTTTTTAGTGGTTTTCACTAATTCGGTACTGCCTAAATATTGCATTAGTAAGTGTCTACTGTAACTTTTTTGTATCTTTATCTGCTGCAAACATCAGGTATTCAATAAAAGTCACGCTTTTTCAAAAACTCTGGGTCTAGGGGATCTCATACATAGCCTCCTAATTTTCTTACATTAATGAATTTCCATTGTCTATCCCCAATACTCGTCTTTCTACACACAGTAGGTACTAATGTAATGTTTTACTATGTTATGTTTAAGGGTTAAGATCCCCTTAACCCTCCATTTATTAAGGATCCCCTTAATAAATGAGTAATATATTCACCAATGAGAAAGTAAGAGCCTCAGTGAAGCCAGCCTGAGCTATCTGTTCCCTCATCTGTTCTGTCAGCTTGTTGAGAGGTACCTGAAATCAGGAAAATAGCAGTTAATTGCAGCTTCATTATTACAAATTGATTCAAGTCAGGACTTTAAACTAAACAAAAATTCCTAACGCTACAAAACGAAATAAGATTCAATTAGTCTAAACATTTTTTAGCCGAGTCTTAAAATTGTTGTAAGACCGTGCTTCTATTGTGCAAGGAGGTGCACTGTACTGAGCTGGCCTGAAGTAAGAAAACTCAGCATCAAGCATAACCCTTGGTATATCAAGCAACAAGTCCTGCCTAATTTTGCGCTCTCATGGGCGATCTCGCTTTCAGTTTTACTTTTGAGTACTGTGGTGCCTCAGTGACCATTGTTTTGTGAACGATACAGGCAACCTGCTTATCACAGCTCGCCAGGACGGATATTGTATATATGTCATCCTATGGTGACTTGTGATATGATTATATTTTTTAGGGTTGTATTATTGTATGTGGACCTTAGGGAGCAATTCTATAGCCTGTGTAGTATTGTGATCTGTTCCTGTGTTAAACTGTATCAAAAACCGAGGCAGTAAATCAAGATAGGGAAAATTAGTGATTTGACCAACTTCAACTTGATATTTGCTGGGAGCAGTGTTCTAAACCTGTTAAGCACTTTTAGTTTCCAACTTGTTTGCTTATCTGTTTGACATCGTTAACTGAAAAAGTCAGCTGTGAGTCAATAGTCAAACCAAGAATATTCAAGCTTTTGAAAATCAACAGATCTGAATTAAGTGTCACTTGAACTTACCTGGTAACCAATTGTGCTAGTCTTGGGCACTGTTTTGAGGATGTTGTTGTAGCCAAATGCAATGGCAGCATCTTCGTAGATGTCGACTGGATGGAAGATGTCGTGTCGGGAGGGAGGCACCTCGACCACGATCTCTCCTCCCATCGTCACACGAGACTTGAGGCACATCTTGCTCAGCAGCGATGCCAAGTGGTCTGAGGACTCACTACAAAATAATTAAATCCTTACCATAAACGGTATCAGCAAACTGACACATACTTTCTCCCATAAGCTTGTAAACAACCTTTATCTTGGGTAAGTGGTGGGTGTAACTGTGATATTCTATAGGGATGAATTACAAAAGTTGCAATAACTTTTGAACCGTAATTGTTACAGCAATGGGGGTTGCACTATTTTTGTTTGGAATTATAAGGGCCATAACAAAATAATTTTAATCAAAACCTTTTCCCCCCAAAATTCTATATTTTTTTATGGGTAGTAACTAGTAACATAAGTTTCCATAACTTTTGAACCATAACTTTGACGGAAATGGGATCTGTACCATTTTATTCAAAATTTTAAGGACCATTACATACTAATTTTAATCTAAACCGGCCTTTTTTTTTATTAAAACCCAAGTTATTATTTTAATGGGGTTTTTATAGGAAAATAACACAAGTTAAAATAACTTTGGAACCATAATTTTTATGTAAATGGAATTTGTACCATTTTATTCAGAATTTAAAGGACTATAGGTACAAAATGTTTATCAAAATCGTTGGGCCGTTTTTGAGAAAATCAAATTTTTTAATTATTTCATGAGTTTTATGGGAAAATCACCATTAAAAAAATGATAGAAAAAAACGCCTGGAGATATAATGGATTAGTACCTACATACAAAATTTCATCAAAATCGGACGACAGGTGTGGTCTGTAGCTCTGTACACATCCACACACACAGACATCACTTCGAAAACCACTTTTTTGGGTTCAGGCGGACCCAAAACAGATATATCTACTCAAAACTAAAACTCGAAAATTTTGAAAAAACCAATACTTTCTCCATCAAATCAAATCCCCTTGAATTTATTTTACCATTTATCACATGTTATTGCCAACCTCAATAAGAACTAAGAAGTCAACCTTGATAACAAGTCTTATTTAATAATCCCCATGGTAGTCTTGTTATCGAGGTTCTTCCTATCTATGTATATGGGGAGACAACATTTTTATACATCTGGTTATAATGGGCTACAAATGGTGTGTATTCACAGTGTGCTAATGAGCAGTCTGAAGTAGAGTCACCTTTTGTAAAGTAACACTGGCCACAATTCTCTGGCATCCATCATGGCGGCTTTTTCATAAAAAAAAACTAGCATAGGTACTAGAAAAAAACTTGTAATTTTTGGAGCGTTCTATTGTTTTTATGATAAGCAGTACCGGTAACCCTCCAACAGCAATGAGACAACCATTGTGCAAAAGACTGCAACTGGTACAGTTGGCCATTCGACTTATTAGGACAATCTATAGATATTTTTCCATTTCACAATGGGTTAACCCATGAGCTTTAAATTTACTCACTTAGCTTTACTTCTTATTTAGCTTTAAACTTGTCAAGTATAATTTTTACTTTCCTCAACATTTTATTCATTACAACTATTCAGAAACAAACAAAACATTAAAGCTTTTTTGGTAAAGATGGCTTTAACCCAGGGTTTTGTAATGTATAGTATTTAACGGCTTACCTTACTGACGGAAATTGAAGAAAATACACATTCTAGTCTGTGGTTATGGTCGCACTAAATCACTACTGAATTATAATTTACAAATTAATCTAGGGTTATTATTTGAGGTTTAGGATAGGGGTGTTCTCTGGATTTGGTCATTTACCTGTTAGGTGATCTTAACTCTGAGGAGTTGCTAGTTGGGGGAAGGGATTTATTGACTTTATTATGGAAGCAGCTATTGAAATCGTTGTTGTCGCAAGTGGCTGCATGGTTAGCTACAAGTTTGTATTTAAATTTATTTTTCCCATCTTGCTTGTGCCCATTCATCCTAGTACCTATGCTGTTAGTAGTTAGGCTTACATATTGAGCGGGACACATTTTGCATTGCAATTAGTAAATCACACAATCATACCACAAAACAGTAGGCTTTTGTAAATATAGATTCATTTGTATTGAATAAATCAAAACAAGTTAAAATACTAATACACAAGGTGGGTGCAACAAATAACTCACTTTATGCCAAGATATTTGTTGATTTTCTTGGCCGACACTTGCTCCTTGCGGTAAGATAGTGTTGGGTACTTCAACACTTTTTTGTCTGGCCGCTCCACTTCCACCACCTCTACTTGGTAAGGCTCAGTGCAATACTGGGAGAAGGCACACACCAAGGTGTCCAGCACTACTATAGCCTGGCCAAATAAATCATATAACCCTCGTAATTTATTCTCAACAATAATCCAATGGTGAAATATTTTAAAACTAAATCCATAACACAGTATAGTCATGACTGAACACTATCTTTTAACGAGTATTTAGTTTAAAATGGTTTACTGTACCTGCATATAGTAATCCTTTGTTACTTTTTTGGTAACTAGTTTCGGTTCTTTTGAACCACGCCTCAAGCTGATCAGGCCTTAAGGTGTTAGGTGATCTCTTTATTTGAAGGTCGTCAACAGAGTCCAATAAATAAAACAAACACAAGACCCGATAACATATTAATAAATCAACAGAATAAATATACGGTTACAAAAGACACAAAGGAACATTGATAAAAACAAACATGACCAGGCTAAAGTAAAGTCCAGACTGGTGGTCAAGGTGATCTATTGACCGCCAGTCTAAACCTAATATAATTCCGGTCAGGTTCATGTTTCATGGTTCATGTCAATGTTTCTTCATGTTTTTATAACCACTCTACCTATGTTTTTGTGTCTCGTTCGTCTTTGTATGTGTTTTATTTATTGAACTCTGTTAATAACCTTCGAATGATGTGATCACCTGACACCTTGAGGACTGAGGATGATTTAGAAGAACCAAAACTAGTTGCCAAAATAGCTCCAAAGGATTAATATATGCAGGTATCGTAAACCATTTTAAGTATAATACAGTAATCTGGAGGCTGAACAACTCTTTGAAAACAAAACAAGTACCTATTTAGGTTTGCTACAAGGAAGGACATTTTTTTTCTTGACATTAATAGTAGAGTATGAAATAAATAGATTTGATCAATACCAAAACCTTCCATAAACAAGCAAAATACAGTAGTTTACTAAAAAATTGTATTTACCTTTTGTCTACAGCTCAATAAGTTGTAACTTCCGTTACGGCAGTTTCGGCATTAACATACCATCATCAGACGTCTTCGGCTGAAGTAGCGTCGTCACAGTAGAAACACATAACACGAACACGAACACATTTTACAAATACAAATATACAAAAATAAAACTAACAGGCCTGTCGCACACTTGTTACCGGTTGACATGATCAATCCGATGGGTTCGGCATCTAGCTCTGATCATGTCAACCGGTAACAAGTGTGCGACAGGCCTGTTAGTTTTATTTTTGTATATTTGTATTTGTAAAATGTGTTCGTGTTATGTGTTTCTACTGTGACGACGCTGCTTCAGCCGAAGACGTCTGATGATGGCACGTTAATGCCGAAACGGCCGTAACGGAAGTTACAACTTATTGAGCTGTAGACAAAAGGTAAATACAATTTTTTAGTTACATCACAGCTCAGGGGCTAAAAATATGGACAGTAGTTTACTTTTCCTCCACAAAAATAACATGAGATTTTTTAATGCAGGCTCAAGTTTTTGGAATTTTCTCCTGTAACCTTAACCGACAATGCTTAAATATACAGACTTATTTGTTTTTAAGCTTTATATGATAGCTGTAATAGAAATATGGACATTTTTCATTCATAAAAATTGAAAAAAAATATTTAAAACTTTTAAAAATATTTAGATCTTGCTAGTTCGTGGTTTCAGGTCACATACCTGATCAAGTTTTTTTAGCTCTAAACTAACAATGAAAAATTTCATTAAAATTAGGCCAAAATCATTCAAGTTATTAAACCTCAAAATGAAAAAAATAAATCGGCCATGGGCCTACTTCTATAACTATGCCACCTACATATTATAGCTTCTACACTATATAGGGACAATTCACAAAAAGGTTTTAATCTTTAACTAATTGGGACTACAATCTGAATCATACCTGTAAAATATGCATCTTTTGAGTCATTTTGAATTCTAGTTGATTCAAAGAGATATATTTACCTTAGTGAGGTCAGTAGCAGTGCACTCTATGAAGACATTCTTGGTGTCCAAAGTGATGCGAGAATGGTGACCATTGATGATCGGAGGCATGGACAGCACAACTCCCTTGCTGTCTTTGATGATCGGGTAGACAGGACTGTCTCTGATGATGTGAAGATACTGCTTCAATTGAGCATGACTCTAGGCATTGGAAGTGTATGTTAGAAAGCTTCAAGAATAATCATTGGAAAATAAACTAAATTTATACTTACTCTCTAGGCAGAAATTGTGACAAAAATTACATACTGAATCTAGACTAGAGTTTTTGTAGGGGTTTGCCTGTTTTTTATACCTCTCCTCCACCACCACCTCCAGCCCACCTCTTTTACCTCACCTCTTTCTCCAGCTCTTGGTTGGTAAACATGTTATCATCACTCCTTACCGAAAGTACTATTTTTGATAACAGCTGATATCAAAGAAAGTGGTTTCCCAAGCTCTAATCAAGGCAAAAACGATCAGCTGATTTTCCCTTGCTCTAAAATTACTTTCCCTCGCCCTCGATCAGTTCTCCATTTATTTATTACATGCTCTAGTGTTTTGTTAGGTTTATTTTCATGACTTCAATCAGCTTTTTCATTGCTGCACAATATAAATGAATACAGAAACAGGCATTAGTTTGTTTTGCTGTATTTTTAGCATAGTGCGTGTTGGAAATTGCTCAAAGTATGTCTAACATTACTGATGATTTGATGAAAACAGCTTCAGAGGTAACTAATCACATGCCACCAGAGAAATCAGAGGAAATATACGAAGAGGAATACAGAATGTTTAGAAACTGGTACAAATTACAAAATGTTAAGTCAATTTTATCTAAACCTAAACAGTCTATAATCATGATACCATATATGTACGTTGTGAAGTTTATTTTCAAACTTCAGTTTGTAAACTCGTTTCCTACAGCTCTCGGTCGTTAAACTCTTTTCCTCCAGCCACCAGCTCTCGGTTGATAAACTTGTTTCCTCCAGCAGGGGTTCACACAAACGTCTTCTTAGCCACATCTTAATACCCATTAAGGGCGTTAAGCTTGTTTGCTCATAACTCCATTTGAATTAGATTTAAAATTAACTCTTGATTCAAGTGACCCCACAATTCTTCCTCTGTTATTATTTTTACCCTCTCATTAGTCAACGGGATTAGGTCCTAAGTTATATAGTTTTTATTCTAACATTGTAAAATAGTTAAACCGAAAAAATAGTGTAACAAATTTACATTCAGTCTACATTAAAGAACTACAGAACATTTAATATGACTACCACTAATTCTTCGTGTAGACATAAATCGACCTTTCTTCAGTATTAACTATTTGATGGGTAGTACTAGTGTGTCTTGCTTTTAAATCAGAACTGAACTGGAAGTAAGACTGTACAGTAAAGGTTTGCCATAGGACTAGATCTGTAACTTTTACCAAATATCAATGAATGAATAGAAAATATAGAAAAAATAGAAGAATGCTAGTAAAAAAACTAAGATTAAAACTTTAAAAAATCAACAGACTGAAATAGAGAATACAATAAGCAATTGGCATAGGGGACAGAAGAAGGGACTTTTTTTCTTAATTTTGCCTGACAACCAAGTGTGGGGGAAAATACCAATATTTTCCAAATAAACTTACAGAAAACAGCTCCATGAGTTCAACAGCTGTTCGTTCTTTGTCCGTGTTAAGAGCTTGGAACTTGATCTGTGATGGAGGTAACGCATCATAGGTGAACGGACCTGAACAAGTAAACAGTTTTAACATGTTGTTCGAGGGATTATTGCAGACATTTCCCATCACGTAAGTAAAAAAACAACTAATCGAGATTGAAAATGTCCGCAATAGTTCCCCAATCACTTTAAAAACCCACCATCACCAATAATGAACTTTAAATAAAGTTTTAACTTTTAACATTTTGAACAGATACGATTTCTCTGAACAGAAGGTACACCATGTATATTAAAGTTAGTTTTGTTTCACCCCTATTGAGTGATGAAGGATGGGAACTTACAAATCATCACTAAAATATATTATAACTGTCTTGGTATTGTAGTGATAACTGCACACCCCTTCGAATCTAAAGGTCGCTGGTTCGATTCTAAGCAAAATCGTTTCCATACCCAACATTTTTTTTGTATTTTTTTTTATCAAAATATATCCATTAACAAGCAAACTACAACAATTTACAATATTCTTCATAAGAATAACATGAAAATTTTAAAATTGAAATTTTTTGAAATTTTTTGTTACCAATAAACGTACAAAAACACTTTGATATAATAAATGATTTGTTTTTTTAAGTTCTTTAAAAGGGTCTAGAGAGAAATTGGGAAATTTTGTGTGGTGAGGGTCAAAAATTAGAAAAACCAATTTTTACCCCATAAAACCCACTGTAAAACCTTGTTCCCATTGTCCGATCATTCTGGTTTGTGAACTCACGGACACACATATATATACACACATATAAAAAAAATTGAACGATTGGTGTTTTTGGCCTCTGGGGACATCAAATGAAAAAGTAAATTGTTCCCGGGCCTAGGTCTTACCGTGCCACCTAAGGTAATAGCTACTTCCCTATGGGTACGGAAATTCGCTAAAAATGTCAAATTTAAAAGTGTGAGTTCTTTTGTGCTTTTTTTCAAATTGATTTTTCAGAGCCTTTGGACGGAAGTCAACTAGGCCAACTATTGTCTTTCTATAAGTACCGGTAATAGGTTATTTCAAATTGATGTTGTTACATTATTAATTGTTTGGTAGAGGAAGTTTCATATTTATAATAGATGTAGGGTAGGCCTACCTATCAGTTTCGACAAAAGACCTGAGACCTGACTCCTGAGTGCAAGTTTTATATTTGGAAGGATTTGGATTTTACCTTGAATAGTGTCCAGGTCATGTGTGCCGATCGCTACGAGCGTGCGCTTCCGAGCTATATTCTGATGCAACTTGTCCTGAAGATCGATGAAGCTGGCGTAGTTGTCTGGCGTGAAGTTAACACCTCTCAATACAGCAGCTACAGCATAGCCTCGGATCTGCTGAGTCTGCGGTTTTATGGCAATTAGGACACAATTCACACTTCATTACAATTCACAATTCATTAGAAAGTTTTTTTTTCATATAACCTAATAATTATAGCTAAATAAACAATAAAAAATAATAACAAGGTTAAAATATCTGTTGCATTGTTGAATGGTCTATGGCTGGTTTTTTGTCAGGCTCATCGCTGGTTTTTAACCTAGAGGCTAGTTATGAAGCTAGACACTAAGTTAATAAGATCAAAACCCTTCATCACTGAGTAATAAAACACAGACAGCTCTTCTGTTTACATTACTGCCCCTGATTTAAGTGGAGAACCATACATATCTAAGGCTCCAAAATCACTGAAGATGAAGACCCAGTGACTTTTGCCAATAAAAGAAATTATATAAAGAAGGCTTAATTTAATTACAAGATTGGAAGAAAGAAATTGAACTCACGGCTTCAGTGACAATGAGTCGTTGAACTTTGCTTTTGTCTTTCGGTAAAGCTGCTTTAAACTGAGGTGGATCCATCCTAAAAAGAATATAAACATTGAGCTAAAACAAGCTATAAATGTTATATAAGGAAGACTAAGTAATTATTAATTATTAAATAAACTGTTACAACTGTGCAATATCCTTTTATTGGACCAAAGGACATTAAACAGGTAACAGTTTATTTAATAATTTAATTCTTCAATATACAGTAGTAGGAAAATGAACTCCGAATTATTAGGCTGGGCGCACACTGATCCAGCATTTCACCTGAAGCAAAATGTTGCACAACGATACTTGAACCTGGCATGTAAACTAGTGATATATGTTTCAGTGTGAAAAAGTACATCACAGAGGTGCCTCGCAACGTTTGCTTGATCAGTGTGCGGCCTCCCATTGAAATACATGGGGCGCTCGTACCCAGTGAAACATTTTGCCTCGCAACACTTGCTTCAGGAGAAATGCTGCATCAGCGTGCGACCGGCCTTAGTTGAAATGTCAATCCTGAATAAAAAACCTAATAGAATTGTATCCAGTTAGCAACTGGACCAAACAACTAACCAAACAACTAGTCTTTGTCTAGCTAACTTTAAACTATTTTTTAATTTTATGATATGGCACTGCCACAACCTTTACAACATTGGTCCAGTAACTTATTTTCCAGAGAATATGTGTTACTGAATTCATTACAGTAATTTAATTTAATTTTACTGTATTTTCAATGGTAACCCCAATTACAATAATGCATGTTTAAGAAGCCATCAGTTTTATGGCAGAAGATATAATGGCTTAAAACAACAACTAAACTCAATATAACAGTAAAATGACAGAGTGAACTTCAAACAAAAGCAATTAATAGTATTTATCAATTTTTTGTGAAAACATCTTCACGAATAAGCTTGATATGCATTGTGCAAAAAGAAAGACATTTGAAAGAAGCAAACAGGATAACACATGACTTGTGATTAACAGTTTAGAGATCATTTACTTAAGACAAAAGCCCTAAATTTATATTCATGATTAAACTAAAACATACCTGATAATAGTGATAATAGAAAAATATCTGGCTATACTGGTTGGTTGCTACATTTTATAGCCTTACAAGATTTGATAAAGAATGCATTGTAAACTAGCTCACTTGTTTTGAAAGACCAGAAGCCCTTGGCACAAACCCTCCAGACACAGCAGGTCATATCTGTTGGCGGGAATGTCGATCTTATAGATGACTTCCTCAGAAGCTCCGCTCGCGTTTCCACTCGCCAGGCCTGTCTCTTTGGCCATCATCTGTTTCTCTGTCGTCTACAAGGGAATAATTTCAAGTAAATACATTTTCATTTACAATGTAACAGTCTTGTATTAGATTAATATTAGAATTGAAAATACCCCACCACAGCAAACCTGCAGTCTATTTGCCTGATTTCATTTTTAGAGAGAAATTGGGAAATTGTATGTATTGAGGGTCAAAATGAGAAAAACTAATTTTTACCCAGTTAATCCCTCCATAAAATCCCGTTCTTGTGGTCTGAGGACGCTGGTTCGCAAACTCGTTCAAATAAATGTAGCTTTACATGTGTGTACCAAATTTTCCCATAATCGGATCATTTTTGCTCGAGATATTGTACTAACGGACACACACAAACACACACACACACATATATATATATATAAGTAGATATATTCATGTCACTTCTGGGCCAAAAAAGGAGCCACTCAAAAATTAAATGAATTTTCCTATTTTTTTATACAATATGCTATATTTTTTACCCTTTTAGGTCAATTTCTAACATTTTCATATTTTTCTAGAAAAAGTATACAATTTTGATGAAATTTTCATGAATATGTCTATATTTTACATAAAATTGACTACAAAACAAAATGTTTTTAAAAACAAGTAAAATTTTAAAATTTTTTATTCAAATTTTCTAAATATTTCATTTAAATTATTGTTTTTTGTAAATAATATTTTTCCTATTTGAGTTATTCAAAATCTATTAAAAGTATTGAATTTCTCAGAAAATTCTAATGATATTTGATGTATTACAAGTCCATATTTCATTTTAAATAATTTTAAACTTAAACATGAAATGTTATCAAAAATGATAATCTTAAGATAAAAAGATAAGTATTGATTTAAATTGAAAATAAATATCACCAATGAAAAGCTTGTTAAAAATTAATGCTATTTCATATATTATACATTTCTGTACGATTAAAGATAATGTAAAAATCAACAAAAACAAATTGCGTTGTAAATATAATGTTATTGAAGGAATATTAGTCTATGGCCTAATTTGTTTGGTCGATCTTTTTATGAAAATAAGTGATTGAATAAAATAATAACCAGTTGAATGTTAGTAAATTGCAGTGTGGATTAAAATAATTATTTTGATTTATCTAAACTAATCGAAAAGTATTTTATAATTAATGCTTAAAATGTATAATCAATGGTTAAATAGTTAGCTAATGAAACTAGCCGATTGAACAAAAAAAAAGTGTCAAGTTAGCAAAAATCTCGTCATTAGCTATCATAATGGGTGTGGCTCTGTCGACTGGCTGATTTTCTATGTATATTCTCATTTTGTTTTATGAAGAAATATTTAAAATAAGAGTTTATTGATGGTAAAAGTTTATTATTTATTGATTGAAGATGAAGTATAAAGAAGATTAACTATGAAAATTGTGAAACTATCGTGTTGTGAAGTGAAATGTGTTTGAAGTGTTCATCACCATATTTGGATTGTTCAAGTGTTTTTAACTAATATTTTAATAAGTAAAAGTGATTTATTGAACTATTTATAGACTATTTTTATTGTTTGCAATCATAGCTTGTTTATAAAACAATCCGAATTTTCAAGGCCAAGTGATTGCTGCTTTGTTTGATAGTTTTTTGCCAAACCATATGACATTCAAGGACAGTGTGCTTCTAAAGCACGCTTTGATAAATCTGAATTGTACAGTAAATATTTTGTGTAGAAAAATTTAAGTGACTGCGCTGTTTTATTTGACAGTTTTTTTGCTAAACCAAATGATGTTCAACGAAAGCGTGCATTGCATGCACGCTTTGATAAATCTGAATTGTACAGTAAATATTATTTGTTTATGTTTGTGTGAGTTATTTTTCTTACCGAATTCCTATTCAGTAATTCAAATGTTAATATCGAATGTTTCAACTTATTATTCGATTGTTAATATCGAATGAAATTATTTGAAATATAATTATTGTATGTTATTGTATGTTTACTTGAGTGTTTTTAAACCAATCTTAACCAAATTTGAAACATACCCTCATTGAATATTAAAGAATGTTTTTGACTTATGTTAAGGGTGGTTTCATCCCTTATTTTGTATTTTATTTATACAAATTTAAAAATGATTTGTCAATTCTGAAACTTAAAAATAATGTTTAAAATCAATGTCTTTAATAAAATTTTCCAATTTAGGGTGAACTACCCTTAAACTAAAAACCTTAATAACTTTTTTGTTTGTTAAGATATTTACATGAAATTTGGTATGATATATCTATAAGGTAAGTACAAATTTATTAAATAATAAAATTTAAAATATTCATTTCTTGTGACCTTGAAAATCAAAAATTTTTATTTATTAATATTTTTTTTATGAAACAAATTTTAAATTAACAATAGTAGTCTCATTATTCATAAAATATAATAATATTTTGAAAAATATGTCAAAAAGTAGTAAATAAATGGTGGTTTTATAATAATTTTATTTGATTTCACTTATATCATTTTTAATCACATTATACTCTAATAGTTTTTCAGATACAACAACTACATAGCAATTAGTTTTACTAGCAACAGTTATATCATAATCAAAATCCATATTTATTATTATATCATTTTTTGATCCTGAAATATTTACAGTAGTTTTTGTAGTATCAATCACATACAATGGTCTATTTTCAATGAATTCTGTTGGATCATAATACATTTCACTATTGTTATAATAAACCTTTTTATAATCTTGATACATTTGATATACAATTCTAAATTTTCCATTATTTATATCTAGATTTATTAATTCATCAGGATAATAGTGACCATTTAATTTTACTCTAATATTTTTAATATACATACTATCAAATTTTGAAGTGTCATATAATTGATCATTAGTTCTACCTTTTTGAAAACCAATTATTATAAATTTTGGATTATAGATGTTTCGATAAATATTTGTTATATCAAAACTAACTGTTTTTCCAGTTATTGTCTTTTGTTCAATACATTGCCAATGATTAAAGTGAAATAGTATTTTTTCTTTTTTAGTTATTTCATTAATATATTGAATTTTACTTGTAGTTTTATACTCAATTATTGGAACTCTAATGAAAAAGTCATCAATAATTACTTTTCCAGCACCTGGTAATGTAGTATCATCAAAAGTTCCATCAACTTTTTTAGTTTTCCATCTAAAAATAGCATCATTATCTTCAGATCTAACAAAACATATATTGAATCCTCCTTTGTATATTGGAACATTAACATTTTCAAAGAAACCTAATCCAAAATGTGATAGATTACCCACAGCTTCAAATGTTTTTTTGAAATCTGATTGAAATCCATTACAAATGTTGGATACTGCTTCTGTTTTTGAATAAGTAACAGTACCTTTTATTGTACTCAATTGTCCAGGATATTCAATTTCCTCAATTAATTTATTATGTTTTCTAATTTCAATTTTTGAAAATAAGAATGGTATAAAATTATTAATCAACTTTACATTATCTGTAGCACTATAGTCTTTATCATCAGATTTTTTTAATGATCCTGAAATATAAAATTGAAACTTAGATGAACAAAATCCATCACCAAAATCAATATTAAATTCAGTTTTTTTGTTTGGTTCATTCAAATGTAGTTTAGATAAAGGATAAAAATTTTTATATTCAGCTCTTTCAATTTCATAAGTATTAGCCATTTATTAAGGAAAAATTTATGAAAAAATATGGAAAGAAAAAGGTTTTTTAAAACCAGTAAAATTTTTGTAATAAAGAATAGTTTTATAAATCTTTTTGGAATAATTTAATCAATCTCGTCATAATCCATTTTTTCTTTAAACTGTTCAATATTCAGTGCATGATCTATGATGAATTTTGCTGATATATTTTGATATTGTAACACTATTTCCCAATCCAAATCATTTTTATATTTATCAATAAAATCTTCATCTAAATTTTGATACTTACAAACCAAATTAATATAAGCATTAAGTTGATAATTAATAAACTCATCAATAAATTGTATACTTAATGTTTGATATTGTGCAATTTTTTCCCAATTTAGTTTATTTTGAAACAATCTGATCATATCTTCATTCAATTCATATTTTTCTGAAATAATATTCCAATCTTCATTGGTCAACATAAATTGGTTTCTGATAATAAAAAGATCAAATGAGTTATAGTTTGCCATTTATTAGGAAGAAATTTTTGCAAAACTACTTTTCTTTGAATTACATATACAACATTTTGCTTTAATCATATTTTTATTTTTTAATTTTATTGCTTGAATGTCTTTAGAATTGGTTTTTTGTTTACATTTAAGACAGTAAATAAACTCCATTTATATAGTAAAAATTATTGATCTTCTTGGTTTTCTGTATTAAGTTTATCTTCTAATATTTGTGCTAATCCAGCAGTTACTAATCTTATTTTTTCAGCAAGTTTATCTTCAAGTTGTTTTTCTAAATCTTCAACATACATTTTTAGATTAAATAATGAATTAACCAATTCATTTAAATCCTGTTTAGTTTTTGAATGATCATTACCAACCTTAATAATAGAATTTAAAACTTCATTTAACTCAGATTTTATGACAACATCATAGTCGTTAATGCTTGGTTTTACATTAACAATCCTTCTAGAATTAATACTTAAATAATTTTTGGATAGACTAATAGCATTAACCAAATTATTAGTTTTCTTAATATGGTTTTTTAAATCCTTATTAATATCATTAAAAATGGAATTTAATTTTGAATTAATATAATCATTTTTTACTTCAATAAAATCTTTTTTCTGTCTACCAAATAGATCAAATATATTTAATGAATCCATATTTATTAAGAATTAATTTATTGATTATGTTATCAAATCTTATATTTTTATTCAACTCATTTAATACAAAAACACACAAATGACCACATATAGGTGGATCATTATAATTTTGAATTTGTGAATCATTAAAAAATATATTGTCTTTTCCTAAATATTTAACAATTTCCTTAAAAGGTTTATTAACAATTTTTCCATAAGAATCAAAGTAATATTTAATTTTATC